GACTCATGAGGACACGAGTCTTATAAAAGGGGAGCTAATGTGAGGAATCGATTTTTCTTATCGCATTCCCGTCATGTCGTGGTTAGCAGACTCAATCCCCGTCACCCCTCTTGCCCTTGGACTCGAGATTACAGCAGGTGTCTTATTACTTTTATCATTTTTCTTCTTATTCTCTCTTCACACTCACGTTCTATCGTACCTACAACGAGGTAGACTCGTTGTCGACCCTCGAGAAGATATCCAGATGACATAGTCACGATCCAGTGCTATGTCTGGGGATATTTCGGAGGAATATTGATAAGCGAAGAAGGTTGTGAGTCAGCGCCTTCTCATGGGCTTACTGATACAACCAATCGTACATCCCTTACCAATACACTTTCTCCTACGATTAGTAAAGACGATAGATCGGACCACTTTCTTCTTTTTTCTTATTGGTTAGCTAGCTGGTCAGACCACTTTCTCAGTACTTCCCTTTCTCGGTCTGACCATCGTCGTTCACTATATAGAGAAGTACATACTTGATGTATTGTTCTCCAGTTCAATATTAGTTTGGATTTGCGCTCTTACCGATACTCTTCATTCTCATACTCTGATTCACCGCCTTCAAGGAAGGACTTGACCAGACATTGGGCTTTGTTATATAGCTTCGTATTTGTTGCCTGACACAGGCATTCTAAAAAAATATGTGTCCATAAAAATGATTCAAAAATCAAAAATAATCACACTGTAAATGAATGTTCTGCTGAAAAAAAAGAAACTGGAGCCACCAGTCCACCACCTAGTCCAAATCTAACGGTTCCATGGCCTTACTAATAGACTAGTTGTATTGGACAACCTGGTCAAACGAGAGAGGGAGGGGAGTAGTTCCAATTTGGAACAAGTGAGTCCCAGGCAGCGTGTGGTAGGTGTAGCTGTAGCAAAGACAATGGACGAAGGATAAATGTACCCAAGTGAATGGGACAGCGGTGTATATAGATGACACAAGGGCATGAACCTTCTCCAGCTTGAAACCTACCCACCCACACTCCAACCAGGCGAGACGAGCGGCTTTGCTGATATCAGCAGTGGCACGTGGTGGTCGACAAATTGGCAATAGAAGCAAATAGAGAATGGTGACATCAGGTATGGTGGGGGAGCAAGGATGACGAGCAGGAGGAGAGTGGAGGTGACAAGGAGGTGAACTAGAATGGGGATCCAGAAGCAACCATCGGGTGAGAATAAAAAAGAGAGTAAGGGACCCATGGTGGGGCTAGGCAAAGAAAGGGAAGTAAAGGAAACAATGAAAGCAAGGGCGCAATGCAATGTGTAGCCAGTGGCGACGCAAAAATTTGCCGAAATGCTGAAATGCCAAAACGCGGTAAGTACTGAATGGAAAGCAAAGGTGAGCACAACTTGATTGCCTAATAGAGGTGGTGCTGATCAGCCACAAGATTGAAAAAGGCAATATTAATTATTATTCCACGTGGCACTGTACCTGTGTGTAAGAGGTACAATGAGTTTTGAGGTTGACAGATGCTAGAGATTATAGCAGGTAGAGGACTGAGAGTAAACTCAAGGGTTTCTGAGGAGGAGTAAAGCGGGTAATTCAAGTATAGAAAGCTAAAGAATGATACATGGGTATGTAGAGTTTAAATAGCTATTTGCCTATCCCTCAGACCGAGAAATAGAATAGAGGAAAAGTGGTCTGAGGACAGAACTATCCAATAAGAAAAAGAATGACTATCATACAACTTCAGGGATTAATCAGCACATGAGAAAATGTACTAATAATAGGTAGTGTCACGCATGTTCAGGAACTGTATCCTTATGATGAGGTACGATCCTGACTAAAGTGTCTATTAATATTTCCAGGTACTGATGGGGCTTGGAGCTGGTTGGCGAGATCAGCATCAACCTTGGGTAACCCTTGAGCTCGCTGTTCGCATTGATCATCCCTCATGGATTCACGTCAAACAAGCTGGGCGCTGTCAATGATGAGAACTGCAGTTAGAAAAAACCACACACAAAACAAACTAACACACAATCCTCCCAGATTCCACGGAACTTGTTTATGGGCTTTGCCTCCTAGAACAGTGGAGTGGTCTGGTTGTTCGTGGGGTGGTACGTATAAAGATCCTTCAAAGTAAAACCCAAAGGTGTATGAGTGTGGGTTTTAAGGAGGAGGGATAGTTGAATTTATAGAAGGATAGGGGCTTTGTGACGAGTATAGACGAGCACTACCTTGCTAATCGTAGCACAAGGTAGGTTTGAGAACGACAATATGACGAGGTTCCCAGTGATAGCAGGCTCCTGACGCACAAACTGTAGTGCTCAGAAGGACTCTAATCGAAAGGGATGACAATGACTTCAAAAGTGGGAAGTGATGATGACAGCAGTTGACAGTGGTAAAAGTGGGAAGTGTTGTGACCACACTGGATCACAAGTAGCAGAGCAGTGAACTTGAGAGTAGAGAAGAAGTCTGGATTGGATTTCTTGTTGTTTTTTTTTACAAGGTAAAATACAGGGGTTTATATAGTAAAAGAAAAGTAGGCTATGCACAGTATAGCTGTGCAAAAAGAATGAGAAAGAATATGAAGGAAGGAATGTATGCTGATGAATCCTGCGTAGGTAGTACAGGATAAGATTGTCAAAAAAAAGAAAAGAAAGGGATAGAACAATAAATGCTGTGAGTAATGTCACAGGTTTGTACAGCCATAAAGTAAAGTCCAATAGCAAAAGGAGAGCAGGAAAATCATGATGTCATGGGAAGATGCAGTAAAAAAAAAGGGCAAGGCAAAACACTATCAGTATCAACACAGTTCCTTTATTGTCAGTCAGGCATTCTAAAAAAATATGTGTCCATAAAAATGATTCAAAAATCAAAAATAATCGCACTGTAAATGAATGTTCTGCTGAAGAAAAAGAAACTGGAGCCACCGGTCCACCACCTAGTCCAAATCTGACAGTTCCATGGCCTTACCAATGGACTGGTTGTGTTGGACCACCTGATCAAACGAGGGAGGGAGAGGAGTAGTTCCAATTTGGAACAAGTGAGTCCCAGGCAGCGTGTGGTAGGTGTAGCTGTAGCGAAGACGATGGACAAATGATAAGTGTACCCAAGTGAATGGGACAGCGATGAACATGGGCGACGCAAGGGGATGAACCTTCTCCAGCTCAAAAATTACCCACCCACGCTCCAACCAGGCAAGACGAGCGACCGATGTTTGTCAGGCAACAAATACGAAGCTATATAACAAAGCCCAATGTCTGGTCAAGTCCTTCCTTGAAGGCGGTGAATCAGAGTATGAGAATGAAGAGTATCGGTAAGAGCGCAAATCCAAACTAATATTGAACTGGAGAACAATACATCAAGTATGTACTTCTCTATATAGTGAACGACGATGGTCAGACCGAGAAAGGGAAGTACTGAGAAAGTGGTCTGACCAGCTAGCTAACCAATAAGAAAAAAGAAGAAAGTGGTCCGATCTATCGTCTTTACTAATCGTAGGAGAAAGTGTATTGGTAAGGGATGTACGATTGGTTGTATCAGTAAGCCCATGAGAAGGCGCTGACTCACAACCTTCTTCGCTTATCAATATTCCTCCGAAATATCCCCAGACATAGCACTGGATCGTGACTATGTCATCTGGATATCTTCTCGAGGGTCGACAACGAGTCTACCTCGTTGTAGGTACGATAGAACGTGAGTGTGAAGAGAGAATAAGAAGAAAAATGATAAAAGTAATAAGACACCTGCTGTAATCTCGAGTCCAAGGGCAAGAGGGGTGACGGGGATTGAGTCTGCTAACCACAACATGACGGGAATGCGATAAGAAAAATCGATTCCTCACAATGTTTTGATAGTATATGATGGCAGATCAACGTCATGAAGATGGACCTGTTGCCCTATTTGGACCGGCCGCCGGGGCTTTGCTGATATCAGCAGTGGCACGTGGTAGTCAACGGATCGGCGACGGAAGCGGATAGGAAGTGGTGACATCAGAAATGGTGGGGGAGCAAAGAAGATGAGGAGGAGGAGGGTGGAGGTGACGAGGAGGTGAACTAAAATGGGGACCCAGAAACGACCATCGGGTGAGAATAAAAAGGAGAGGAACGGGCCCATGGTGGGGCTAGGCAAAGGAAGGGGAGTAAGGGAAACGACAAAAGCGAGGGCGCAATGCAATGTGTAGCCAGTGGCGACGCGAAAATTTGCCGAAATGCCGAAACGCGGAAAGTACCGGATGGAAAAGCAAAGGTGAGCGTGACTGGATTGCCTAATAGAGGTGGTGCTGATCAGCCACAAGTTCAAAAAGGGCAATATTAATTACTATTCCACGTGGCACTGTGCCTGTGTGGCGCAAAGGCAAGTCTTTTTGAATATTCGCTTCGTTATTGACACCTGTCCATGCTACCAATCAACTTTGGTGCATGACAGCGCTGTTGTTGATGGTGGACAAGATCAGGACAATGAGCTGACTGGAAATGAATTGGTAGTGTTAGGAGAGTAGTGGTAGGTGCGCCGTAGCAATCTTGTGTCTATCAGGCATGGTGGTGGGCTGTTGTGGGTGAGCAAAGAATGCAGCAGCCACACGACTTGCCATTCGGCATGGTGGCTACTGCCAAGGGATATGTTACTAGGTGGGGCTTGATTCTGAACTCTACGCTTTCAATATATATCACAGCAAATATACTCTAATCACTGCAGACAATTGGCATTTGGAAACCTGGAACCTGCAGGTCCAGGAATAGAGAAAACAATTGGTATGAAGTGAGGAACCTGGAGCATGAACTGAACAAGCAAGATGTGAGGTCCAGGAGGGCAATGGTATTTCTTATATCAAGGAAGTTTATCAGAGTGCAACATTTTACGACAAGGAGTGCCCTATAGTACACAAATACGTATATAGGTACGTATAAAATCGGAGTTTCGTTCAGCATTGATTATTTGTTTGGCCTTGCTAGGACTTTGCATTGTAGTGGCGAATTTTACTGACTGAGGGAAGTGACCTTGAAAAACACGCGTCAGGAAAGTATGAACGTCGCCGAAGGTGGAAAAACTGATCTTGGAACGATTGAGGAGTGAGTTTTTTTATACATTGGTCCACTATATATTGTTATGACACGGAATTATACTCCAACAGGTCCGCTGGTAGCTTGTCAGAGACACATCATGACTTATCACGATCTACCGGCCTTTTGCCCGCTTCAGAAGAGCGTCAAAATAGCGAATCTGATGAAGACTCTGATGAGGAGGAATTCGTATATCCTGGAACATCTGTTTCAAGTACAAACGATGCAGACGAACCAGAACCTAGCACAGGCGAAGGCGAGCAGTCTGTGATCGAGGAAGTCCAAGACGCGACTTCTTTCGTATATCAACCACCCATTCAAACTATATGCCACCCCTCTCCTGCACAGCTGGAAGCCCTCTATGCTGCTGCCTCCTCCGGAGATCTCCCGCTCCTTCAAAAACTTGTACAAACCGCTCTGCAGGGGGGTGATCTGGAGGCATTCGCTCTTGCTAACGATGCGTCTTCTCGTACAGGATTCACAGCTTTGCATGCTGCTGCTAGCCGAGGACATCTTAACGTTGTAAAGTGGCGTAAGTTCTCCCTCCAAAGGATACCTATCATTTGTATCTGATTTTTGCATGCACGGTTAGTTATAGAGGACTGTGGTGCAATGCCAGATTTAGAAGATCGAGAGGGCGAGGTCAGACCTATTTTCTTGTCAAGGATATGGACTTATATAATACTATAGACAGCTTTGCACAAAGCTGCCCTTCATGGTCATTTTCAGATCGTTACTTATCTGCTCCCAGACAGGGCAGATGTGCATGCTCGCGATGCTGATGGTTGGACGCCTTTGCATAACGCCTGTTCCCAGGTGTGTATTACTCGTTCATTGTTTAAACGTCTGGCCTATATAAATCGACAGGGCTACTTGGACATAGTAAGATGGCTCTGTGAGAATGGTAATGCTGTGGATGCTGTGGATGGAATATGCGGAGTTGACCTGCAGAGCAAAGGTGGCTGGACTCCCTTAAGTGAGGCAATTAACCTGTCTACATGCACGTGCCACTCACACAGCCCTTCCAGTGAATGCAGCATCAAAGGGTCACCTTCCCATTGTTCTATACTTGCTCGCTAAACAAGCTGCGAATCCATTGGTGAGGAATAAGTGGGGAGAGACTGCCTATGACGTAGCAGCCGCTGTTTTCGAGGTCTGGATTTGTGAGGTGCAAATTTTTATATGCATTGTTGCGGGCAGCGTCCTAACACGTTTCTCCAGATTCTACAGAAAGCAGAGGCTGATAGATGGCATGGTTCAACAGCTTCATATAACCCATTGGCAGTGCATACTGCAGTCCCCCTGGTCTTGTTCGAAAACCAGCGGCTGGATTCTCGGCTGAAGACTCTTGCAGTATCTGGTGGAAAACCAAGGTTTTCTGCTTCAGGCCTGGGAAAGCAGGGACGCCGAGCTCCGTTTGAGCTGAAGTTACCGGAGGGTGTTGAAGTTAATAGCTCAACGCTTATACCGGCTTGGCGCAGCGATGTACAATTGCCTCTAACAGAAGATCCTTGGACCTTGCCAATTATAAGCCCTAAAGATAAGCCCCGTGTAGAGGGTGCTGACAGGAGTCATTTCTGGTTGTACGTTGGCGATTTACCGTGATGCGTACTATACGACGTTAACTCAAGACTTTAATTTTAGATGTGACTGGACATTGGACGTCACACACCCCGGGGTTGATGCTGAGGATGGTTGGCAATACGCCCGATTGTTTAGCTCTCCTGATGAGAGCTGGACAGCCGAGCCGCCCTCTCAGCTATATCGTCTGCTAAATAGTAATGGTGTTATGGCTGCTGGTCTTGGTGGATCAACTAGGGAGTCTACCAGTGCTAGCCTTTCTTCCTCATCTAGTATATCGTCTTCTTCGAATTGGGTTCGACGTAGACGATGGGTCCGTGTGATGCGCCGAAGACTGGATATTCCACCGTTACCCTTCTTGCAACCAGATGGCCTAATGTATCATCTCAGCATTGATGGCGCTTTTATTCCTGCAATCCACAACGATGGCGATATGACAGAGGGCGAGGGTCAAGAACTCGATACCATGCCATCTACATTTACATCGACGACGGGCGACTATGTGACTCACGCTCGATACCTCGTGGGTAATCAGGTTCAAGACCCGGAGAGCCAAGTCGGGGCGTTTTCTGCAGCTGAAGCTCGACAAGCTATCGTCAAGCTAGAGCGAGCAACTTCGGAGCTAAGGCAGGGAATTTTAGGTAAGTATTGATAACCAATCCGTCAGACTCATGTATCAATATTTGAATTAGGAGATGCTAATCCAGAACATAAAAAACAAGCCCAAGTTCTGCTCAATGCTTATAGCAGAGAACTTGATCGGAGAAAACTTGCTGCCAGCGCTCAAGGACTTGTCATTGGTTTATACGATGATTCTGATGCAATTGAAGAGGAATCAGACGAAGAATTTCACTATCCTGGATCATCGCCTCCTGGTACTGTCCGTACGCCTTCTACGCGGTCTAATTCTACAGATTATCGGATACCGATTACATATCCTGCTACGGATTTAATGTCTCACCTTTCTCGGTCTACAGAGTTCCGTGTTCCTACTCGTGAGGCGCCACAGAAAACGATTGGATCAAGTCGGGTACCCTCTATTTCCCAGCATACTCGCACTCTCTGGGAGAAGGATGATGCTGTCCATGAATGTCGTGGTTGCCGACGCCGCTTTGGTTTTTTACTTCGAAGAGTGCGTATTTGATTCATATGCTCTTCAGGTCTTAACTCACATTCATTTCTAGCACGTAAGATGTCGTTCTTCGCGTCATCTACACATGGCTCACCAATTTTCTCGATTCCATAGCACTGCCGAAAATGTGGCCGCATCTTTTGTGACCGTTGTTCCTCTCATAAAGCGTTGCTTGAACCTTCTGACGTGGTTCATGATCCTGCATCTCCTGAATCTGGATCTTCCCTAAGTTCCTATAGAGTGTGCAGTTCGTGCCACGATGAAATTAGCCTCGCTTTTCCAAGTCGACTGTCAGGGTCTGCATCGTCGAATCTCGAATGTATAGTCGTTGAACAAGGTCGACTCAAGGGTCCGGACCAAGTTTTGAGAGGCGGCGAGAATTCTCAATCTAGTGATTTTGCAGAGTACGTGTGTTAAGAGCGAAAAGCTGTTCGCTACGGAGCTGATATTTTATCAAGATGCCCTGTCTGCAGCACCAACTTGGTCAATTTAGAACCTGCTTCAGAACAAGTTGCTCACTTGCGACATTGTATGCAGGGTAGTTCTGGGACCTCATCTCTCGGGGACAAATATTTAGTTTATAGATTACCACCAGGAAGCGCTCTATTGGGTACTGAATGTAAGATCTGTGCATATTGCAAGCTGGTGGAGCAAGTACACTAATTATCACCCCACCCCCTATAGGTGTTATATGCTTAGACGGATTTGTAACTGGTAAGTGAGCGGATATCCCCTATGTGAGATGCGTTCTCAATATCCACCATAGGTTCCGTTGTCGCCCGTCTCAGCTGCATGTGTAGCTTCCATAGTGGTGCGTACTGTTCATTTCAAATCGTGCTTTGCATCAAAGGCCTAATTGGTGCTTAGTGTGCTTATCTTTCTGGTTGCAACGGAAGAGAAGTTGTCCCGTTCATGCTCGTTAAAAACCTGTCATCTTGGACTATCCATCGAGGATACCCGGTGATATCGTGTCACGCAATATATATAGCTTAGGATATTAAAGGATATTGATCAAATATCATCTCTCTGAAGTATAGAATGAATTGTACGGAATTCTGCTGTCGTCTATTCGTATGACGTTGGAGATATCATCTATATCGGGTTCGACAATATTTTGACCTTTGATACCGTCGTCCTGGTCATCCTCGAACCATGTAGAAGGGTCTTCGTCGCCTTCATCCTCCGTATCGTCATCTTCTAGATCTGAGTCGGTGGGTTTGTAGTTCCTGGGGGATTGAGATAAGTAAGGCCTCTAGTAAAATTATTGGTCATTGGCTTACATGAATGCCAGTATCCGCGCCTGTTTCTCTTCTTGAGATAATACCTCACCTTTTATTGGGAAGCCGGTACGTCTCTTCTTCTCTTCGTATCGCTGCTGCTTTTCCATGTCCTGAGTATGCGCCCGCCGCTCCAATTCAGCCGCTTCTTGCAAGTCGAGGGACATGACATTGTTGACCCCATTGGATCTTATCGGTGCCTAGCGAAATAAGAATAATATGGATTAGATTCACCTTGCAGATGAGTCAGCCGCGACATACATATCTAGATAACGCCCTGCGTTTGGCATCAATGGCATGGATGACGACAGTTTCGTTCTCGTCAACGTTCATCTCCTCGTCTGCGTTAATCTTGGTGTGATCTAAACCTCGGCGAATTTGCTCGACGCCTTCTAACTCAAATATACGAGCCTTTATGGCTGCCTGCTCGGAAGAGAGGCGCTCGACCAGAGCAGATGTAGAGACTGACCTGAATGAGCACTAGATCAGTGATGTGCACAATAAAAAGAACGGGGCTCGTACGCTGAAGCAAGTAGCCTTTCATTGAAGTCGTGTTGGTCATGTAATTCACGCAGAGTCATTGCTGAAATGGGTTTCTGCTTAGGCTTTGGTGCCGCCCTGAATCCTGGTGGTATTGTCGATTTGCGGGGACGCATTGGAGATGATGGAAGAGACATTGATGTGCAATGTTATCTGCAAAAAAAGAGTACTCCTGTGCGCTTGGACTGAGTAGGATGGTGTCTTGGATACTTACTGGATTACTTTGGACGTCCAAGTTGTGGTTGTGGCTCAGCTGATCAGGGCACAGGACTTAGTTAAGCCATGCCATCATCATCGGGCCGGAGCCACGAAATGTCCTACCGGTGAACTGGGGTATGCATTTATTACCATGTTTTGTATACTACTAGTAGTTATGTTTGTTTTTTTCTTTCTCTCCTATCCTACAAGTTGGCCTACATACTCATACATTGGGTACACCGTTGAAGTTACTATCTAGAATCCCAGAATCACGCATGAACGACATCCATCGCTCGTCAATCCCCGAGTCTCCAGATAATATCATGCCCATATCCATGTCAATGAAATTCGCCGCTGATCCCGCATCAGGCATGGAAGTTGAAGGGCCTTCGGCCATATTGACGTCTGAGAAATTACCAAAGGCGTTGTTCTGATCATAAGCCATAGGCGACGGGGAGAGGTTCGGAAGAGAGTATGAAGGCATATCCATCTGCATTGAGTAGAGTCCACTGTCAAAGGCAGTACTAGATGAGCGTGGATTATGATTGTTATAATTCTGTGTGGAAGTGGACGAGGAGGATGGGAGCAAGGAAAGGAATTCTACTAGAGATGGGTGGACCTCGGGAATTGGTTCACTATGTGAACCTTCATCGGTTGATGTTGACGATGGCGTGCTCGCAGAGGATTTTGGTGAATCAGCCGACTTTGTCGAGGAATGCATCTTCCGACGACTAGACTGGGACAAGATTTTGCTGACAAGTGTACGTGTCTGTCCGCCGAACACAGCAAGTTCATCTTCACCTCCGATTTCAGGCATCATGATGGAGCGTTGGTCTGCAACCGAAAGGACAGCACCGCTTCTGAATTGAGAATACACTTGAAAGGCTTTAACTTTAAGCTTGCTTAAAATGGCCTGAAATGGTTTTCATAGATAAGTATTAGAACTGCGACGTATACTGATGCACTCACTACACCGCTCCTTGCACGACGAGAATGGGTTGCTCCCTTAGCGAAAAGATCAACCGCAAGATCCAGCTCTATAAGGGCCGCAGAAGCCATCGTTGAAGACGGTGCACGAGTCACGATAACCCCGACGACGATCTGAGAAGGGTGACTGAGCAAGCAGGATATAATAAGCTGTCGTGTCTCAACTCACGGCAGCTGAAAAGAGATGAGTCCAAATTGTCCACCAGCGCGTGAGCAACTCCGGGAAGCGCTGGAAGTTACCGATTGTAGTTTTGATCACTGATGAAGCACAGCGATAAGCTGCAAGGAACGACGGTGCGTATGGACTGCGAAGGGGATTTGCGGGGTAATCAAGCATTGCTTGTGCAAAGAAGCTTCTGTGGATATACAACATAGCTGTTGTATACATGCCTCATCAATTATCGATCCAAGAACCACGAATTACACAACAAGACTCAACTTGTGACGCGAAACTGAGATAACAGACGGCCACGCATGTATACAGATGGCGTACAAAATTCGTCATCAGTATTGCAATAGACGTTCAAAGATGGCGGTAGCACTTTTTCTCGCACTTTACGATCGAGCTCAAGAATTGTCTCGTAACTAGGAGGTGCCGCAGTCAGTGTAAGCTCTGTCACCTGCATGAAAACATCTCTAGTGAAGGTATGCTTCCATCGCCAAACTGAGCAGAAAAAGGGCACAAAATACTCAGAAGTTAGACTTGTGAATGTATCATGATGGACCTACAGCCCATTTCTACTTCACCCTTATCGTTTATGACGGTAGTTTCGTCGTCAGGAAATTCGCAGTCGATATAGGACAAGCGGATTGAAGGAGGGCGACCAAGTGCAAGGCTCTAATAAAATGGCTGGGTTACAGAGCTAATGGGAAGGACTAAAGTAAAACACACGTGAAAAAGATCAGTTGAAAATATCTCCCAGAAAAGATTACGGCGTCTCTGAACGATCTTCGGACTCATATTCCATCGTGTGGGATCACGATCTAAATAAGACGTCAATGTCAAGAAAGAAAGTAATGAGTGCAATATCACATACGCAGTCCTATCTGTAAAGGAATAAAAATGTGAATGATTCGTTCTATGCTGTGAGATTTTTTGAAATGCTTACACTTTGAGCTAGTTTACTTGCGAGGGAAATTAGACACCAGGCACCATCCAGAGTATATCTCCGTCCCCCATTACTGTGATAATATGCCATCAGGCAAAGCGATTGCAAGGTTTCAGTGGTTGGGAGATCGAATGCAGAACGCAGGGATAGTGAAAGACGGCCCAAATAGAAATAATTCTCTGCTTCCGAATTATATGGAGGCAATGTCAAGTCCATTAGCGCTCCTTGTGCAAAAATCATGTAAAGAACAGATAGCTTATGGGGTGGACAAGTAAGCTTGTTCTCTTGATCTATATCTTCTTTTCTTGCTTTGGCGTACTTGTAGATAGGTATCATTATATCGTCGATGACTTCGTCACGCTGCATGGGCCGAAAAATCCAAGCGGCTTGCTCCATGTACGTTTCGCACAAGGTCGTGGCTCGAGGATAGGGCGGAAGGAGATCAAGAAGAGAATTCATGATGGTCTCCATCCGTTCAGGATCTTGCGTTCCACCTAGGCCGAGAGGTAGTATGAATGGCATATTCTTGAGTTCTGATAATATCGGAGGTTGTTCTTCGGCAGGCCACCCAGTACATTCGAATTCTGTACCAGCCTGTAGTTTTAGTCAGATAAGTTGATGACCGCATTATATATTGCTATCCTCACGAGAAGTAGTGTCTGCGGGTAAAAGTAAGTCCTAAGCGATCGTTACAATAGCGTGCGCAGCAGTATGCATACCTCAGAGCCAGCCGAACGACCGAAATATTTAGACTCCCCTGAATCGCCGATTGTAAGAGTGCCGAGAGCATCCAGAGGAATGGAAGGTGGTTCAGCGACGGTTGGTCCAGTGCTGATAGGAGATTTGGGAGCTTCAGGTCCAAACTTGATCGCAAGCAGCTCTTCGGTCAGAAGAGGATGAGTCTCATTTGAAACACCGGCCTGGAATATAAAGAGGGCGTCTTCAAGTTGTCGTATTCGTTGCCCCATATCAGATATTTTTCTATGCAGATGTTCTGTATCAGCCAGAACGAATCTAGATAACGAGTCTCAATGCGACATAATCAAGCGACTTAGTATTCGCACTCATACCTCGTTCCCTGTCCAGTAGACAAGCTTCCTAAGAGTAAGGTGAGCCAAGACGACGACTGCTACATGCGCCCAGGCGATGATCACTTACCATTGGGACAGATTGTAGGACAACCTCTACGGACACAGGATCCACAGGGCAGTTTCTTGTCGCATTTGAGCTTTAATCTAACGAAACACGTATTAGTATAATCCAAATTGTGTTTAGAAAGACAACTACTGCGACACACCTCCTACATTCCGCACAGGAGACTTCACCCCTGGCCCGCTTGAGTTCTATTTCATCTTCTGTTGATAATTTTCGAAATGTGCGACGAGAAGGGCCAGCGTGTTTCATACTCTTTGAAGTGTCGAAAGGCATGGCATGGCTTATTATCTAAAGGTTCTTTGTGGTTCAGTCCAACGTTCAAGGATACTAGCACCGGTCGGATGGCACGGCAATCTGACTCGCAGCTTCCGGCTTGCGAACCTTAACCCTAATACTGGCGTTCTCTCATGGCATCCGGTGATAGGCAGAAGCCGCGGCCTAGAATCGATCATCTTATCTTGTCAAAAGGTGCCGCTCAGACCTATGACCACTTGTGTTCGGATGCTTTCGGTCCAAATCTCACAAGAGCCACGAAATATTCTAAAGTCAAGTCATCATATTGTAAAATCATGGCACAAGGCCAACATGCAGTGAATACGTAATAAAGATACATTAAGACATACAGATCTAGTAAGACATACAACAAATAACGCGTGAACTATAAAAACCTTATGCAATAAGTAAATATAACCAGAGACAAGTAACAATTCTAAAAGTCCTCGTCAAGAGAACTAAAAATTACAGTCAACAAATCATCCAGATCATTGAAAAATCAAATAGACATACAATGTTTTGCTCGTCGTCGACTCTTGCTGCGATGCATTATTGTGGTTAACGTTGGCCTTGGTATAATCCGAGACACGCTTTTCGAAAAAGTTCGTCTTCCCTTGGAGCGAGATCATGTCCATGAAGTCGAAGGGGTTCGTCACGTTGTAGACTTTGTCGTTCCCCAATGATACAAGCAGACGATCAGCAACGAACTCAATATATTGACGCATGAGCTTCGAGTTCATTCCGATCAGTGCGCATGGTAGAGCATCTATACACAATCATTCAATAACTGTACATTGAAATGATAAATAATACGTACCCGTCAGGAAGTCTTGCTCGATCACGACTGCCTCGGTGATAATTCTCCTCACAACGTCGGGGTGAGGACGACGCTTCAGGTGACTGAACAACAAACACGCAAAGTCGGTGTGCATTCCCTCGTCACGACTGATGAGCTCGTTGGAGAACGTCAAACCAGGCATCAAACCACGCTTCTTCAACCAGAAGATTGAGGCAAAAGATCCGGAGAAGAAAATGCCTTCGACTGCGGCAAAAGCCACTAAACGTTCGGCAAAGGTTGAACGATTGTCTGAAATCCACGTCAACGCCCAGTCTGCCTTGCGTTTGACACAGGGTATGGTCTCGACGGCATCAAACAGATACTCCCTTTCTGAAGGGTCTTTGATGTATGTGTCGATGAGGAGGGAATAAGTTTCCGAGTGAATGTTCTCCATCATAATCTGGAATCCATAGAAGCAACGAGCCTCAGCGGCCTGAACCTCGTTGGAAAACCGCTCCACAAGGTTTTCATTTACAATGCCATCAGAAGCAGCAAAGAAAGCCAAAACATGTGAAATGAAGTGACGTTCATTGTCGTTCAGACGGTTGGCCCAATCGTGAACGTCTTTGGAAAGATCCATTTCCTCGGCAGTCCAGAAAGATGCCTCAGCTTTCTTGTACATTTGCCAAATCTAAGAAAGATGTAAGTAAGCTATTAAGGTTATGAGTAGACTTGATACTTACTTCATGATACTGAATAGGGAATAATACAAAGCGACGTTTAGAGTCTTTCAGGAGAGGCTCTTCACCTGAAGTATCGGTTAGTCTATAGAATAGATTAAAAGAAAAAAGTAACACGTACTCTCAGGAAGGTCAACGTCGCCAACAAATTTCTTACGAATATCCTCAACATCATCCACTTCGGACGAGTCAATAACGAGGTCTTGAAGGATTTTACTAACCCGCTTGCTTGGGGAAGAGATGGGGGTGGGAGAGAGTGTGGATGCCATAACGATGTAGATGGATATGTTGCAATAAAAAGTCAAGAAAGTATATGACTGTGAAGGACGAAGAGTAAAGAGAAGGAGAGTGAACCCAGGTCTTTTATAACTGAAAGAAATTGCACGTATTTGTGCAGTTTCAACACGCTACGCGACGCGTTGTTGTAGTTTGTTATGAAGAAACGCGATGGGTCATCCAAAACCTTTGGCTTTTTTTACCGTGGGAACGTATGTCGCTTTCGGTCACGCTTTCGGTTACTTTTTTTGACCCGGCAACAATACTGCACAATCGGCTCAGCCACTACTTCCAAGCGACCACTTTCATCTCGAAATTCACATTCATGGTATGTTCATTGGCACACTCGTACAAAGACGACCTTAACAAAGTACCCAGCTTCGCAGACAAACACGCGAGCGTCGCCAATACGTTTATGCCAAGTCTGTGGAGGCTCAGGAGAGGCATGTATACGAAAAGAAGCAGCAGATAAAGCAGGCTTTGGCTTCGGGTAAATCAGTGCCCACAGAGCTGACAAAAGACGCAAAAACACTTGGGAAAGATCTCGCTTTTGACTACGCGCAAGTAGGTGAGTTTTGCAGTTCCTATTCTCATGGAGGAGGCCTCTAATGGGACGACTTGTTATCTATAGAACCTAGTACCCATATAGATAGTGAATACTCCCATGTCGGCATAAGAGATCCAAAAATTGTCATTACGACGTCCAGAGATCCAAGCTCAAAACTCCTACAATTTGCAAAAGTTAGTTTCTTTGTTTGTCGTATGTCTCGTTCACTAACTGTACGCTTGACCCCAGGAAATACGACTAGTATTCCCCAACTCCAGTCGAATCAATCGAGGAAATTATGTGATGAAAGACTTGGCCGAGGCATGTAGAGCTAACAATATTACCGACCTCATCGTTTTGCATGAACATCGAGGTGTTCCAGGTCAGTATCAGTATCATCCATCACTCTCTCGCAGGTTCATATTTATCTTACTCCTCAGATGCCATGATCGTTTCGCATTTCCCGTACGGGCCTACCGTATATTTCACACTACATGGCGTTTCCCTCAGACACGATATAGCGACATTCAAATCATCAACTGTTTCAGAGCAGTATCCACATCTAATATTCGAAAAGTTCGACTCCAAACTAGGGAAGCGGATACAAGACGTGCTGAAATATCTATTCCCCGTTGCTAAAGAAGATAGTAAGAGAGTGATGACATTTTCAAATGAAGACGACTGCATCTCATTTCGGTGAGCCTCTTCACATCTTCGTGAACAAAATGAATTCATAGTTCGATGAAGGCACCACGTTTTTGCAAAGATCCCACGTGAAGTTCAGTTGGCTGAAGTTGGGCCAAGGTTCGAAATGAAACGTGAGTCATCGTTACTCCTTGCGAATTATCACCGATCTTACCCATCCATTAAAGCGTACGAAATACGGCAGGGAACTCTCGAGCAGTCTGAAGCAGAACGAGAATGGGTTCTGTCGCATTATACTCGAACCGCAAAAAAACGGAGTCTACTATCATGATCCTTTCACTCTTTGTTATACGACTGTTACTTTTGCAGCGTATATGCTCTGGATTTCATCTCACGGAGTACAAGTATTGTATTGTCGATGGAGTAGAGCCACCCCTATTCATCGACTCTGATCTGATCTATTGTAGCTGTCAGGCCTTGAGGATAATGTAGTTGTGGTTTGTTATCCGACCAAAAAATTCTGGTGCATCATGGTTTCCTTGTAACCCATACACATATTGCTCGATTGTGTTTAGATATTTTACTTCATAGCAGCTCAAAGCTCCAACAGGATAGTTGAAGATGAGTAAGGTGTGCATCAAGGAATGGTTGACCGCCGCTCTGCCAAATAATGCCAAACAGCCATTACTGTAGATTCCGAGTCTGGTATACGTATGAGGTTTAGCATCTTCCACAAAATTGTAGAACTCACTGTAGCCTGTTAGGAGCTGGTAATGATGCAGACGTTATCTCTGTTTCTTGACCCACAAATACGGGATTGGGTTCTATTTCCCATTACCGTCGTTATGGTACGTTCATTGCAGCATTCAGCCTATGGTTGAGACAGATATTCTAATTATCGTGTTGATGCAGATTCTTGTTGGAGTTCTAAGACATTATATTGTAGTTCTGTTGCAAGCGACTCCGAAGACCCAAACACGCGCAGCCATTCGCGAACAGTGCGTCGGTATCCTTTCTTCTGGGTTGTACCCTTGAATTCACCTTACGCCAAAAACAGGCGCGCTTTGACACGTTCCCAAATCCTTCGCTCCACCTCCGCCAATTCCCCCATCCCACCATCCTATTACAAGTCTTACTCAAGAAGTCTTGCAGAATCTCTCAAGGCAGGCACATATCTCAAAGACGGTCCTCGGCAAGGTGACGCCCCAAGTGCCGCTGCAAACTTTTTATCGGACCCAGCCGCCATGGACGGTATGATGTCGGGCCTGAAAACTCAGATGGTGATGATGGTACCACAGATGGTCATTATGGGCTGGATCAACTTCTTTTTCCAAGGATTTGTGCTAAGTCCGTACATTATCCTACTACACGAGTCTAGAGCTTACCTCATTCCCTCTAGTCAAACTACCATTTCCCTTGACCCTCGGTTTTAAATCCATGCTGCAACGAGGGATCGAAACTCCCAATATGGACGTCCGGTGGGTTTCGTCACTGTCGTGGTATTTTCTCAACTTCTTCGGCCTGAATGGCTTGTACCGTCTTATTCTTGGATATGATAACGGTATGTTCTAGTATCTTCTGTCTGGAACTGCGGAAAGTGGTCTGATCTTGGAATGGGATATGGAAATATAGCTGCTTCTTCCGCGCGTGACATGTCGGTATCACCTTTTGCCTCAATGAATGCCCAGCAAATGGGGCAACCCCAGGACTTTGCCAAGTTGTTCAATGCAGAAGTGGATAACCTCCAATTCGCTGAAGGCCTCTATTCTTGGGTGGGCGATGCCGTGGAGCTTGAAGTTCTAGAGAAGTACGGCAAGTCAAATCCAAAACCAATCCAATAGACTACATACGGCTGTCCGCCTGTACAACTTGAATTTAATTACATTTCCGTGGAAGTGTACAAATTTGGCTGGCACGAAGGACCAACGTGAAAGTCCACTGCTAGTCGAGAAAAGGAAGCAATAATGTTATATTACTACTACATCAGCTTTAATGGTCTGGAGATGACGAAGTCAATGACAGAAAGATCTAAAAATGGAATGTTAGATTCTGTACAGTCGGTAGACAAGTACATGAAAATCATGGTCCTTACACAATACAACACACATCACTAATCTGAAACATCTCCTCATACTAGGCCATCATAAAGTGATAGTGCCTGATCAAAGGTTGAGTCTATTACCGCGGTGGAGAGGGACATATGGACAGACCTGGACTATAGTTGGGTCTTGCTTGCTACCCTCAACGAACTCTTCGTATGTTAGCTTCGCATCTTTGTCACGGTCCATATTATGAAATATCTTGTCCACACGCTGAAAGACGGAACGGAAAGGGTGAAAAGATGGGCCGAGGAGTAAGAAGGAGGATATACCTTCTCAGGGGTATCTTCGTCGGGTGGTAGTTTAACCATTTGACCCGTCATTTTGTATATTGACTGGACAATCATAAGCATTTCGTCATAAGTAATGAAGCCGTCCTTGTCTATATCGTAGAGCTGGAAAGCCCCTATGATAGGTCGAGATGAATAAGAGAGGGAATATGTGGCGTGTGGCCGAGGGGACGTACACTTGAGCTTTTCGTCGAGACGACCGCGACTCGTGACACTAAGAGCACATATAAATTCCTTAAAGTCGATTGTTCCGTTCTTGTTCTCGTCGAAGACATTGAAGACGTAATCCGCGAATTCACCAGGATCTCCGAAAGGAAAGAATTGCTTGTATATCCGACCAAACTCGGTCTTGTCCAGCTGACCGGATGGACAATCTTTGAGAAAGCCCTTGTACCTAATTGGCCGAAATAAAAGGGTTAGAGTGGAATTGTGTCAGCAGAAAGGGGACAGAGACCATTGCTGGAGTTCTCGCTTGTCAACTACAGGGGCAGGAGAGAGATGGCTGAAAAGATGTGATAGCGTGATTGAGATAGGAGGAAAGACTTACAGTATGTATTTTTCTGGAGGTCAGCGAGCTGTTCTGGGGAGAGTTTGCTCTGTGATTTGCCCATTGTCAGAGATGAAGGTGGTGGTGGTGTCTGGACAGAACAGAGCTATGTTATGGACTGGTCTCGGTGGAATGGAGGATTTCTGATGTGGGCATGCCGAGAGCGGCAAGATGTTCCCACGGATTATCTCTGGCGATCTCCGCGGGTGGCCTCAGCATCGAGTGATAAGAGGCTGGTCGCTGTGGTGGACGACGACGACGACGGCCTGGTGCGCTGGTATCCAGCACGCGGGTAGTATATGTTTTTGTGTGCAGTGCGCTGGAGATGGGGGTGTTGGGGATGATGAAGAGTGGACGCGGACGGAAGCGATCAGCAGAACCACATGCCGGCCTGCCTTCTGAGAAGAGACGATATCCCGGCCCTTATTTAGTATCCTGCGCTCGTCTTTCCTATAGCATTTTTATCATCGCTTTATCCCTTGCAGTGGTCTGTCATGTGTTATCCCTATGATTCAACTGACCCCTCCTCTCCCATTCCCTGTCCCATGTGCAGAGTATTCAAACCTAGTGGCGCCAGGTATGTCCCCCATCTCATGCGCTGCTCCCATCTCACTCTCTCCTCAGGTGTCCCCATATTAAAGACGTCTGCTACAACAGAGCTCTCCATCCTAGCCATGATGTCCTCCATCTCAAGAACGCAGAAGGTATTCTTCTCCATCTCTTTCTTTTCCCACCTCTCACCTCTCTCTCCAGTAAAGTCATTCAATGGCTGTGGCTACTGCAGGGTAATGCCTTTCCCATCATCCTCATCATTCCTCTAATATCCTCCATCTCCCGCTACAGTGGGCTCGAGCAAACCCTCAGATCAAGTCTGTCTATCACAATCCAGGCTGGCCAGGCTGCTGTCGTCCCCCAGCTATCAACGAACAACACTACATTCATGCCGCAGACTGGCCTTCAGTCAGCATCGTACACCACGTACCCATACCCGCAGAAATAAAATCGCTTCTCGACAGTCTCATGCCCAAGGGAAACTCTCTCCCTGTCGGCACAATCGGTCGCAGCGCAGGTGCACAAGCATCAAAACCCGCTCTCGACCGCAGAAACAGCTGCACTAATCAACCAGTCAGATCCAACAGCCGTGACCAGCACGACAGGGCTCAGTCCCTCTCTATTGCAGCCAGAGGACGTCCAGGTGGCAGTCCACCCCAGCAGTCATCTACGCTAGGTCCAAACTCGCGTTCACCGGGAGCGCCCTCTTCCCTCCCAAATTCAAATTTCATAGATCAGTATCTTCCACAGCGTCGTCACAATTCGGATCCTTCAGAAAAATCTCGCTCTTCTCCCGTGCGGAAAAACGTCGAATTAGAGGGATCAGTTTCTCGACGTAACACGGCTGGACGAGCATCGCTATCGTCGGCTCTCTCTTCGATGAAGGCCTCAGAAGAGGCCCCACGCCAGTCTTCGCTGTCTCGCTCTGCTTCGACGTCTAGCACGACTACACCGCCGCTGAAACCTTCTACGTTTGGCACGCGAGAACGCCAGAACACTGTCACAACGCGGGTGGTGCCGAAGAAGTCTACCGTAGAGGAAGCCATGGCAGCAATGGAGATTGCAAGTAACTCCAGTAGTGGCAGTAGCGATAGCGGTAGCTCAGGCTCCCGCGGATCAGGCTCTCTCTCAGATGCTACCATAATTTCGGACGGTGGTTTCACAGATTACCTCTCTGACGAATCAGAGGCTGAGCTGCAGAGGCAAGCAGAGGCCAAGGCTGCTCTCGTGGCACAGAATCAAGCCGAGGAGTTAGAATTTAAAGCAGCTAGACAGCAGCTAGCGGGAGTTGGCTTACATCCGCCAAAATCGTGGAACGATACGAATGACGGTGTTCCTCGCATACAAGGTACTCCATTACACGCACCATACACACACCACGCGCCTTTTGCACCGACTTTTGCACATACCGGTCCGACCACATCCCGTGGATAGATTGCTAATGCTTATCATCTTTGTGTACAATAGAATTCACTCGATAGGGCTCTTTGTTTATAGCTGAAGTTGGTCAAAAAGGGGGAGGTTGGACGATGTGATATATCGGTGCTGCACTCATCATTTCCCTGTTTTCCATGACTGTTAGTGTGTTACTATGCTGAATTGTAGGGCGAATTTTTTGAATCATGCAAGACAACACATATTGTACCAATTAACATTTTTTTCACCGTAGCTTAATTATCGGGGATGACTTTTGTCCGAGCGCTCAGTCTGAAAGAAACGTCTCTTCAGGGGTACAAGTTATGCAATTGTTACGACAGTGACGGGTGGTATGTTCACATCTAGATAAGCAAATTTAACCATAAAGCAATCTATTAAAAAAAAAATCGCACAATCAGAAAGAACTTGGTACTTCCAGTACTTTTGATGGCATCCATCAATAAAAAGCGACAGCGTGAAGAAGGCTATGAGGATGGCGTTCCTGTTGTGCTTTCAATATACTTTCGATTTCATCATCAATATCATTTGATGATTCGATCTGTGATCATAAATCAGGATGCATAAGGGAAGCTGCCAACGCATAACTTACTGCGGAAGCCAAATCGAGCATAGCCTTTCCTGCAATAAGGGCTTCTTCGTGGTTATCTTTTATTTCTATATTTATAATGTGAACCGGTCGATTGAAGTCGCCTCCTCGAGCAAGTAGATCTGTAGCGATGTTAAGAACTGAGTAGCAGGAATAATCGAGGATTGATCTTCACCATCACAAACGGCATCAAAACAACGCTCTTCGCAAGTAATCACCACATCTGCAACTGTCCTACTCTCCTGCCAACGTTCTGGAGCGAGTTTGAGTCGCCTGTTGCGATCCAGCATGTGTAGAAGGCCATTGGCGGTATATCTTGGTCACGCTTCTGATATCAACGGCTGGGTACAGGCACATAAGTGTGTGTACTCACAATCTAGTGTCTTTCGAAGTCAATTCCTCGTATATTGTATGGTAAGGCGTTCCAAATGGATATATGTTTGGTTTGTCTATCGATGGTCCAGGCAGACGGACAGCAGAGCCAGTGCCAGATGAAATGACGCGGTACCCTGCCTTTCTTTGAGGAGCTTTGTCAGCCGATATGCATTCGTTTGATCAAGGCGAAGAACACCAACTGCAAAACAGAGTGACCTTCCATAGACCGGTTCTACTTGAGAACGTATGAAGACTTTTATTAAAAATAGCTCATCTCAGATGTGAAATACCTGGTTGCTAGCGCAAACCACACAGAACAGCGGACGTGCTTTGTATGGGGATGGGGTGCGAGGTGGACCTGAGTTGCTCGAAGATGGGCCACTCGATCCTTGCTGGGGAGGCGGTGTCTGCGTCGCGGAAAGCTCACGAGTCGCAGGTTGAGGAATTGGTTGCTGCTGAACGGCATTGAGATAGCTGCCGTTTTGTGGCCAGGAAGATGCGCCCATTTGGGGTGGCTGAGAGTCCATTGCATTGGAGGGGGCAGATGACTGCATGCGTTGCAAACGAGGGTCAGCACGGGCAAGGCGAGGATCTTGTGCTCTCCGTGGATCCATGGTAATTCTCAGCTACGCGATTATAATCAGTTGACGAGTTTTTGTGAATGAAAACGATGGTCGCAAATTGAAAGGGCACCCCTCAGAAGTATCTAGAACATTTTTGGTCTTCACATCGACCCAACAAACTGTCTCCAGCGTGGGTCGATAGAGATTCCACTCTGAATCATCAAAGGGGGCAGAAAGAACATGTTTTTACCTTTGAGTATGACTTGCAGAGCACAGACGCGGTGGAAACAAGACAACCTTGACTTTGGACTGTTCAAGTTGGAAGACAAAGAAAGCGTGACACGAACGCCTACAAAAAATGGACAGTCACAGGATAGCATATCATAATGTAACGTCCCCTGGAGTCCTCCCAAATGACGGACCCCAGTAACCCTAGCATGAAACTATGACTCGGATATTGGTACAGTACATGATGAGTGCAAGACAGAAAATCTTAAGGTACTTATAAAGATAATAGCATGAACGAAGCGCTTTTCATCAGGTTCATATCCCAAAGTTAAAACTTGTGAATCAATCTTCCGCGGTGGTCAACTTCACGCCCATGCTTGTCAACTAAGCCTCTGTGGTCCACTGCTCCAAAACACCACAGACCCTTTCGCGTGCGGTGTTTACTCTGATGATGGCGTGGGTCTTGGTAGGCGGGCCGTGAGCTGTAGGATGGGTCCATCCCAAAGAAGGAGCGAAACCGCTCTCCCATGCTGGGCGTGCGATATTGGTGGGAGCCATGACTCGGGTGGGCGTCATAGTATCCGTGGTGTCTTCCAGAATCAGATTGCTAAAAATCCCACCCGGTAAGTCGTTGACCGTTAACAAAAAAAGCTGGACATACCACGATGTGGTGTCCGTTCCCGTGTTTTCGCATATCGATCACTGGTGGCATCGAAGAGCTGTGATGATGACGGCTTCTACCGCTGGTGAGACGCGGACTCGCTGGCACAGTGTAATAATTTGCCCCTCCACTGTGAGAGTGGTGGTGACCTCCACCGTGATGGTGAGAGTGATGAGAGGAAGGTGTATAGTGGGCTGTGGAGACTGGAGTTGCATAACTCCCTTGATAGCCAGCTGATACATGACGTCTCAGTGATGTGGAATGGTGTACGGGAGTCCCGTCTGTGTAATATTCTTGTCCACGGTGGCCATGTCGCGAGTGTGAGCCTGAGCGACGACTAGTAGGATATACGATAGGTTGACCATGGCCGTGGCCGTGGTGTGAGGACGAAGGTACGATGGCATATGAAGGCATTTTGTGTATGGTGTAAAGAAGAGAGAGAGGGATGCGATGAAATAAAGCTCCAGTGAAAACTCTATTTCACAGCATTACTACGAAAAAGTTATAGCTTATGGTAAGTCAGTGCGTCATTTCGGAACCTTTGATAAGATAGGCATTACGAGAAGCTGTACGGCATGCCTAAAGCCAGTGAGCCTTGCTGCGCGGAAATTAAGCACTGATCAAGCAGATTATAAGTATAGGCAGGTATCTTTTCACGATGAGTCTGCACCCACACAGTCCACAACTATTTAGGCTGCAATGTGATGATTTACAGGAAATTCGAGCAGTCTGATCTTGATGCATAAGGATGCATAAGGTCCAAATACACAAGTGAGAAATTTCACGCAACTCCTATACAGTCTATTATAGGTGGGATAGCTTGAAAAACGCACATCGTGGAATTAATCGAAGCATCCATCCATGAGGACTGGATGCCTACTCCATGTCCGCAAAATCACCCTCATCCATGTCGTGCGGCTGATCGCAAAGAGAATATCAAACACCTGTTGCTGATAAGCCGATGTATACGTACCTCTTTCGGCTCTTCGTCTTCACCGTACTGCATCGTAAAATCTATATGGCTTACTACTGTTTCAAGAGAATCCGGAGATGTAAGATCGAGAGGGAGGAAGGACACAAGTGGATGATCTTCAATCTAACGGAAGGCGGGATTTGATCTACATGTGCTATGAATAAAGGAGGAGTTATGAAGGCTTACCAGTTGAACAATGGCTTGATTAAGTGCATGAAATCTTGGATTAGTGTTAGGAGACTCGCGTCCAAGGGGTACGATAAGAAGAGGATCAGGGTCGAGATATCGTGCAATATCCTTCCGAGTACGGCGACCGTTGCGTGGACCACCAGAAGAGTTATCCGGATTGGACGTGATAAGGTCCATTTTTGACATTATATTGATCCAGGGAACCTCAAGGTTCACCATGGCAGACATGGCAGTGAGCACTCCGCTGAGAGCTACATGAGATAGGTAAAAAGGTACCAATCCAACGGACCTGCCTGAAGAATTTGTATTTGTCTTCCATGAACTGTGATTCCAGCAAATAGACTCCGCATGTACGTATACCCATCCGTGTCAAATGTCGCACTAAAGACGGGAGGAAAGGGTGATGTGTATACAGTTCAATCTGACCTGTGTGAACAAACATTGAGATGGTATTATTAGACTGGCCAACGTTGAGACGCTGAGGTAGAGAAGTGGAGCTTACCAGGGCAGTCAATTATCAAGTAATCATCATCGAAGCCCCCTAACTCTTCATCCAGCCAGTCAATATGTTGCAAGAGATACCTACAACCAATACAGAACAGATAGTTTTTGAGATGACCGTCGGCGAGGTTAGATCTTTCTCTACACCCATGGGAAATAGCGTGCACTCACTCACTCAAAACAATAAACTAGGCCGCCATTCGGCCCATACCCCATTTCATTCATCACATCCTCTAAGCTGATAAGTTCTCGGATGTCGATTGCTGGCTCATACTCAAATGCATCGCCTGTTGCAGCAGGGTCGAGATTCACGATATTTGCGCTTCGTTTCGACATGCGGAGGTGAGTCATAAAGGACGTTGAAAACGTAGATTTTCCTGCACCGGCTGGGCCAGTTACCAGGACTGCATAACGCATGTTTTGAAATGTATTTCAGCTCAGATATAGTATGAAGGCAAAAGAGAGCTTGGACTGCAGAAATGCAAGAGACACATTTCCGAGGATAAGACACAGGCGACGTCGGTTCTGTCTGACTCAGCAATTGAAAGTCCGACCACTCACTTTCTCCTGATACGCTCTCTACAGGTCTTATTGTGGATCAATAATATTTCTTGGACATAGGATCTCACCTTGCCGTGCCAGCATCACGATGTCGAAGCCTCCTATTAACCCAGACAAAACTGCAGCAGGAATTGCTCTCGATCCGCGCACTCTGGAACGTGTCATTCCAGAATCAAAGAGACCAGACGGATCGTACGTGCAATTTGGTACCATACTTTCCGTCTGAGTCGTGCTTATCGCCACTACTCCCTTCATAACAATCTAGAGTCCGAAAGCAGATAAAAATCCGTCCGGGTTTTACCCCCCAAGAGGATGTAAGACGCTTTAGGGGTACAAAACAGGCTCAAATGGATGCAACTTCACTGCCAAAGGGGCATATAATCGGATGGATACCACCATCTTCTGCTCAGAATAAAGCGGGAGCAGCCACCACCCCAGCACCAAATAAGAACGCGAAGAAAAGGCAGCAGCAGAAAGCCAGGAGAGCAGCTAACGCCGACAAAGTAGCAGTGAAGGAAGACTGGGAGGACGAAGACGAGGAGGACGAGAAAGGGGAAGAGAAAGGAAAGGTCACAAAGGCGGACAAAGCTGAGACTGGTGATATCACTACCAAGAGTGCCCATACTTCGGACACACCTAATTGGGCTGCTGCACCTGAGGCCACGCCAAGTGCGGAAAAAACGTCCGACGCACTGGCTGAGAAACTCGAGAAACTCAATGTAGGGTGATTGATGTTATGAAGGGATGGCGTTATGTATCGAGTTGTCTTTTCGAGTCATCCGTGGTTTTGGAGTGAGGGGGAAGAGAGGGATTAATAGAGGTTATAGATATGGTGTACAAAGGATAATGATACATCGAAACTGGTTGTAAGATACGGATAGTTGTATTTTCTATGATTGACTGGAAATCTAAAGCGAATGTATATCGTGTGCAAGGGAACTCTTGTTCATTCGTCAATGTAAATGACCAAATGTAAGAGAGATGTTATGGGTAACTTGGTTGTTCGAATGCTTCCCCTTCGGTGTGCTTAGGCTCGCCGTTGTGTGACCGTGGTGGAAGCGAGGTGGTTGGCCCTTGTTTAGGTCGAAGTTCCATGCTTATGACCATGACTACGAGGAAAGCGCCCAGGGTAGCTTGAGAGGTTCAGAATCACGGCACTCGTGAGTTGGAGCTGATGGGAAAAGGTCATGTGCATAACACTCACCGACAGATTTGCGCATGTTGTCCCATTTCACTTCTTCCATATCTGCTCGAAGATCACCGATGCTGACTATGGCTTTATTAAGAACTTCCTGATGTCGAAGTGAGAAGTGTTATTTGATTATGTACAGAACGGTATACAATAACATATTGGACTCACCTCTATCATGATATCTTGCTGCTTGAGCTCAGCTTTGGATTCGTTCTTGCGACTATCAAGTTCCATTTGTATTCTACGAGATAGAAGAGTCGGGTTAAAACAAAACGGTATTGTGTAAGGCGCTAAATACTTACTCGTGCTTCAAAGTACTCACGTCTTCCTTCATCTTCACGTCCAGACGGTCAACTTCTCGCCTAAGGGCTGCGGTAGCAGTTCGCATGGCTGCACTTTCATTGCGTGTCCGCATAGTAACCTCTGCACGAAGCTCCGATAACGCAGCACGAAAGAGATATGCTTGCTATCGATGGAATAGTATCAGATGCAGTTTCTAGTACCGTGACACAGAAAGCACTGAAAGAAAAATACACACATTATCCAGATCCTTAATGGTCAAACCTTCCCTCCTCACCCTCCCTACTCGATCAACAAGCAAGGCACGCGTTGCACGCATCAGACTGCGAGCGGTTTGAGTGGGGAACGTCTTCTCTAAAACAGTAAAGAACTGGTGGGTGTGAAAGGGTGGACTAGAGTGAAAGTTCGTGGGTGGAAAGGGAGGAGATGGTGAGGGTAAAGGCGGTCCAGATGTATGTCCAGTTTCTCCTGCACTTGTGCTTGTGTTGGAAATCGCATTTGAGTTGCTGCTGGATGATGCAGCTGGGTCGACTCTGGGGTCCTTTGGATGCGAGAGTGATAACGACCTCGATGGCGTTGAACCAGACGAGTTCTGGTCCGTGTAGGGCTGCGAACTGGGAGTGTCCAAAATATTATGGACAGACCCGAGCGTGGTATGGGCATCGCGATGGGACGTCGGTATGAGAGATGTTGACGACGATGGCATGTGCACTTCTGTGGTTGATAATAGCCGACTATAAAGACGAGGCAAATGTCGAAGCATTGTAAAGAATGTTTGAAGGTAAAGAGCTTGTGGTGGTACTTGGTATATCGGTAGAGCGGCGAAGACTGTTAACCGCCATATACAGACACGTTAATGACTCCCACGCCCCTGACTCATATCAAGCGCGCCTGTGATAGCCTGACGACTTATAAAGACAATGCTGGGGCTATCATATTTCATAATACATTGCAAAATTGTTTACTAAGTACAGTTATAACGAACAACTGTTCTTCTGATCAAGGAACTGCGATGCCTGCTTGGAATGTAGGTCTCTCCAGTGCGCGGGCGACCCAGGCCTAGATAATTTCATTCTTTAGTACTATGGAGGTGGTGAGAAGGAACAGGAGCATCACCTTCACGTTGGGCCACTCATCCAAGCTCTCAATAGCAGCATACTTATGGATTCTGACCCTGTTCCCCAGATATATCAAAACCTTGAGCAAACTTGGAGTAATGCATGACTAACCAAGGAAGCACGTTAATATCCGCGACACTGTATTTGCCCTTTCCAGAGCCAACGAGATAATCTCTTCCACTCAGACGAATCTCAAGCACACCGTAGAGACGCTTGGTCTCCTCGACATACCCTGTCATTAAATCAGATACTGTGGGTACAAAAATAAAACAAATACTAACGGTTTTTCGCGTAGGGAATGTCTTCGGGTGCTGCCCTTTGGAAGTGGTTGGCTTCGTTAAGATAATTATCAGCAACTCGTTGCCATCATGAACTCCTGGGACGTAGACTTACATTGGCCCTGCATGGGTCCTACTCCACCATGCTAAACACCATTAATCAATCGATACTGCTCGTCGGCGTAGAATCATCTAGTACTTACAGCAAAGAACATCCATTGCAGTTGCTCGCTTAATTCATCAGGGTCTTCAAAAGTGAAGCGTTTTTCCTTATCATAATGATGCTCGAGGTAGAGCAATATAGCAGCAGTCTCGAATACATTGAAGTTGTTTCGCGACTTGTCGGTGAGGACAGGGATACGACCGTTAGGGTTGAGTTTTATAAACCAAGGTTCTTTCTGCACGTTTGTTGAAATATCGATCCTAAAGACTCTAAAACAACAGATGTCAAGTTGAAGATTATCAAACAGTCAAGGCATCAAACTCACTCGTAGTCGACAGCATTGCCGTAGACAGCCTTAAGCTCCTCCAAAAGAACTGATACTTTGTGTCCATTGGGAGTAGGCCCGGTGTACAAGACAAACGGCTTGGATGAAGCGGACATTCTTGTTGATGCTAATGGGATAAAGGGATGTGTGAATACCTAGTGAAGAGGAGGATGATGATGATATGACTTCACGGTACGTTTCTTGCCCCTTTAAATAACCACGGCTATAAACGTCATAACCTTCACACTGACACTGGCAATTCTGTCAGCACCTTCTGATTGTATCGGTGAGGTTCTGTGTTTCTAATCAAAAGTGTAAGAATCCTGCTTCCTAATCGTAGTCAGCAAAACTTTCGACAACTCACGTATCTTGGCTTCGGGATTGCGTATTGCTTTGCAAGCAATGTACACTGATCATGAAACACATGGCTGACTCATTATCATAGAATGGAGATTTAGCAAAAATTCAGCCTAAATGGGAGTTCCACTTCAAGTTTAATTGCAACCAAACTGTTACTGCTTATTGTCGTAATCGTACCGCAGATAATTCAAGTTGGACCGATGACTGACAACTTCCACCGTCCCTTTGAGAGCTAGCTTTGGAGGGCCGAGAAAAGGACGTACTAGGTCGACAGCAAGCTAGAGTCACCCTTGAAATTCGAAAGAAAGTGTACACTTGTGCTGAGCACGATAAATCATCGCACTCTTCGCTACCACTGCCTACTGGAGACCAGCAATTAACCTTTCGATAAGACAATTTATTCGGTAGTTGGTGGTGGTGGAGATGCTGTTGGATGATCTCGTAGTTTGGCTGCATCTAATCCTACTGTATTCCCCCTAAATCGTTTCCGCATATCCAGCTATCTCATTTGTCAGTTATGCCGAGGATCACGTATCAAAGATTCAACAGCACCCACCATATTGCGCTTACATTCAAAAGTTGCTTTACGCAGCGACTGGCATTGTTCTGGAAGTTCGTCTATGTGTTCTCTGAGGCACTCGGACGGCAGTCGACCATCCTTGAGAACGCAGTCAGATTGTAATAGACAAGATTTGAGTGCTTTGAGGAGCGCGTCGCATGATGAAGACATTTCACTGCGTAAATCCTATAGCTATATGACCCACGGCTGCAACTTCCTACTCTCCAGGATTTTGCGTCTTGTATAACCTTCTCGTTCTTCCAGTTTGAACGTGTTGGTAACAACGAGTGGGCAGACCAGTGCTGACAAACGTCCTCTGCCGGCAAATTTGTAACATGTACGCAACTTGCGACATACCTCCATTTCATTATGCCTGTACCGCCTGCACTACGGAATCTTATACGCACGACACCAACGCTAGCTCCCTTGAACAATAAATCTATCATTTCTGTTTCTGGTTCCCAGGCAACTGAATTTCTGAATGGTTTGCTCGCCACAAGTGTCACTAATCGACCAGGTTATTCAACGTTTCTCCATGCTCAGGCAGGCTATATTCATTTGACTCATTGGGATAGGGAATTGAGTTTATATAATGGATGTACTGGCTGTTAGGGTCGCGTTCTCCACGATGTGTTCCTATACACCCAACCTGCACCTCTGGGCAAAAGTGCTTTCCTCATAGAACATGATTCCAGCCCTTCGGAGACACCGCAGCTCGTGACTCTTCTGAAGCGATATGTTCTACGCTCAAAAGTGAAAATCAGGGACGTTTCTGAAGAATATGATGTATGGGCTGCTTGGGGCTCTGAAGCGGGAGATAAAGTAGCCAAGCAGTTTAATTGGGCTCCGAGCGGGTCTGCTGAACCTGTATTGGACTTAGAGGCAGGGAAATGGCCTTGGGGACTAGATCACGGAGTTATTCGTGATTGGAGGGCAGTTGGAATGGGCAGAAGGATGTTAGTTGCAAAAGAAGACCGACGTAAGTGTTTCTTCTCATACAATACCCTCAAACATGTTTTATGGCCGTACTCAACGCAAACCGATAGCCAAGGAAGCTTCGACGCACGATCTCACATCATCCGATGCATACCTTTTACATCGCATTATGCACGGCGTGCCAGAAGGTAGCACAGACATACAACCCATGCATGCGTTCCCTATGGAATCGAATTTGGACCTAATGGGAGGATGTGCGTATACTCTATCATGCTGGTTTAATCCTGACTTACGCTGCTCGATGTTACACAAGTGGACTTCCGCAAAGGTTGCTATGTGGGCCAAGAACTGACTGTTCGCACATACCATAAAGGTGTAGTGCGCAAACGAATTTTACCTGTCACAATATCTGGCAACGAAAAACATAGGTATTTTTTCTACTCTTCCAAGAGTGCCAATAGTAACCTCACCATGTCTCTGGTCATCTTTCTATGATATTGTTATAGCACTCCATCTGTAAATTCTCCACCCCCATCTCTTCCTGTTCACCTTTCCGTCTTCCCCACCCGAAGAGATGGTGAACGGCCTCCACGAGGGACGGGCACTTTACTCAGTACTATCCTCGCTCCAGCTCATGGCATAAGCATAGGACTGGCACTTCTGCGCCTTGAACACGTCGAAGGCGCACAGAAGGGTGACATTGACCTTGCAGTAAAGAGTACACAGGGGGATGATGCATCTGGCGAGAAGACGTGGCAAGTGCAGCATTGGTGTCCTGACTGGTGGCCGAACCAGGAATCTGCGTAGGACGCCTATACGCGCACCAATAAATGGGAACACGCAGGAGTGATTTGGTAGAGCTGCATTCTGGAAGTTGAATAACTAATTTGCAACTGTAACACGATAGAGCGACAGCATTTTCCCAACTCAGCATATATTATCATTGAACACTTTCAGGACTATCTCAGACTTCGGCCAGGACAGACGCAAATACGTAGTCCCCATCATGACTGACGGAGACGTGCAACTTTCCGGGCCACACCTTTGTACTCCCACCAGAGTTTGGTGACTGCGAAGCACCAGGGTCGTACATCAGTGTAGGCTTGACACCGTCGACGAGGCTTCGATATGTAAGCTCCTTCCAGGTCGGACGCACGGGATAAAGGGCTTTGTATGCGGCCTCTTTGACCGCCCACCTATAGATAACCACAATAGACAGTTGGATCGTGTCAGAAATGTGAAACACGCCGAGTAAAAACCTGATAGCAGACCGTACTGCGAGAAAACGCGTCCGTCGTTGGTCGTCCGATGATGGGAAGGTACTAAAGGTCGCGTATTCTTCCGTGCTAAGGATGCGCAGTGCAAATTTTGAAGGGCTTTGTCGTTTTAATAAAGAGCTGATGCGAGTGAGATGCAAGACATCGACACCAATGCCATGGACAGGCATGGGGCAGAAATAAGAAACGTTGCTATATCCGAGCCAAACTACTGTCGGACTTTGCCGAGAGATATGGACCAGGTATGATTTGGACTGGAACTGATTATGATTTTTCAATAGTTTGTATTTGCTTTCCTTACATCTGCTCCATTGTCTGGCGAGATTCATCGTCTACACTTCTGTGCAGAGACTGGTACAAGGCCTGCTTGGTTACTGCCTTTTACACTCTAGATCGCACTGCCAGTGGTAGTCCGAGCACCAGGTGCTAGATAAAATGGCCACTGCATCCTCGGCATATATATCTGCTTCGACAAACCGCTTCTCGCACGCTGCAGATATATCTTCATCTTCTCTAGTTGCTTATGGATCGTCTCAGCTTGTTGCGCTTTGGGATGTCACTGTAAGCTCTACTCAGTTGCATTTTTAGTCACAGTTGATTCATTCCTGTTAGGATCTACATGATCCCGGTGTGAAGGAAACTCTACCCGGCCACGAGGGCGACGTAACATGTGTATCCTTTGCAAGAGATGACCTTCTCGTTACCGCGGATAACAAGGGGCAAGTCCGGTGTTGGAGGAAATTTGGACTCCAGGCATGGCAGGCTCATGTATACTATTCGGAATGTTGTCTAATGCCAATATGTTTCTCGTTCCGATTTAAAAATAATCATCTAGTGGAAATCAACTGCTGTCTTGCAAGGACATGAAAAGGCTATCACATCACTCTGCGTTCTTGACCAAATTTTGGTCACTGGGAGCTCAGATTCACTGGTCAAGGTTTGGAGTATCACTTTTGGAATTGAGACCGGTAAATCTCCTCCATTTCCATTCGTCTATATCTATTAATTGCAATGAAGATCAAGTTGCTGAGGTACAAGTCCTATCTCTTCACGGGAAATATTCCCTTGCCCTTGCCCTTGTCACTCTACCAGGATCAACTGGTGCGTGAAGTTTATGTACAAACGGATGATCCACCATCCTGATTTCTTCTATGTTCCCACTGAATTTAGCGACTATGCTTGCAATTGCAGGTACAGACCATAAAGTTCACATCTGGACCCGTTCAGAAGAGACAGTCAGTCTTGTGCGTTCCCATTGAAAGTTTATATTGATCATTCCCGCCCGATACGGTTATACTCCACTAGTTCATCAGATCCGTCGTACTCCCAGGACACGAAGACTGGGTCCGGAGTCTTGCTTTCCGAGCTCCTGAAGCTGTTCACGACCCACTGGTTTTGGCATCCGGTTCACAAGATGGGACTATACGCCTGTGGAGTATCGAAATAATGTCCAGAGACAAGCCCAAAGAGTTTTCACTAGGTAACACCAATACTGAGCAACTGAACGATGAGCTTCTGGACGCCTTCGAGGCGTCCCTGGGTGACCTGGCGGATGGAGAAGAGGGCGGTCGACAAATATCTCTCAAACGACATGTCTTGACTGTGAAGACTGATCAGGGGTACGAGCACTGATAAAGTCTTGGTTTTGATATTGACGAGTTACTTGTAAGCTCCCAGCAGTTTTCAATAACGTTTGACGCACTTTTGATCGGCCATGAAGCTGGCATTACCTCTTTGTCTTGGCGTCCCACCACGAGTAACCCTCAAGCAGATCAAAGACCCACTCTTCTCTCAACCTCTACAGATTCTTCCGTCATTCTTTGGTCCCCATCTAATGTTATTACTTCGTCTCAGGATGGCTCGACATCTATCTGGATAAATCGACAACGGTTTGGAGATATTGGAGGGCAAAGGCTTGGTGGCTTCATCGGTGGCTTGTGGTCTAAAAAAGGGACGGAGGCCATGGCTTGGGGGTGGAGCGGCGGATGGAGGCGCTGGCGGTGTGATGATGAAAAAATGCCAGGGAGTGAAGGTATTGACAACTGGAGCGAAATTGGTGCAGTCGGTGGGCATAGCGGACCTATTAAAGACCTCGATTGGAGCCCCAAAGGAGAATACCTCATTTCAGTTGGGTATGTTCTGTGCCATCTGATCGGATATTGCTGAATATTTCTGCAAGGCTCGACCAAACAACTCGTATGCATGGAGCGATCCAGACAGCAGACGCAAACGGTGCGCTAACTTATGTATGGCATGAGCTGAGTAGGCCGCAGGTACATGGATATGACATTGTTGGCGTGAGGTTCCTCGATGCTCTCAAGTTCGTGAGTATCGCAGATGAGAAAGTCGCCCGAGTGTTTGAAGCCCCACGCGTATTCGTTGACTTGGCGAAGGGTCTTGGAGTGTTAGACTCCACCATAAGCAGTGTATGCATGCGTTTTCTGATTATCTGCATTTCATACTGATAATCAATCATCGTACAGGAGGAAAGGCCCCTTGGTGCTAGTGTTCCTCCGCTTGGCTTGTCCAACAAAGCAGTCAGGGAAGGTGATTTGTTCCTGCTTATACATGGGCACTATTTTAACAAACTTATGTATCTGAGCTAGTTTTACCTACGGGACCAAACCCAGATACTCCCATTCGACGTCCTTTCGAAGGCGAACTTGCATCTACCACCCTGTGGCCAGAAGTTGAGAAAGTGTTTGGCCACGGTTACGAAGTAAGCTTCTAATACTGCTTTGTCTTGACTTGTGCTCAGTCGCACAAAAGTTAATAAGCCTTGCTGTATCAAATGACAAACGTATGATAGCAACGGGATGCAGGGCATCGTCCGCGGATCATGCCGTTATACGTGTATACGAGGCTGATACATGGCAATTATATGGATTGCCACTTGAAGGGCATGCCCTCACCGTCACACGCATCTCCTTCAGCCCCGACAACCGTTTCATTCTAACGGTGTCTAGAGACCGGTCATGGAGGTTGTTTGAGAAAAAAGAAGGAGGTGCGCAAATGGACTGTATACCTGTCTGCCGTAGTTCAGCTACAAGTTTTGTTAAAAACAGGTTTCATACCTACGGCGTCAGATAAATCTCACACCCGAATTATCTGGGATTGCGCCTGGAGCAACGAAGGTGATATTTTTGCAACGGCATCTCGCGATAAAACAGTGCGTACGCTTCTATGGCAATCTACGGCGATTGTTCACGTATTCCAGGTGAAAATATGGGAAGCCAATTCGGCGGCCAGTCAACGAGCTGCTTTGACAACGATCAAGGTTAAGGAAGCCGCCACTTCCCTGGCTTTTTGTCCTGCAAATACAATAAATCGGTTTGGAAAAACAATGTACTAAGAAATACATCTTCTAACGGCATATTTTCAGACGTATGTTGGCTGTCGGATTGGAAACAGGGGAAGTATTAGTTTATTCCAGCGTATCCTCGTTGCCCTCTAAGTGGGACCTTGATTTGACGATCGATTCTAGGTGGGTGCATAAATTGCCACATCATTCTGATGCTAAATGTCCTCACGAATAGGACTGCACATGTCAATCAAATACATCGAATGGCGTGGAGACCATTGGATGATCGTGAAACTCAAATCAGACAGCTGGCAACCTGTAGTGAAGATGGTACATTGAAGATATTGATCGTCCATACGGGGTAGATTAAAGTATTATCCGCAACATGGAAAATGAGTGAAATGAGATTCTGCTATACAATGTGTTAGAAATTGGCAAGCGCCAAAAGCTACCTAGTAGGGAAACAATTCTGGATAGGAGGTGCAGTAAACGGGTATACAACAGTGGACTGCGCGAAGCAACTTGATATACTATAGCAAGTACGCAATGGAATAAACAAAAACAGACGGGTAACTTGAACGGAGGCCGGGTTAATAGGGATACAAGAACATGGAAGCGTGATTTAAACAACGTCGCGTAGGCTCATCGGAACTTCGGGCTGTGGGATGTGTCAGTAAAGAGCTTCAGATATAAATCATGCACAACGTACGCATTTTATCCTGGGGTAAAATGGCTGAGTTGAGGAAGGATAAACTGCCAATTAAAAAACGACTTACTTGTAGAAACATTCTATGGAGCGAAGCATCTCAACATCGCCTCCAGCGGCAGTCACGAAGTTGACAATGACACCAGCGCGGGCATAGGTAGAGGCAATAGCAGGAGCGACGCTGCATAATCAAATATTATTAGTCTGTTTACCTTAGTTTCTGCAAGCATTGAACTCACCGATGGGCGTACTCTTCGACAGCTTTGGGTAAGTCTATATGTATACGTCAGCATGCAATACGAGGTCTAAAGATCATCTCACTTACCGTAATTGATAATGAGAGGAACATGGGAGACCTCTGGCGTCTTTACTTGGACGTCATAGACAACCAGAACTTTAGTAACGGGCTGTCTCATGATGACAGAAGTGGAACTCCTGAATTTGTTCAGAGCAGCCAATTTAGTCCCGGCATTCATATCACCATGCTAGTCAATCATTTCAGACAAAAAACAAGACGGAACGAATGGTTGTTTTCACTTACGAGGGGAACAGCTTCCAATCCACGGTTCGCTAGTTTGTAGACAACGGAATCTAAAGCAGTCATTCCCCCCACATGCACTATAGCTTGTGGAACTTCAACGTCATCAAAAAGATCTGCTAGAGCATCTAACTTCCACTCGCGAGCCTGTGCACTTTCAGCGTTGGAGGCACCCCGCCCAGATCCTATAATTCCAAGGCCTCCACCAGGTGCATTTGTTAAAGATGGTTCTGAGCGTCCGCCTGCAGTAAACGCCAAGTAAAGGTAGAATTGACGAAGGCCACGAGAGCCCTGACTGGTATCAGTGTGGGTAACATTACCATCGCGCCGCACCAGTACACGAACTGGTTCCCTAAGTTGGATGGCAGTCGCGAGATTGAGTACGTCCTGAGGAACCGTGTTTGAAAACAACGCGGTTTGACGTTCGATAACAGAGGAACCATTGGCCAAGTCATTCGCAGTCGGAGATGAAGATATAGCAGAGAACCTGCGGTTGGAGTTGGGGAAAGATACCGAGGGACTAGTGCCGTTAGTATCGAACGAATTAAAACCAGGCTGAGAGCCAGTCCCGGGGGTTGTGGGAGTGCCTGTTAACGGGCGGGACCGAGGAGGAGGCAATAGCTTCACAATATTGAACACATATTCGTGAAGGTTGCGCGCAATCAGTTGATCAACTTCGTCCAAAACGAGGAAACGAACTTCAGAGCCAATAAGGCCACCTGGAGCAGTAAACAGAGCATGCAATTTTTGAGGTGTCCCACAAATGATATGTGGCATATTTTGTTGGAGCAGACGCAACTCTTGGTTCAGATCATTGGAAGCGGTACTTGTACCTACTCCTAAAGCAGACCTGATACCAATGGGTCCTCCAAGGTCGCGAATCATCCGCTGGGCCTGTGTAGCCTGGTCAACTGTGGTAGAAATCATGATGACTATTGGTCCTCGATTAGATGGGCGACCTGCAGTGTTGACTACAGCGATCTGTATGGCAGGTATCACATATGCAGCAATACGCTCCTGTGTAGGAGGGGCTTGGGCAATAATATCAGCGCCACGAAGAAGGAAGGGCAACGCGCGTTGCTGTATCTTGTTGGGAGGTCCCACACTACATATCGTAATCACGTAAGTAACACGGGGCTAATGTATGCTAGCAATGCCCTTACCCAAATTTGCTCAGGGAGCGCAACAAGTCAGGTGCAAGACTTAATTGCTCCCACTTGGATACCATTGGACCACTATCACGAGATGAGCCACTGGACCAATCACCACTTTGTGGGTCGAGAACCTGGTTTAATCGGTTAGGATAGGTATGAAGGAATGCCGCGAGTGCTTACACCGGAGGATTCACGACGCATCATACCTCCCGTTACAGACCGACGCTTATCTCGAGAAGGATCAGCACGACTGATGGCATGAACGGTATCGGGACGCATTGGAAGGTCCAGTGTCCCAGCCGACCAAGTACGCATTGGGGGGTTGGGAGCACGGACGGAAGACCTACCACCATCTGGACGATTGGGTAAACCGTGTCCCAATAAAGATGGGTTCGAAGCCAGAGGAGGAGAGAATTGATTAAGCGCTAATTCTGGCGCCTGTGGAGTAGTACGGCCAACAAGCTGGTTGGCCGTCAGATTGTTCGTCGTGTTCTGGATATGCTGTTGCGTTTGGAGTGCTAGAAGTTGGCCCACAGAGGTGGTGAGGGTATTTAACCTTTGAGATATTTGTGTAATGTCATCAGAAGGGGGTGATTGATTAGGAGCAATGTTTCCGCTGAATGAAGTACGAGAACCGTTTAGACTGGGAGGAGATAGGCCCCCGCTAGCACTTGGCGCGAACGGGTCTTTGAATTCCGGTTGAGAACTGTTATGATTGTTGTTATTGTTGTTGTAGGAATTAGCAAGCGTTCGTTCAACCAGAATGCTGACTTTGCGATTGACGTCGCTAAGGTCTCGCTGAATCTCTCGAGTGGAGTATTCGCAACGAACGAGACGATCTAGGATGTCATGGATCAAAGGTGAGGCCTTGAGCTGTAACTCGAGGCTTGCGAAATCGACAGTCGAGAGGGCCTGGCTGCCAGAGTCTAAAGATGACACTGGAGAGGATGAAGTGAATATGCCGTTAGTATTGATTGATGAAGACCTCGAAGGGGCATGCATGGCGTTGACAGGGGGCGTTGCAAGGCGGTCGTGGCCCTGAATTGATGTCGCGGAGAAAAAAGAAGGAGGATCGGTGGGGGCTATGTTGTCCGTGGAGATAGGAACAGGTGTATCGTCTCCCTCAGGCAAAGCTTCAAGGCTGCCAACGGTGCCCATCTCCCTGGCTCGGGCCTCGAAGGCTGAGAAGCGCCTGTCGCTGTCAATCTGACGCGGAGCCGGCATGCCACGCATGGCGTCGTTCAATGACGGCGAAGGCTGGAAACGAACATCACGATTGCGTTCACGATCAACGTCGTCGAGAGACGGGCTGGGAGATGATTTCATAGACCTGCGGTCGGATGGGGACATTGAAAGAGAGGACATGGATGTGCGATCTTGTTCTCGAAGTGTGGGAACTCGAAATTCTAAGCCATTGAGGGCATCGTCTTCGTTGGGGCGAATGGCATTGGCGCCAGGGAAGAAAGGCATTGAAGAAGGATTGAGAGTAGCACTTCTCGCCATTCTGGCTGTTCTCTGCGGATAGCGACGATATTTCGATAAACAAAAAAGACTAAGATGAAAGAGCGTCGTCAGTGATTGGCGTCGTCAGAGGCATTGCTCCGCGAAGCTACAAAAGCTGCAGTCTCACCTCCAAGGGTCGTGCAGAATATAAAACTAAGCCGTTTCCATACAGCCTAGGATGCGAATACTTGGTATGAGCCTTCGTGACCGACAGCCGTGGTGCAGCTACTTTTGAGCTGTCGTTGTCAGAAAGGAAGGCAAGAGCTAGCTCGTACTATTTCCCGGTGGCTGTGGCTCAAATACCTACAACGAATACCAGCGCAAACATTGCCCTCGTTTACCCGGTCGCCCACTGATCCATCTTTCAGTGGCCCCCATGCACCATGTGTACAGGAACAAATCGAGCCAAGACATATCATTTCATAAAATAAAACAACATACATCCAGAAACAATACATTTACATCGTGGTCTGCTACTCTACATTGACAAGGCCGAAAACTAAGGCTGGCTGTAAGGTAGAGGAGTGAAACTGTCATGGCCTATACCACAGTCATAGGGAACGAAAAGTCCCAGATCTTATGTCTATCGCCGAGCTTGCGCGGACTAGCCGCAACAATTTTGGGTTCGTCCACGGGTAGTATTTCAGTCGGTTGAAGACAAAGAGGCCTGCGAAATGGAAAAGTCAGCATTGCAGAAAGGTTTGTATTTCAAATGGACAACTAACTTCGCAGACTTGCGAACCTCGCCTTGTCGATGGCCTAGTCCAAGGCGTTCGCGATAGTCGCGCAGACGTCTTTCGACCTTTTCTTTGACCTCTGGAAGGTCAGATGCACTCCTCACCACCTGAAGTAACGTCAATCACGAGATACAAATGGAATAAAATCCTAACTCACAACAAGCTCAGTACCACCAACACGAGAGCCATGCAACTTGAGGGCCTTCTGGGCATGCTGAGGTTTGCCGAACACAACGGTAGCATACTGACGAACTGGGTGGCCGCGATAATACGCAGGCGTTGGCTTCCCAGTAGTCATCGCGAGGCCGCTGCTACACTGAATTTCTAGCTTTATAATATGTCCACATGTGCTGAATAACTTGATCAACATTTCTTCGTCAGTGGCAGGCGAAACCTGATGATGTCTTGTCAACGAAGAAATATATAATCGAAAGTGTTCCTTACATTGCCCACGTAGACGTAACACCATCCACGTTCGCGTTGTCTGACTTTTCTCGAAGCATTCTCCTTCTTCACAGCCATTGCAATGTGATGTTTCTTGCCAGCATTCGATCCAGATCGTACTCTCCGTTTATCAGGATTGCGAGCGCGGATTTGAGCTTTGCTGGTCTGAGCCTTCCGAGAGCTCTCGCCGGTGGATTCCTGTGGGTCCTGCTATAGGTGAATATTATAACGGTAATTGACTCTTCATGACACGACTTACCCGCTTAACAGGATCTGTGACGTCCTGAATAACGCTAGCTTGTAATAGACTTTCCAGCGAGGTACTTGGTGCACGGAATAACATGTCGACTGTGGTAATTGACGTTGGTTTGAATAAGTCTTGGAGGGCCTTGAAGGTTCTGGAGATATGAAGAAAATGATATCAGCGGGTTTCCCATCTGTATTTCAACGATCTCGAAAGGTCCAAGCAAAGCCCTGTAGTGTTCTGTGGACGAGCTTTGGCATGTTTCACCGAAAACATGGCCACAGGACAATGTGGAAGTGATGGACAACGCTTAAGCGCTTCAACCGCGATAATGAGTGGCCATTGCCTAAATATGGGTCCGGTCGGGCCGGCTTCATCCAAAAAATCGTCGGCAAACGAGGTCAACCACTTTGAAGCGTGCTTACTGGCAAAGCTTGAGACGGTAAAAGCTGGGTCATGTCACACAGGAGCATATATCGCAGTGTAGTAAGAGAGGTTCACAAAGCTGTAAGCGCCTAACATCCTTGTCAATGCTCGTTCGTTTGCTTACAACCGTCGTTCGCAGAGCATCAAAGCCCCTTCGAGTAGAAACAAGGACATAGCTGCTAGTTTCCGAGAAATCTTCGACGGTCGAGATAAGGCTAGCGATCCAAAGGCATTTGATTACGACTTGCAAAATACCATCACGTTCATGCGTTCACAGAGGATGTACAAGGTGAGCTCAACATTGTGTCATGCTTTCTGCTTGTGTGAAGTTGACCCCACACAAGGAATTGCTGGACAGATATAATCCCCTTTTCGACCTCACTGCAGAAGAACGGATCGAAGCAACGGCTCGTAGAGTTGGACTGAACATGCCCGTAACCGTAACTCCGGATTCTGGAAAGGAATAGATATGCGCGTGTGCCGCATGGAGCTTGAGCCAGGATGGTCCGTAGCTGACGCACTCACTGAACCATTCGCAGGGCATTATCTTCGTCTTTGGTATTTCAATAGGACTCCTAGTTTGCATTGGCATAGAACTTGTTCTGTGTTTCTGGCAGCTGCGCTCAATCCAAATCAGAAGAGAAGGCCACTGCTATTCATTAGCTTTATTGCACCTACATTACTATCGCATTGTACCCATCTATAACGTATATCTTTTCCTGGTGATTGAATGAAATACTGCAGTGGACTTGTGCTACCAGTACGGTGTTGGTCCAAATTTGGCGCTGTTTGGAACGATCAAGACTTGGATTCATACTATGATGACCTCCATGCGAATGCGCTACTTATTCTAACCTCTCTCTTGCAATGCACCATGGATAAAATCAAAATTTATCTCGCAAAGCCCATTGGCGCGGCCAGAAGACTCTGGCAAAAGCCTGTTCTCTCCTCGGTACCTTCAACCGTGGTTTTGAAATGCGATCCGTCGTCCATCTCGTTTACCGCTGATGGAGAGCCACAAATCACATCCGCTGAAACCCTGCAAGCTTTGAAGGAGGCGTCGCACTGTCTGGTCAGTCTCCTCCAGCCAGTTGTTTTTCCAACAGAGACGGTATATGGCCTCGGGGCTCTTTCGCTGAACAGTACAGCATCCTCCCGGATCTTTTCCACCAAAGGTCGTCCTCCCGATAACCCACTGATCGTTCATGTCTCATCCACCGCTATGCTACGATCTCTCCTTCCTCCAAATTACATTTTCTCAGAAGCATACCAGGTGCTAATGGACCATTTTTGGCCTGGCGCTCTGACACTGCTGTTTCCGAGTGACCCCAACTTGATACCTACCATCATCACCGCCAATCAACCAAAGGTAGCCATTAGGATGCCCTCTCACCCTGTGGCTAGGGCTCTCATAGCAATAGCAAATGCACCTCTCGCTGCTCCAAGTGCCAACTCGTCCGGAAAACCCAGTCCAACTCGAGCGGAGCATGTCTTGCGTGATCTTGGTGGAAAGGTCCAGATCATCTTAGACGGAGGTCCATGTGATGTTGGGTTGGAGAGTACAGTCGTTGATGGCCTGCACGATGACGGAAACATACGGGTTCTGAGACCAGGAGGTGTTACGGTTGAGGACATCGAGCGGGTCTTGCAAGAGAGAATGCAAGGGGAAGGGCGGATACCCAAAGTGTTTGTTCACAGGCGCGATTTCAAAGACGATGTACTCGAGGAAAAGCCAACAACCCCAGGAATGAAATACCGACATTACTCACCTTCAGTCCCTGTCACACTGCTTCGAACTTCTCATCCTCCTGAAGGAACGAATCCCGTGGACCATGTCGCCTTTTTGACTTCTCTGAAAACTTCAGCTATAGATTTTCAACGGCCAGCCAAAGTTGGTCTCTTACTCCCGTCCGACTCTCCTCTAATGGAGGTGTTTTTACAAGAAACTGGAATCGAATGGAGAACATACCATATCGGGGCTATATCTGAACCCGCTGTTACTGCCCAGCGTCTGTTCGATGGATTATTAACCCTCGATGAAGAAGGGGTAGATCTTATATTGATCCAGGAGATAGCTGAAGAAAAGGAAGGCCTTGCCGTTATGAATCGGGTTCAGAAGGCAGCTGGCACCGAAGAATGGATAAAAATTACATAGACGCTGTAAGTTTTAAGATGGAAATTTTCTGTATGTGGGTCTTACAATAGAAGTTTAGACAACCTTTTTTCTGATTAGACCTGTCGTATCTAGAAGTAAGTATCAGTTTTTGATGCAGCTTAGAAGCTGAGTTAATCTCCATCGTCAGATCACACATGTATAATAAAGACAATATAAACTTGAATTCGTGTGCATGCGCGAAGGGCCACCCCCTGTAAGTCTGGTGATACTTAAAGGAACGAGAAAGATATGCATACAATGCATCTAAGTGCGTATGCATATATTTTTGTTTATCGTTCCTAAGTGCTTCACGCTGAATATTTGTTTTCTGTGTAGTACATGAATCATACCTTCTCTGCGATAATGCTCCCACAGATACCGCTATCATCAAACTTCTTCATTCCTTTAGATCACGAAGGAGCCACACATGCTCATACCCATGCCGCAAGGCATTTTCATAGTTTCCACAACCGCGCAATCCATGCCTCGTGTTGGCTGGAGCTAAAATGACTCATCAACACGAGGCTTACTCGTAAATTTGAATTTTTCGGACTTCCGTCATACTGATTCTTATAACTAGATTAGCTTTTCTTTGCACACGGAGATCGTGTTCAGTATTCGCGATTTGTTTCGCCGCCTAAGTCAACCCATATAGCTGCGTGCCCCAGACGTTGAGCGATCCCTTTGGACCAACCCACGCGGCCAATAAATCTGCGCTAATCACTGTGAACGTGTACGAGGTTTTTGCGATTCCAAGTCATTCCCTTTGTTGCTCGTATGCCTTCCGCTCGTCAGCATGGGCATGAGTGATCGAGTTCTCTGCCTAGGGGAACGTGGCACCGCCGAAAGCCGAGGTTCCTCTGTCCTCGTCATGTGACGTCCCGAATGCGAGGAAGAAACGCCGAAACGTTCAGCGGCGCGGAGTGTATTTTGTCGCAGCCCGTCGTTCCCTTTCACACTTATCACGATCACTTTCTTTCATTGCCTCATTCAGCACTTGCACATTGGAACATTCTCATCGTTCGGCCAGAATATGATGGTGGCTCAGGTTTCGCAAATGCCGCCAATGCAGGTATTTAAGGCTGGTCAGCACTTACCAGCTACCTCATCATCTTATATCCTTCTTCTTTGACCTTTGACATATAACTTTAACGAGCTGCAAAAATGTACTATGACGGTAAGTCATTTGGATATGCTAGTCACTCTTTCACTCGACTGATAAAGTGTCATTGTCTCACTAGCATCGGACGTACAAAAGCTAGAGTCGGAGAAAGTTGATAGTAGCTTGTGCTTTGCATCCTCTGCTTTAGGCTGGCTGTTAGGGCCTGCTTCGTGCGAAGTGATGCCTTCTCCGAACTACAATCATTTTCGCCCATCCTCAGCCCCTGCCGGCTCATTTTATGACCAGCGGCAAGGGTATTTTGATATCTTCGCCACGTCAGGTACCCAGGAACTCTCTTCCGAGTCTCAATCAGTCTCGCTGCCACACCTACCATTGTCTCTTTTACCTCCACCTCATCTTTCTCCCGCTTCAGGGGTTATCTCTCCCTCTCACGAATCTACTCATCACGATCATATTCCCCGACCGCCTAACGCCTTCATGCTATACCGTTCAGATTTTCTTAAGAAAGGTGTCATACCTTCCCATGTCGAGCGACGTCAGCAAAATCTCAGTCGCATTGCTGGCGAATGCTGGAATATGTTATCCGACGAAGACAAGTCATATTGGCACGCCAAAGCAGCGAAAATTCACGCCGCTCATTACGCGCAATATCCTAATTACAAGTTCAGGCCCAGTCCTCGTGGGATCAACAAAAGGAACCAGAGGGCGAAAGACAAGATGAGGCGGTCGACAACTGAGGACACGGGAAGCGATAGGATACGCTCTTTGAGAGAGAAGTACACCCAGTTGAATGGACCCGCTGTTGCTCCTGCGCGGCGGAGACGTCGGGTGCCTCGTAGCCAGAAACTACTATACGGCGAAGACCTTTTTGCGGCAGTTAACACCCCACTCCCACCTTCCATTCCCGCCACTCCTGCAGCGTCACCCTCGCCAATACAATCTTCCCTTCCGTACAGCACTGCAAAGATGTCGCAAGACGACATCCCCAGTTCCCCTAATATGATATGGGACCAGGAGCCCCAGGGCCAAACTCTATCTTTGGATTTATCTAGGCCGTCGTCTGCAGCTGGTTCTGAGACAGGTTTATCCGAGTTGATGCAAGATCTTGATATTGTGAGTCGTTTGTGTTTTCGCCATTATTCTTAAATCTCACTTGTCTTGCGTAGACTCCGACAGCGGCGACTTTTCAGCAACGGAGCCCGATGGCCATTGATTCAGATAACGCTACTTGGCCATCTTTGGCATACACTGAGGATATGTCTCTAAATTACGGTGATATGCTTGGTCTTCACCAGCTACAGCTACCGTTCTACAACATCAATTATGCTGAACTCCCGGGCCCATCACCTAACCTTGGTTATCCATGTGGGAAAGCCGGCGATCACCTCCACAGCTTCTATTCTGACCTCCCAGGACCTGCCGCTTGCGATCCATTCTGCTACGGACAATCCACTCCCGAATCTGTATCTGTGGATTTCATGGCTAATGGAGAATGGACCATGCAAGAAGCTTTGTCACAGAAGTAGAGGCAATGAGTGTGGAGACATCATGCATCGTAAACGCAACGACCTTTAAACGACATCACAATAGTATATCTTCAACCCTTTATTTCACTCTTATGTAGTATCCACTCAGCATGCGCTGTATCATTAGTAGGCAGATAGCTAGTGTATTTTTACCGTGATTGTATCAATATACCCTTATCCAGATTTTGCTGCGCTATGGCGTGCAAATCCTTCATCAAAATTTCCGCGAATATTTGTTATTGGCGTTGTGCGAGGTTTGGGAAGTGTTTCCTAGTCTCCCCAGTCAGACCAAATTACATTCGATATCAGTAAATAAGTGTCCCCTCAAAATTTGAACAAACCTGGGTTGTGTGGAGCTTGCCGACTCAGAACGCGTCTCATCACGTGCACTTACTTTGCCCGGAATTTACTGAAAAAACAATCACTGCAACTGATGCTTCAGTGGTAAATGTGATTGTGCAACGAACCTAATAAGGTTGCAATTCTACAGAGTATCGTCACAGGACAGTCGTTCAAATTCCATTCCATCCGCATAGTCTACGCGAAGCTATCAAAAGATGGCAGAAGAAAAGCACGAAACCTTCACCACGGACGACTTGATGCACCTCCAGGAGGGCCGTCAGCACAAGCGGACCAAACGATTGAGAGAAGAGGATTCAGAAGACGACATGCCAAATCATGATCCGCCGAGCGATCTTCAAGTTCAGGAGCGTTTTAGTTTTTCCCGGGCCACAGCAGGTAGCAGAGCACCAAATACCAAGCCCAATACGCCAACGTTGCATCAGTCTTTTTCTTTTGATGACCTGAACATTTCCTCTCCTCTTCTGGCGGCACTTTCTCGCATGTCGATACGCACACCCACTGAGATCCAGGTTGCTTGTATACCTCCGCTTCTTTCTGGTGAGATCTTTCGCACTTCATCTTGAAAACTTGATTGGTGTTTCTTTGAGAGATGGCACTGACTGGGCATAAAGGCAGGGATTGCATAGGTAATGCTAAAACTGGGTCCGGCAAGACTATCGCCTTTGCCCTACCGATTCTACAAAAGCTTTCAGAAGATCCCTATGGCATCTTCGCCCTCGTGCTCACCCCCACTAGGTAAGTTTTCAGCGTGTATTCCAGTTCTTCAATCAATCTCCCAATAGGGAACTGGCTTTCCAGATATCAGATCAATTCGCAGTTCTAGGTGCTGGACTGAGTATACGAACTGCTGTCATTGTAGGTGGAATGGACATGATGACCCAAGCGCTGGAACTCGACAATCGACCCCACGTCGTAGTTGCAACCCCTGGACGCATTGTTGATCATCTACGGAGTAGCAGCGGTGAATGGAGTCTTTCTCGAATAAAATTTTTAGTACGGTGATTCTGTTCTGTTATGTGGTTATTATTGATCACCGTCAGTAGGTTCTAGATGAAGCGGATCGACTTCTGACCCCTACATTTTCTCCAGAACTTTCCTACCTATTTGACGTTTTACCAAAAGAACGACAGACATGCCTCTTCACTGCTACTCTCACGCCATCTATTGACAAATTAGCTGAAGTACCACCTAGACCGGGAAAACAGAAGCCGTTTATCCACAGGATGAATGCAAAGTAAACCAGATATTATTCACTTCAACTCAATGGCTGACACGGCCATCATAGTATCGAAACCGTTGTTACGTTAAATCAAAATTTCGTTTTGGTTCCATCGCACGTACGCGAAACGTATCTGTATCATCTTCTTTGCAATCCTCCGGAGCTTGCCGCTTCTCTGAGACGTATACCTCCTGATACTGAGAAACGGGGTAAAAACAAAAATCATAAACATCCTGCAAAGAAAAGAAGCACAACTGACGAAGACGAAGAGCTCGTGCAACCCCCTCCGACCATTATATTTTGCACTAAACCCCGTACCGCGGCCTATCTCACAAGTTTACTGAAGACACTGTCCATTCGCAGTACAGCTCTCCACTCACGACTCACTCAGCGAGAAAGGTTGACTTCATTATCGCTTTTCCGGTCTTCCGTTATACCGGTTTTGGTGTCTACAGATGTTGGCGCTCGTGGATTAGATATAGAGGACGTGGCCATGGTTATTAACTGGGATCTACCCAACGAACCAGAAGAGTATACCCATCGGGTAGGTAGGACAGCTCGCGCTGGTAAAGCTGGTATTGCAATCAGTTTCGTGACCGAGAAAGATGAGGAACGGGTACTAAAAATAGAAAGTCGCATCGGTAAGTTCATATGACGGCAGATCCGATATCTTCAAGTTGAATGACGAACGCTCCTACAGGCACCAAGCTGGCTGAGATGATATTACCGGAAGGAAAAGTACTAGAAAAACTGACTTCAGTGTCTACGGCCAAACGGTTGGCTAATATGGTGAGTGTGCTGTCGGTCCTAGTTGCGTCCACCTACTTCATGAGATCGTTCCAGGAGCTTCATGACTCGGACTTTGGGAAACGTGAGGAAATTCATAATATCAAGAAGCAAAAAAGACGGGCCGATATGGACGTTATTTTGTGATGTATAATGTCATTAGCCATCCTCCTTCCTGTTGTAAGCTCGACTTGGAAATGATTAAAGCATCAATCAAAGTTCGCTCTTACTGCAGTCTGGATCTAGTCAATCAATTGCAAATACAAAAACTGAAGATGAGCAAGACCCTGCAAGAACCTGGAACGCCGATAGACGTCGTCGCCGGTGATTGGGTGGTGGGTGCTAATATCTTTTTAAGTGATATAGCAATGATAGCCTGTTTTTACATACAAGGATTATTCTAATGGGGTCGTTCCGTTACAAAAGATGTGGTTGCGCTGGCGGAGCGGAAGCATGCTGTCCAATTCTAGACCGATCGAGGCTGTTTATGTGGAACCGTGTAACCACGCCATATACCCGGGAACTCTCGACGTCACTGCACTGATGGTAATTGGTACACCTAGGTAATCCGGTAAACCTACACCAGATAACCGAGGCATGAAGCGACATATACGCATATGTTCTCACCAAACTGAGCCTGGAAGAGCCACAGCTCCCTGCGGCGATGGAGCAACGATTAGTGATCGGTTTGTGCTATTCCGGTGGGCACTAGGCGTGGGAATCTGGCATTGAGGAAGGATTTCCCGTGTTACGTAAGCCAAACTTGTTCAGATTCGTAGCGAACCTTATCTCTATTCCTATTCGTTCCTGCGCCAGTTCACCGTCTCCTGTGTCTCGCCTTCTCCTGCTTCATGACCAACGCCTTCCTTTATAAACTGCACGACATACACTACATCTTTGCCTTATCCCCTTTACTCATTCCCACTCCATTCTTCCCCAAGTCCATTTCCTTCCCCTCTCCATTCCATGAATATCGAACACACGGACTGGGATTCGGTCCTTCAGTTTGTTTCAGAACCCCTTGAACTGGACTTTATGACCATGCCAGAAAAGCCTGTATCTGAGCAGGCGTCGTTGATCATTAACCAAGTCCCCACCCCACCGGTAGTCCCATTTCTCCCTATTTCTGAATCGCGTTGTCTGACTTGCTTTCTTGCTTCAAGGAATCTTTTGCTGGCTCACCTGTCGATCAATCCCCCGAAGAAAACACTCTTGTATCCGTGTCCACAACATTTTTTCCAGGAGCTCAGAATAATTCTTTACCGTCTGACCTGGTCATCCTGTCCTCCGACTCCGTATTTTTCTATGTGCATATGCACGTCTTGCTGGGGGCATCCGACAATGGCTACAATTCTCTATTACCGCCTTCCCCTAAATGCAAGAATGCTCACATAGGCCCTGTTATCACCGTCCCAGAATCGTCCATCGTTCTCAACGTACTCTTACACACCATTTACGATATGTCGTGCTCACACTATTCGCCCTCGTTCGAAGCTCTGATATCAGCAGTCACAGCTTTAAAAACTTACGGTATCTCCCTTCAAAGTCGTATCGCACCCTCTACACCCCTTTACGTGCTCCTCTTATCGCACGCTCCGCTGTGTCCTTTGGAGCTATATGCGCTTGCTGCGACCAATGACCTATATGATCTTGCTGTGGCAACATCTTCACATTTACTGTCATTTTCGCTTGCATCTCTCACGGACGATATGGCTGAGAACATCGGCCCGAAATACCTGAAACGCCTCTTCTTCCTTCATTTTGGTCGCGCTGACGCTCTCAAGCGCCTTCTTCTGCCACCCCCTCATCCTCACGCTCCAACGCCAATATGTGATTTCAATGATCAGAAAAAGTTAACAAGAGCCTGGGCCTTGGCGTCGGCCTATCTCGCCTGGGATGCACGACCAGGTATGTCCTCGGTTATAAATTTTAGAACAGTCCACGACTCACTATTACCAGATCTATCTACAAGCACGATGGAGTCTGCTCTGAGTCCGCTAGGGGAGCATCTAACGTGTGACCTTTGTCGAAACGCATTGCAAGAGAGAGTTAAGAATCTTGTAATCCAATGGTCCGTAGTCAAGGTACGACAAAATTTTGTTCACCAATTCATTTGGCTTACTTTATTTTAGCGAACGATTTGAACACTCAGCATGCTTATTCGAACCCTACCTTATTCTTGCAAACCGGCACCAAACAAAAAGTAACAAATTCAAACATATTGGCTCGCGTCCCTCCAAAAATATTGGACGTCATTCATATCAACCTTCTTATTGCATGTCAACCGTCGTTGTAACGGTGTCACAGTAACTGCACTTTTCATTTTCGAATCAGGGGACCCCAGTGTGTACGAATATCTGCATTTCTTCTTTACCCTTTCATCAAATTCCTTGTTGTACCACTAGCATTTCAGAGTCTCTTACACGATACGCTCTTATTTTCCTTTTTATTGTAGCTTTTTGACCTCGTTGTGGCATGTAGTCTTAGTATACACGGCATCAGAGACTTGAACATAGCATTCAAACACCCATGTAACGCTTAGTGGCGTTCTCGTGAAGTTCCGTACGTTTCGTCCCATCCTTTGCGGATGTATTTGACAGTCCCAAGCTCCAGCAGTATTAATAGCTGATGCTACGCCCATGACAATAAGGGAGTGCACCTTGCACTCCACAGAGTTATAAGACTATCGGATCAAGGGATCAAGAAAAAGCCTCACGCAAGGGATCCACAGATATCGTAACATGATGCAATGTGGGGAGGAGAAAGCGAGTAGTAGTAGTGAGTTTTATAGATGCGATCTCAGACAACGTAGAAATGCAGAATTATTGACAGCGGGCCCGCGGCAGTGGGGTCTGGAGCTGTGCCTTTTAACGGAACTAGAACTTCTGCGATATCATCAGAAGTCTGATGACTGGAATAAAGTACAAGGTTACGGCCAAGTTGGAGCCCACGGCTACAAGCGAAAGTGCAAGAAAAAACTATCTGGTCTTATCTTCTGCGAGGATGGCATCATTCAGTTCATCTAATGGAGCTAACTCCTTCTTGTCCACAAGATCAAACTAATAATATGGGTCGAGGATCAGATCGAGTACTGCGGGAAGATCCTCTGGGACGAACCTCGTTTATAAAGAGGAAGAAGTGACGATAGCTGGTATTGAGGTGTGCTGAGGAGGACATCTATCTTGAAAGGGGCATTTGATGATAATGCCCATCACGCACCTTCGATGCCAAGAGCACAGATATGGTCAAAGTGATTGCTGTATATGTGCGCATACACTCGAAAGAGTCGGCGGACGATGGTACGTACGGTATCGCGAAAGTTTTTCGGAAATGGAACACCTTCGCGCAGAAGAAGTCTTACTCGAACCGAATGAAGAAAAATAGGAGATAGGCACACCGATTTTGTTGGGGAACACCGCGTCGTCGTCGAGAATATTCTGTGCCCAATTCATTAGCGCGTCGACATAGTCCGGAGCAGGAAGTTTAGTTGGTTTCTTGAATTTGATCCCATCCTCCCACAGATACTCGTAACTGTGGTCACGTTTTACGACGCTGGAAAAAAAGGTACATCGAGGCAAACGTACCGCGGTCCAGCTGACATGATGGGGCACTGTTTCAGGTGTTGGAAAGAGACATCACGGGACATCTAAGTTGAGACGTACCTCCTGCGGTGTGCAGAACTCCGTTACGGTACCATACAACATATTGAGATGGTTAAAGAAATCGACAGCTGTACGCTGATATCAACAACAGTAATCAAGCGTCAAATGTTGAACTATATGCACCGTGTACTGCCAGCCATTCATTAGTATCTTCGCCCTCTGGCAGCTGGACAGCTAGCCTGAGATTTCCCGACCCCTAGAAGATTCAATGAGGTCTATCATACGCTTTAGGTATAAATGATAAATGTCGTACCAGAGTTGCTTCTGCATACTTTCGTAGCTGATACTGCTTCGTACCCTCTGGAACATCTTTGCGAGGCTTGAATGTCCGGGTTTTCCCTCTGAAACGTATGCTGTAAGCACTATAGATCTCTTTGGAAAGGCATTTGAAACGAACAGCCCAAAGAATGAGGACATAAATTGAACAAAGGTGGGGTCAGTTCCAAAAGCTACTTCCACTAGAGGTGTTCAACCTGCTAGTACAGATAACTCGGAGATAGCCGTGAGGCGCGATAATCCTGCAATAGACGCCCTGCTTTGGCGCTAAAGTTATAATTATTCCTCTTAAATCATGTTTGTCACCAAAGTCCCAATCAAACAGAATGCAAAGAAAATCCGGTCCTATTTTCAGAACTGTTGAAAGGTTTTCCACCGATTCTTGGGCAAGCGCCATGATTGGAGAGCGGTGACGAAATTTCTGGAGGGTATTATGTTACCCGGCCTTATCCTTCAAGGTTTCAAGTTACCACAGTATCGATCTTGGAATACACCATCACAATGGCACCTAATATCTTGTTTGTATTTACCTCTACCGATAGGACTCTTACCGGTGCTCCCACAGTAAGGCAGTCGTCTCGGTCCTCCAGATCCTTCGGACTGATCAGTGTTTGTATGAATAGGGGTGGTATCTTCCAGAGGCCGCTCACCCTTACTATGTCCTTTCCCCTCATTTCAACATTGAATTCGCAGCTCCTGCTGGCCCTAACCCGCCTGTGGACCCAGCCAGTGTACAGGTGAGTAATTAACTACAACTTGAACATCGCAAGACAAGTGGTTGATGCCCTCTTGAAGATGTTCCAAGATGACGTCAAGTTCTTGGAGGATGCCAATGTGCAGTCGCTGCTCGCCAAAGCAAAGAAGCTTACCGACGTTAAAGTAGATGACTACGAGGCCATCTTCTATATTGGAGGACATGGTCCAGTCATTGATCTTGCTGTTGACCCCGCCAATATCAAGCTCGCATCCGAGGTATGCTCCGCTGTTCAAAAATATGCCTCTTTAATTGACTAAAATCCTCTAAAGTTTTATCGTGCAGGGAAACTGACGACTGCAGTCTGCCATGGTCCAGCGTTAGTGATATAATTTCATTCAGCCCCTTTCACTACTTAGCATAATTTCTCCAGAGCACTAGTCGGAGCTACCGATGCATCCGGGAAATCTATCTTCGCAGGGAAGGCCTTTACAGGTTTCTCCAACGTTGAGGAAGAACAAGTCGGCAAAGTCAAGGTTTGTAAATGTCGATACTGACATCGGTGCTCAAAGTTAATAAATTTTGTTTAGGATATCCCTTTCCTTCTCGAGGATAAAATAACTTCTCTCGGAGGAAAGTACGAGAAAGCAACAGCGCCATGGGGGGTTAGTACTTGACAGCTAAGGCTATGTTTAATACTTACAATGATTTACAGGCCAAGGTAGTTGTTTCTGGGCATCTCATCACCGGTCAGAATCCCGCATCCGCTCAACCTATTGGAGAGGCTATCCTGAAAGCACTAAAATCCTAAGTGTTTGAAGAGGGGATCATAGTCGAGTTATTCAATCAAGCATATCGCTCTTGTACTTATAGGACAATGATCGCAGTTTGTCCAATTATTTTCACATCTAGAATGTTACACACATCCGCTCTGCTCTTTTCAACAATCATGCAAGCCATCGGATAGATTGTCTTCCTGATCATCAATCATTAGACTGAGAACATTTGAGCGCAAAGAAGACATCGCAAGTCAAGAATAATTAGAAATTTTGAGGAGCATCATATGTATGCGACAGTCATCTTCCATCCTTTTTTCAGTGCGAACCCATCCAGTGCTTCTTTGGCGGTGGTTGCGAGTTCAGGTGATTCAAATAGCACTTGAGCCATTTTAACTTTCATTCCAGCTGCATTCGACGTTGGTGACGGTGAAACATGCGTTGACTGGAAGCCTTGGTACCTGGTTGTGAGAGAAAACAATGATGCATTTGTAGACGCATATCAAAGTAAAAGGACATACTGCTGGAATAAAACGGATAGTACATCATCTGTTACTTCTTGAGGAAGATTTGTACACAACAGGTGAGCAGACGGTTGCTCAGTTATCTGAGGCATAGTGGCTTCAAAGGGACATGAGAAATGCACATGCATGGTCACACGAAACACCATACCTGGGACGCGATTTTGTTGTTCCTCATCTTCGTCGATCTCCATCTCCTCATCATCTTCAGACTCTTCTTCAGATCGCTCTCTCTTGGACTTACGTTCGCCATCGACATCTTCCTCGTCTCTTTGCCGCTTATCCGCGGATGAGATGGTTGATTTTCCGATTTGTAACAGATTCGATCTTGCATGTACGCTGGTGGGGGGGACGAAATTAGGGTCCTCTCTGCGTGAAGTAGCGTATGATTTTGACTTTGCGTAGGTGATACGCTATATCACTTGTGGATTACTACACTCCATGCCTGACCACGAGAGAAAAGCTCACTAGTGGTTTGTCGTAGAATATCATGCCCTCACATGCTCTCATCGCCGTGGTTGCTCCTGCTAGGTCGGTAAAGACAAGAAACGCCTGTCCTCTCATTTTTGGTCCCTTGGAAGCGACGACGTCGATTACTCTGCCGTGGGTGGTGAAGAGGGCGAATAGCTGGGACCGCATCTCCTCTTTGTTAATCTTGTCATTGAGATTGTTGATGTAGAGTGTCGTGTTGGGCTGGCTTGACGATGCTGAAGCCATGGCGTATACTCTGTGTTAGATTTCTAGTGATTAACTGTGCCCGCTTGCGGTATGAGACCTTGCCAATGTAGTACTTCGCTTGGTGGTCTTCAAGTTGTTATACTGGATGCTGGTCAACCCTGGCGGTTCAGCCAGGGACATCCTCATCCGGTATGAGCTTCGCACGGTACATATTCTTCTTATGCTTAGCGTGAATTTGAACACGGTCGCGTATATAGGCACTATAAACTGACCTCTTCCACGGCACTAGCTTTTTTTTTCTGTGGAACGCCAGCTAGCAGATATTCCAGCTTAGCTTCATATCTTTGCTAAAAGGACCTCTGTGCACTCAACGTCTGTGTATTCAGTGAAGAGCGAAACAAACGTCCGAAAAAGGTTCATACCCCCCAATTATCGAACGTTCATCGTTTTCATGAAAATTTTGACGACCTTCAGCAACGTATACCAATGAACACCCTGCAAACCTCAGAGTGGTTTCCGTCGTTTCTCGTTCCCTTTGTTACCCTCTCCTACCCAATCGCCACCCCGACACACACAGACTCATTCCATACTTCCTCTTACTACACTACAGGCCTTCTAGATGGCTGTATCATAATTACTTGCATCGCGGTGATGGCGATCCTGCGCGACGTCACGAGAATATACCTAATGGAGCCCTTTGCCAAGTGGAAGCTCGAGCGCGACTGGACGCGGACACGGGCGAAATTCTCCAAAGCGAATGGTAGTAGCAATGGGAGGACCAATGGCAACGGTCATGCTGCGCATGCCAACGGGGAGTACCTACAGCCCAGCGACTTCCCAAAAATGGAGCGAAAAATACACAGGAGCGTATTGAGGTTTGCTGAGCAAAGTTGGTCCATGATATACTACACGCTTCAGTGGTCCTATGGTCTAGTGAGTGCCTTTATTCGGCATACGCGTCGTGGTCGTGCTGATCCCAACCGAAATAACAGTACATTCATCTCAGTCTTCCGACTTCATTGTTGAGCCCGACAGAGCTCTGGGCCAATTACCCTCATATACCAATCGCTGGACCCGTCAAGTTCTACTATCTTACTCAAACTGCTTTCTATCTTCATCAAATACTCATTCTCAATGCTGAGGCTCGCAGGAAGGACCACTATCAAATGATGACGCATCATGTAATCACCATCTTCCTTATGGTGACCAGTTACTTTTATAACTTTACTCGTGTCGGATGTCTAATCATGGTTCTAATGGACTGCTGTGATATATTCTTACCTGTAGTTATATTCTTTCTCTCATACATGCCTCTTTCTGATTATATTATATCCCTGCCAGCTCGCGAAAATGTTGCGCTACATCGGCCTTTATACCCTGTGCGACTTCACGTTTACGTTGTTCCTTGTATCGTGGCTCGTCACCCGTCACGTATTCTTCATCATCGTCATAAAATCGGCGTACTCTGATGCGCACCTTCTAATCCACTCTGGTTGGAACCCCGAGCAAGGGAGCTACCACTCCCCATTGGCCATGGGCATTTTCATCACTATGCTAATCGTGCTACAGGTGAGGTTTTCACGCTGTTAATACTCTTTCAAATTAATTCTAATTGGCCATGGTTCTGTTGAAGATATTACAAGTTATTTGGTTCGCTATGATCTGTCGTGTAGCTTGGCGCGTCGTATCTGGACAAGGGGCATCTGACGACCGCAGTGACGACGAGGGGTAGGTGGTTGCATAATTCACACGAGGCTTATGTTCCCAAACCCTGTTTATTACAGTGACCTGGTATCGCAGGAAAGCAAAAAAGAGCGTTGAGTGGACGAAAGTGAGAGAATGTATTTTCGTCCCACTAGAGGCTGAGTGCTGGCCCGTGAGCACGGACTATATGCTTCAATTTCATACCGCATTATCATACAATCCTTTTATCACCGTCGTCTGCTGTAGGCAGGTACTCTAGTAGTACTGTTCCAGTATATATACAGTTACGTTCCCCCTACTATAACTGCTCAGAGCACATTAGCCTGAGGATTAGCTACGTGCGCCAGAGTGATTACCTTATCTGGATATCAGTGTGGTGGCTCTCCCTTTACCGCAGTGTCACAACAGTCACCTTGCTCAGACTTCAGCTGCCACTCTTTCTATATTCATTCTCAAGTCTATTCGATACAGCGTTCAGAGAGCTGCAAGATCATGATGGCGAGCTTCATGTCTTATTTTGGAGGCAAGCGCGACCCTAAGAAGACCGCGCGGGATGCGATTGTGGACCTGCGGCAGCAGCTGCAGATGATAGAGAAGAAGGAGGAGTATCTGCAGAAGAAGATAGACGAGGAGCTGAAGAAGGCAAGGGCCAATGCTGTATCGAATAAGGCAGGTATGTGTGTGTCTCCCTTTACTTCATTTTGTTGTTTGCTTGCTGCTTGCACTTTCTTTCACCCTTTGCGCTGTGCGATAAGTGGCAAATGAAACATTAATGAATTGGGGAGCTGACTGGAAAACTGTAATATTTTGTATGAACCATAACCATGATCATCTTGGTGTCATCGGTGATCAGCCGCTACTGCTGCACTGCGGAGGAAGAAGGCGAGCGAGACTGAGCTGGATAGGTTGGCGGGGACGCGACTGCAACTTGAGCTGCAAGTTAACTCGCTGGAGTCCGCCAACCTCAATGCAGAGACGATGGCGGCTATGAAGAGGGCGTCGGATGCGTTACAGACGATCCACGGGAATATGTGCGTAGCATGCTGCGCTCATCTCAGTCACCCAGTCACTCATTCACTCTATTACTCGTCTTGGTTGCTGGTGGTGATTGTCATGTATTTCTCTCTTTCCATTTCAGGACCATGGACAAGGTCGATGCTACGATGGCGCGGATCAACGAGCAAAGAGAGCTCGCCAACGAGATTGCAGAGGCGATTTCGAACCCTATGAGCAGCGGAGATGTCGACGAGGTAAAATATATTCTCCTTTTGCTATTTTAGCTAATATTTGGAGCTTTTACTGATGCTAATGTAAAATCTGTGTAGGAGGAGCTCAAGGATGAGCTGGCAGATTTGGAGCAGGACGAGCTGAACAAACGTTTGATGGGTGCGGAGCATGTACCACTGCATCAACCCGCTGGAGCGGTCGCGGTAGACGAACGTGAGTTCCCCCTTCCCTCTCCTGCCCTCTCCTGCCCTTTCGCTCTGAAAAACTAAACCCGCTTTTACCAGCCCGACGACAAGTAGCAGTAGAAGACGACGAGGAAGCCCAGCTGCGCGAACTACAAGCCGCCCTAACCATGTAGTCACTGTCCAGTTTACCACTCATTTCCTCTGAGGTCTGTAGAATTTATCAACGCTACCGCCTTTCCTACTTGTCTGGTTTCCTGGTTCATTCTGAATGAGTTGCTATTTGTGGTTGTTGGTTGTCGTCACTGGTTGTTCCAGAAACACCATCTCATATTTGTTGTTTTATATCTTAGTGCTACTTCCTCTGGTTTTTCATGATCACGGGGTTCCTCTTTTTTCGTTTCGAGTTCTGTTGTTTTAGTATCTGCCTACCTATATCCTCACCCCATCCCACTTTTCTGTGCTTAATCACTATTACAAACCAGTACTACACACCAAGACAAGGCCAATCCCATCATTGCATATGCACGCACACTATGGTTGTTAGATGCAGATGCTCGAATCTCCGAAATGTATGTATTAGGTAGATTGGCGAATCGGATGGCAAAAGGGGGTGGTGTAAGTGTAAAGTTGGGGAATGGCTCAATGATATCTTACTGATTCACTTGATTCACTGTGGTGATCATACACTTACTCAGTTCACACAGGACTGAATTTAACCTTGGTATATTCAATGGTATATAAAGAGTCTGTGATTGTCTTATCTAATCACAAACTACTTGGACTTACAGTATCTACTGGCAACTGTATACAGTATTCCACTGACACTTGTGCCACCACCAGCACTTGCGCCAACATATTGCAGTGCTCAAATTTCACACCACAAGACCTCCACAAGGTCTCAAACAAACAGATAAGAGGCCTTGTAGAAATTATTAATAAATCTAAGTGAAACTCAGCCGCTGCCTGAAAGGCTATATGTTACAATTGACGTACCAGTACCTACTTATGCTTCACTTTTTGCACTTTTACTTTTATTTTTCCAAGTCACATGACCAGTCATGTGACCATTTACTTTACTTTACATTTTCGACTTTTCATAGTCACATGACCACTGTCTAGACTCATCATGTGACCAGTCACATGCTAAACATCGGACTTTAAACTTTATTTACAACTGTACAGTACCTTATGTATTTTAGTATATATACGAGGGGTGATCCCTCCTTCTCTCTTCTCTTATGCTTGTCTGAGTTGTGCGCCAGAGTAAAAACTCTTGGTTGTTACACTATATAAATGACTGAGGTATTCCTATACTAAACCCCCTACTACTTATAGTCAGAGGTGCTACTTGCTAAAGTATAAAGACTCCCAGGATTACAATGGCCACTTTAGCAGAGACCAGGTTTATCTGGTTTTGTCAATTATATTACATAAGCAAACTTTGGAGCTTTGCCCAAAGATTTATTTTGTGATTATAACCTAGTCTGATCCAAAGTAAGGACCTTTGGCAGGAACCCCCTGTTACGCACGAAGTGCTTAACAAAGTCTAAGGGTTCGTCGAGGTTTGTAAAGAGACTTATCTGAAGACAAGTTCAAGAACGTAGTTCTAAGTGGAGGTCTTCCAACGGGAGTTGGTCTTCTTCTGAGTAGAAGTCTGATCTTAGGAGTCTAGCTTTGTAAGCATAAACTGCGTAGAATCGTATTAGAGAATACTACTGCTGTTACATGGTATTTATAATGGAAAGGAATTGGTGATAGGAGTTAGGTCCTATCTAGGGCAGGTCCGTCCGTTGAGGACTAAGTACTATAATAGGTACTGCAAATGCGAGAGGAACAGAAGTGTACGTGAAGGAAATAAGTCATCGGTCCGATGGTATGACCGATGAGTAAAAAGAAATGAGTAGTTCTTAAATGTTCAATAGAGACCGTAACACTGATCAGGAAAAAAGTGCACTAGGATACCAATAAACTCATAGCTACTGTAAAGAAACAATACTGGTTACATTACCCCTGCTACTTCATCACAACTAAGGCAGTTTTTATAGCACCTCAGAGCTGTATGTGAGGCAACGATAAACTATAACAAAAACTAAACCTATCTCCTTCTGCACTTGCAGGGAGTAAGGGTCCAATGAGCTTTTGAGGTCAACAGACGCTAGAAATATAGCGAGTAGAGGACTTTGAGAGGTAAGCTTCAAAGGTTCTTGTTGAGGAGTAAAGCGGGTAAATTCAGTAATAGAAAGCTAAGGAGCTATACATGAATAGGTACGGCTTTATATAGGGAACTGTCCGTGCCTCAGACCGAAAAGAGAATATACGAAAAGTGGTCTGAGGGATTAATCAACCAATAAGAAAAAGGGGAGGTAACTATCGTACGACTTCTGACTTGATTAATCAGCAGGTGAGAGACTTGTACTAATAATAGAAGATTGTCACGCGTGGTCAGGAACCGTATCCTCATAATGAGGTACGATTCTAGATAAGGCGTTATTAGTATTACCAGGCTTTACTGGGGCTTGGAGCTGGTTGGCGAGATGCCTACTACCAGTCCCTACCCAGTGTGCTGGCTAGCTGGAAGCGATGTCCAGTCTCTGATCTGTGATATAAAGTGGTAGCGATGGTTAAGAAAGCCTGTGAGGGCTATGAGAAGTAAGATGGCAAAGGATACCTCTAGCCCTAGAGCCAGAGGTGTAACGGGAAAAGCGTTTGAGAACCAAGACATAACGAAGATAGGAAAATAATAAAACGGTCCTTACACTGTACATGACTCTGAATATCCCATTTCTTTTTGCCACTGCATTTTGTTTAGTGTCTGTGATTTTTAGTAGCATTTCAATTAGTGGCTGATGCTTTTGCCCACTCAATGACCCACTCATTTGGATTGGGTACTTTGGGATTGAAGGAATGTGGAAGTTATCATTTTTCAGCATCTGAGGGCTTTACTATTGACTCTACTGCTACTGATTTATTGAGAAGCTAAGTAGTGAGACACGCTTGCTGAAGCAATAGATAATCTTGGCTGCACTACTTAGTTGTATTTGATTGGAGCTATTGAGTTTCAAGTTAAGGTGCAAGAGAGCCCAATATTTGTGTTATTGGCATTGAAAGGGGGGGGGGGGAGGTTCACGTCAAATAGTCTCACTTTGGTGCAGGCCTTATTTACAAGATATTCACTCATCATATATTGAATTAGGTAAGCAAGGGAGACTAATTATAACCAGCTTTTTGTGGCTATCATTAATTTTCACATGGTATTTATATACATCTGTGTGAGGCAACATTAAACTATAACAAAAATAACACCCATCTCCTACTGCACTTGCAGGGAGTAAGAGGTATGATGAGTTTCGTGGTCAACAGATACTAGAGTTTTATAGCAAGTAGAGGACTGAGAGTAAACTCAAGGATTTCTGATAAGGAGTAAAGCGGGTTATTCAAGTAATAGAAAGCTAAAGAACTATACACAAGTATATAGGGTTTTTATAGCTAATTGTCTATCTCTCAGACCAAAAGAGGAACAATAGAAAAGTGGTCTGAGGATGAAACCAACCAATAAGAAAAAGAACAACTATCATATGATTTCAAGGATTAATCAGCAGGTGGGAAGATATACTTATAATAGGTATTGTTACGCATGTTCAGGAACCGTATCCTCATGATGAGGTACAATCCTGACTGAAACATTTATTAATATATCCAGGCACTGATGCGGCATGGAGCTGGTTGGCGAGATCTCTACTACCAGTCTTTACCCATTGTACTGGCTGGCTGGGAGTGCTACCCAGTCTCTGATCTGCAATATGAAATGGTATCAATGGTTGAGAAAACCTGTTAAGGCTATGAAAAGTAAAATGGCAAAGGACACCTCTAGCCCTAAAGCCAGAGGTGTAATAGGGAAAGTGTCTGAAAACCAAGGCACAGAATAAAAAGGTAAAGAAAAGTGAATGGTCCTTACAATCTGTTTGTTATATATGAAGCTTTGTACCTACATTATTACAGCATTTGTTTGCCCAAGAATCCTTCTCCTGTGCTTGTTCCCACACTCTGAGGGTCCAAATATCTAACAGGCCTATCTATGTACCTATAGATAGTTATTATGTTTGTATTCCGCAATCCGAAGTTGGACTTGCTTTGTGTCTGAAATATTGTTTTTTTGTGACCAATTCATTGCCTACCCCAGTCAAAACATTTGTGTGAACCCTTGAAACTCATACATGAAGTGGAGATAACCTCTAGCTATGTACCCATCATTTAAATCTACTTGATGACTATGTTTCACTCCTTCCACTGACAACTGAAGCTCCATGTTGACAATGTTCTCTGTGCTCAGCTAGGAAGGGCTTTTGCAGAGGCTAGTGTGGGTGTGAGTTGGGCACAGTGCTTCTTGGAGTGGCACACTGCCTATTTAGGTTGCTACTGGAGTGCACCAGTTGACACTGCTTATGGACATGCTGTCAATAAGAACACAAACAAAGCATGATTTGACTTGCTTGGGGGCACCAATAAAGCAAAGAATATTGAGAGGGATTGTCTCTGGGCAGCAGATAAAACCGGGTTTCAGCCTGGTGGAGGTTTGAGGGAACAAGTTATTTGTCCTGCCAAGAAGAAACAACAACATCAGCTGTAACAACCAAAGTTTGTATACTCTGGCACATAACAAAACAGGTGTAAGGAATCAATTTTTCTATTGCATTCCCATCATGTCATGGCTGTTCAACCCGTTGTCGATGATGAGAACTGCTGTCAGAAAACCACATACAAAAGAAACTAACACACAATCCTCCTAGTCTTGAACCCAGCTATTTTGGGAAGCAGATTTATTTGCGGGTGCAACCGCTTCCCTAGAACATCTGAAGACTTTAGAGCCGTGACACGGGGGTCATGTCACAACCAAGATGACCGATCATGTAAAATAATATTGGCAACAATCTAATCTAATCTGACCATCAATCAATTGCTTTCCCCATTCTATAACCACCGTGTCAGCATCTTGCCAGCAAACTATGACGGACACCAAAAGCGACAATTAAAGTGAATACAACATGTTTTCTTGCCAATCATTGACATCTAGCAAAGACGATATTAGTAGTTCCACTTCCCAACAACCAATCCACCTAGAAAATTTCAGGAATCTCAAGATTTTGCTCACAGAGGACTTTACACCAATTGTGTAAGGACCATTTTATTATTTTCTTATCTTCGCTATGTCTTGGTTCTCGAACACTTTTCCCATTACACCTCTGGCTCTAGGGCTAGAGGTATCATTTGCCATTTTACTTCTCATAGCCCTCACAGGCTTTCTTAACCATCGCTACCATTTTATATCACAGATCAGAGACTGGGTATCGCTCCCAGCCAGCCAGCACACTGGGTAGGGACTGGTAGTAGGCATCTCGCCAACCAGCTCCAAGCCCCAGTAAAGCCTGGATACACTAATAAACACCTTGTTCAGGATCGTACCTCATTATGAGGATACGGTTCCTGAACACGCGTAACAAACCTCTATTATTAGTACAAATCTCTCATCACTGATTAATCAAGTTAAAAGTTGTACAATAGTTGTTCTCCCTTTTTCTTATTGGCCGATTGATTCCTCAGACCACTTTTTGTATATTCTCCTTTCGGTCTGAGGAACGAACAGTTCACTATATAAAGCCTTACCTATTCATGTATGGCTCCTTAGTTTTCTATTACTGAATTTACCCGCTTTACTCCTCAACAAAAACCTTTAAAAGCTTACCTCTCAAAGTCCTCTACTCGCTATATTTACTAGTGTCTGTCGACCTCAAGCTCATTGAACCCCTTACTCCCTGCAAGTGCAGAAGGAGACAGGTTTCGTTTTTGTTATAGTTTATCGTTGCCTCACAAATTGCACCTAAAGTCTGAGATTTCATTGACAACAACCACCCACACTCCAGCCTTACAGAAATGCTCTACCTAGGTATGTTCAGTTTGTTAATGCAAATATTGAGTGTGCTAACATATCTGTTCCTCTTGTAGTGATTTTAGTGGTGACAATATAACATATATTTTGTCGCTATTGCAATGGCATTATGAACAGCAGGGTTTTGCCTGCACTGGTTCCTGCATGAAATTGTTTGCTGACAGCTTTGTACAGCTCTTTCCTGACTGCTTTGGTGCTGTAACCTCACTTTTCTGCCTCTTGTCTGGCCTGGTGTAAGTTATAATATGGTTCCTGTTTTTCTTCTTCATGTAAGGATTGTGTTTCAGAAATGAATGTTGTCATCCAGAAGACATAGGAGTTTTTTTCTTGGACTTGGTAACAATGAGTTGCTTGCGCTGGATTAGCTTTCCCAAAATAGTATATTCATGATCTACCTAGAACAGGAAGGAAGTCTTCCCAAAGTGTCTGGTGTTGAGACTACAATCCTCCCAGATTCCACGGAACTTGTGTATGGGCTTTGCCTCCTAGAACAGTGGGTGATCTGGTTGTTCGTGGGGTAGTATGTATAACAATTCTTCAAAGTAAAACCCAGAGATGTATGTGTGTGGGTTTTAAGGAGGAGGGATAGTTGGAATATAGGCGATAGGGGCTTTGTGGTAAGTATAGACAAGCACTACCTTGCTAATTGTAGCACAAGGTAGATTTGAGAATGATGAGGTGATGAGGTTCCCAATGATAGCAGGCTCCTGACGCATAGACTGTAGTGCTCAGAAAGACTCTAATTGAAAGGGATGACAATGACTTTAGAAGTGACGAGTGACAATGACAGCAGTTAACAGTAATAGCAGTGGGAAGTGTTGTGACCACACTGGATCACAAGTAGTAGTAAGTAGTAAGCTTGAGATTAGAGGAGAAGTTTGGATTGGATTTCTTGATTTACAAGGTAAAATACAGGGGTTTATACAGTAAAAAAAAGGTAGGCTATGCACAGTATAGTTGTGCAAAATGAATGAGAAAGAACATGAAGGAAGGAATGTACACCGACAAATCCTGTATAGGTAGTACAGGATAAGATTGTCAAAATAAGGAAAAGAAAGGGATAGAACAACAAATGCTGTGTAAGTAATGTAACAGGTTTGTACAGCCATAAAATAAAGTCCAATAGCAGAAAGAGAGCAAGAAAATCATAATGTTATGGGAAAATGCAGTAAAGAAAGCAAGGCAAAAATAGCTTCAGTATCAACACAGTTCATTTGTTGTCAGTCAGGCATTCTAAAAAAATATGTGTCCATAAAAATGATTCAAAAATCAAGAATAATCACACTACAAATGAATGTCCTATTAAAAAGGAATTGGAGCCACTGGTCCACCACCTAGTCCAAATCCAACAGCTCTATGGCCTTATTAATGCTCCGGTTGTATTGGGCCACTAGGGGCCATCATTTCCTTTATTATCACTTCAGGATTGAATGGCCATGCTCCAGTTTTTTTGAATACAGCATAAATGTTGTCTGGTGTAAATGCTTTCAGATGTGGGCATGCATAGATTGTGACAACACCAACAGGATTCTATCTTGGGGCACTGGAGCACAACCATCAAAGGCTACAACTCAAAGAAATGGTGGTACAACCTATTGAAGGAGGGAGGTTGTCTTCACTAATGTTGGTATACATTAGAAGAGAACTTGCTGAGTCCTTCCCCATGTATTGTTCACGTATATATACTGAAATATATGAGGTACTGTATAGTTGTAAATAAAGTTCAAAGTCCAATGTCCAGTATGTGACCAGTTACATGGTGAGTCTGGACACTGGTTAGGTGACTATGAAAAGTCTGAAAAGTAAAGTAAAGTCAATGGTCACATGATCAGTCAAGTGACTTGGAAAATGAAGAGTAAAGTACAGAAAAAGTAAAGTGTAAATAGGTGCTGGTATGTCTATTGTAACATAGATGGTCACAAAATCAAACTTTGTGACACTCTGCCTGTTAGAGCTTTCAAACTGATCATATTCTTGGGTCTAGTAGTGTTTGAGTGGCCCAAAGATGACAATATCAAGTCCTTGGTAAATATGGGTTGTATGTGCAGGATAATAGAGTATATGTGTATTGTTACCCCTGGCATACTCTAAAAACTCCTTTGTGTAGTGGGAGTTATGTCCATCAACAAGAAGAAACTATTCTCAGCTGTTGACTTTGTTATGGGTCTTCTTATCAAAATCTTCAATCCATAGACATCCAATTGACAAAACCGGATAAACCCGGTCTCTGCCGAAGCAGCCATTGTTCTCCATGGAGCATAGCCACCACTCCATGGAGTAACCATTGTTCTCCTAGGAGCACAATTGTACTCCTAGGAGTCATTATACTGTAGCAAGTAGCACCTCCGACTATAAGTAGTAGGGGGTTTAGTATAGAAATACCTCAGTCATTTCTATAGCCTCTTGGGCAGCGGCTGAGGTATGTTACATTACATTTATTAGAGATCACCTTAAACTAACATCCATTGTAGTTTCACATAGGTAAATAATATAGTTGTTTCTATAGCCTCTTGGGCAGTGGCTGAGTTTCACATAGGTTTATTAGTCTTCATCTTTGACAGTGCCAGACTATACCAACTTTGGTGTTGTTACATCAGCCACTTGTGACTTGTCTAAATAAAATATTTCTTAACACAAAAATATCCTACTTGGTGCACATATGTCCTTCCCCTTCATTAAGATTTTCTTTATATTTACCATATATGATTTATTGCAGGTGTAGACAAAGTTTAGGAACAAGAAAAAACAGCAGTAGGACCCCAGAAGTGCACAAATAACTTGGGTATCTGCCATTCTCCTTGCAATGTACCACAGGATTAGCTGTGGTGTACCTGAGGACTTTGACACATTCCATGGCCTCTTACATCAACCAAATGGCCAGTGAAGGTGAACATGTTGGGATGTAATTTACAGTGTGGGTAATGCCACTTTCCCGATATGGCAGGTGCTGTAAATGACTCAGTTACCAAATTTGAGCCTGCTTTAAGCAGACTCGGAACACTATCTTTTTTCTTCAAGATCGGCCATGTCATCGTTCGTTCCCTTGCTCGACGTTGGGCACAAAGATGATGATAACTTTATCGATGCGCTCTCGCGGATCGCCCCCATCATCGTTTCACCCGATCTTTCAGCCTATCTCCCTGACACTTCCACCCGCTTCACTCTCTTCGACCAAAACTCAGATATAGACCAGGTCATTTCCAGCCTTGACAGCGGCTCAGAAAAAGCCATAGTTCCAATTTCTCTAGCAAAAGTTTCAGTCGGTATCGTACCCGCAAATCGCCTTCTCCTTTCCCTCGATGTAGCCAGCGTCAGTGCCGTATCTGACTCGGTTCGAAATGCTGTTTCTGGAGTGCTCCTCATTACGCCCACCTCGGACGTCGATCTCATTAGCTCTGTTTCCCGCTTCTTTGTCGGCTCATCCATTCACGTTCTCTCCCATGATCCTCCTTCCACTTCCACAATCAGAAAACTTGCAGCCATCGGTGCAACCCTCGTCCTTTCATCATCACAGCTCACGCTCTCCTCTTCATCCGATTCAAAGATCAACATCGCAGATGCTTTCCTTGCGCCGATACAATCAGATCGCCCTGATGGCCTGTTCCCCACCGTAGTAACGTCTCTCCTTCAAAACAACCGCTCACTTGGTCTCGTATACTCATCTCGCGAGTCAGTTAAAGAGTCTATCCTTACAGGAAAAGGCGTTTACCACTCCCGCAAACATGGTATCTGGCGTAAAGGAGAGACTTCTGGTGCCACACAGGATGTCATTCGCATCCGTACTGACTGCGATGCCGATGCTCTTGAATACAGTGTCGTCCAACACGGTTCTGGATTCTGTCACTTGAATCGTCCTTCTTGCTTTGGAGATTTAGGAGGGTTAGCTGCACTTGAGGATACTATCCGCTCAAGGCTGGAGGACGCTCCTGAGGGTTCATACACTCGCAGACTATTCAACGATCATGACCTTCTCAAATCAAAAATCATGGAAGAGGCGGATGAGTTGTGCCGTGCGGAGACTAAAGAGGAAATTGCTTTCGAGGCAGCGGATTTAACCTATTTCTCGCTCACTAGATGTATTGCTGCTGGGGTCAGCATTGCTGATATCGAGCGATCACTAGACCACAAGGCGAAGAAAATTATTCGTAGACCAGGGCACGCAAAGCCTCAGTGGTTATCTAAGACTAAAGATGACAAGACCACAGCAGCTGTTGCTCCTGCTCAATCTTCAGCGCCGACATCGGTGCCCGCACCCCCAGCACCTCAGTCTGAGGATTCTGATTCCTCAATTCGCATGCGCGCATATGATCTCTCTGAGATCAGCGCCAAGGAACGCTCGCAGCTCCTCAAGCGTCCCGTCCTGAAATCAGATGAAATGATTGCCAAAGTGAAACCCATCGTCGACGATGTCCGCTTACGGGGAGACGCCGCGCTCCTCGAACTCACAGCCAAATTCGATAAAGTACAGCTCTCTTCCACAGTTCTCTACCCTCCGTTTTACTCGCCTGAAACATCGCCTGTGGACGAGAAGGTACGAGACGCAATAGATCGCGCTTACGAAAACATCTATACTTTCCACAAGGCCCAAGTTGACCCCGCTCCGTTGGTGGTCGAGACAATGCCTGGGGTGACCTGTACACGCTTTGCCAGGCCCATCGCACGAGTTGGACTTTACGTCCCCGGTGGCACCGCCATTCTTCCATCAACAGCATTAATGCTCGGTGTGCCTGCTCAAGTAGCAGGATGCAGTGAAGTCGTCCTTGCGACGCCCCCACGACCTGATGGCACTGTGTCCTCAGAGGTGTTATATGTTGCGGACCGTGTGGGTGCTTCAACGATAGTTGTTGCGGGCGGTGCTCAAGCAGTGGCCGCCCTAGCATACGGTACAGAGACCGTGCCAAAGGTAGACAAAATCTTCGGACCAGGCAACCAGTGGGTCACAGCAGCGAAGATGCTTGTCCAGAATGACACAGATGCGTTAGTCTCCATCGACATGCCTGCTGGGCCATCTGAGGTTCTGGTGAGTGCAGCCATCAGTTATTCGAGATTGTAAACGTGTTACTGAAACTGTGGCTTTTTTCAAGGTCATTGCTGACGAGACGTGCAACCCCGCGTTCGTTGCTGCAGACCTGCTATCGCAAGCTGAGCACGGGATTGATTCGCAAGTGGTCCTGGTGGCCTCCTCACTCCCTGCATCAAAACTCTCCGCGATCGAGGAGGAAGTCGACAAACAGGCACGCGCACTGTCACGTGTAGCCATTCTGCGGCAGTCCGTTGCGAAGAGTCTCATTGTCAAGGCACACGACGTACAGGAGGCAATTGCGTTTTCCAATGATTATGCACCGGAACATCTGATTTTACACATGCGAGGCGCGTCGGGATGGGTGAAGTCGATCCAGAATGCAGGCAGTGTATTCGTAGGACCCTACACACCGGAAAGGTATGCCCTACTTTCTGAAAAACAAATTAATGAGTAACTTGAGTTTGCTGTGTTTCATTACATCTAGTTGCGGTGACTATGCATCTGGAACAAACCACACGCTCCCAACGAATGGCTATGCACGGCAGTTTTCCGGTGTCAACACGCTTTCGTTCCAAAAACATATCACCTCGCAGGAGATCACCGTCGAAGGTCTGAAAGCACTGGGTCCTATTGTTGTAACCCTCGCGGACTGTGAAGGTCTTCAGGCTCATGCGAACGCTGTGCGCATTCGTCTCGGCGAGGTCTAGCTTCTCAAACGACAAATGCCAATATAAATTCATGTACGATTGAAAGGAAGAAGCGAAAACGTGTCTGTAGCGATACGCCATCTTAAAAGTAGTTAAGCAATCGAGGTATTGTGGTTGTGTCGTATTACTAAATTAGAACTTATAGCGAGGAATAGGCTCACATATCAGTCAAAACTAGAAATGAATAAAGATCTATTGCAGGATGCTAATGCCCATAGGTAAATACCCAGATGTGTGAGATGATACGCCTATACTCGGTAGAGAGCGCGCTTAGCAACCTTGACAATAAGGGGGGTGTCGGGGAAGGCGAGTGCCTCGAGGTTAGTGGCATACTGCAATAGCGTGAGTGAAAGAGTAAGCAAAAAGAATATAAATCACGAACCGGAGTTGGGACGTCAGCACCAGTGACACGCTCGACAGGAGCATCAAGGTAGTCGAAGGCCTCGCTCTCGATAATCTGTGCGCAAATTTCACTACCGACACCGAATGCCGGGAAACCACCCTCAACAATGAGTAGTCTGATACATAACGATATCAGTAAACGTCTGACCCGACATTTATTTCACATACCTGTTAGTCTTCTTCACCGATTCCTTGATCGTATCGATGTCAAGGGGGCGGATACTGCGCAAGTTAATAACTTCAGCCTGTATACCTTCCTCCTTCTCTAGTATCTCGGCAGCCTCCATGCTGTGCGTAACCATCTTGCTGTGCGCCACTATCGTAACGTCCTTGCCTACACGTTCCACTTTGCATTTTCCGATGGGAAGGGTAAAATTGTCGGACATGGCCTCTTGTGACATGGGGAAAGAGATACCGTACATCATCTCATTCTCGAGGAAAACAACAGGGTTTGGATCACGGATAGCAGCCTAGAAAAAATACAGATAAGGAACGACACGTGCTATGTATAGAACCTGAGTGTACCTTTAGCAGACCTTTGCAGTCTTCGGCACTCCAAGGGCTGACGACTTTGAGACCTGGGACTGATCCATACCAAGCTGCATAATCCTGCGAATGTTGAGCACCAACACCTGCTGCAGCACCATTGGGACCACGGAAGACGACTGGACATGGGACGTTGCCGCCGGACATGTAATACGTCTTTCCTGCGGAGTTGACTATCTGGTCGATAGCCTGCATGGCGAAGTTGAAGGTCATGAATTCACATCTAAATGATATAGGAGGAGAAATGAGGTTTTTTCATGAACACGTGAGTTGATAAAGTGTTGCCATACACTGGTCGTAGACCTGCTAGTGCAGCTCCGACAGCCATGCCAGCGAAACCCATTTCGGTGATAGGTGTATCGACAACACGCTTTTCACCGAATTTGTCAAGGAGACCTTTCGTGATCTATGATGAAGCTAGGGTTTAAAAAAACATGACCGCAACAAGATTTTAGTAGTGTGTCACCTTGTATGCGCCGTTATACCGAGCAACCTCCTCGCCCATGATGAAGACACTCTCGTCACGCAACATCTCCTCCTCCATTGCAACGTTCAAGGCATCACGAACTGTCATCTGCGAAATGAATGAATGATAAGAAATGTGCTCTGAAAAGTGGGAGAAATGCTGACTGAGTTTTCGCTCTGGGAAGCATAGCTTCGAGCGAGAGCTGCAGCTCGGAATGGCTGAGAGTGTTTTGCAGCACGAGCATGTGCGATGGCTGGTGCAAAGCGAGAGAAAGCGGCACGGGCTGCAGCCATTGAGCCTTTTTTGAGGGAAAGGGAAGAAAGGTAAATGAGCTGGAAGGACGGGAACGCGAAAAGCCAAAGTTACGGACAAATACGGATATCGGTTAATTCACACGTCAGATCCTCTGCGGGCGCCCTCTTATTCCTCAATGTCCACTCCAGTCGTCGTCCTCACAGGAGCATCCAAGTTCATTCTTATTTTTTGCTTATTCCACCATCAACATTTTCGCTAATGTGTGCTCAGAGGCATCGGACTCGCAGTGGCGAGGTCCCTACTTGACGAGCACAACGCATCCGTCGTGGCTTTGTCTCGCACCAGGACCAAAGAGCTGACCGATCTGTGCGAAAAACATACCAGTTCCTTGCTTTTCATTGCGTGTGACGTGTGAGCATTTCCATGTTGTCTTTGCAATGTCTTGTAGATGCATCTTTATAGGACTGATGAAAAAGGATTGACACAAGCCATCGCCCAAGCCCAAGAAACGTATCAGCGTATCGACGGTCTCATCCTCAATGCGGGTACCCTGGACCCACTGGGCCGCATAGACAATCCGAGCAACACTCTGGATTCTTGGCGATATCACTTCGATGTCAACGTTTTCTCTCTGGTGACTGCTCTCAAGGCCGCCCTGCCCGCCCTACGCAAGAGCAAATCGGGAGGTAGGATTGTCTTCCTAAGTTCAGGTGCTGCAACCGGAAGCACTCCAGGATGGAGCACATACAATGCGGGAAAGGCGGCTGTAAACAGCTTATGCCGGTTGGACCCATTTTGGTGTCATGATCTACCAAAGCTCACGCAATCCAATAGAACTTTGTCCAAGGAAGAACCTAATATCGTTTCTCTTGCTTTGGCTCCGGGAAAAGTGGATACTGATGTAAGTCTGCGCTACTAGTCCTTGTCGGTCCCGCGTGCTTCCCTCAAAGCTGTCCAGATGCAAGCTATCCTGCGATCAACTGGAGCAGCACACATGACAAAGGAAGACCACGACGTATTCGTCAATGTTCACAAGGAAGGGCAGCTCGTCAACCCACACGACGTTGGCTATGCGATTGCCAGCCTCTGTCTGCGCGCACCTCTGTCGATGAGTGGTCAATATGTGCGGTGGGACTCTGATGCTTGTAAAGATTTCCGGAGAGAATGAGCTGGTGCGTGTTTGTCGACATGTATGGTTTGTATCGATAGCCATGTACGCAAATGAAAAGATCGACCTGTGGATGAATGAAAAAGTGTCCATTGTCAGTTTTGCTTCGCAAATGCAAAACGTTCCTGGCGTGGGCCACGTTGGGAAAGTCAGCGTTCTTTCTCGCCAGCCTCGCTGAACCTGTCCAAAGCCAATATCGAAGTGTCGGACGGTCATTCTTCTATCTGACCGCATTAAAAAGACGTGGATCCGGTCCCGACTGCATCACGTTTCTCCCTCTCCTTTCGTCCTGATTTTCCTCGCACTCGCCTGCGTCCCTTTTCGAGATGGACAAAGTGAGCTCATGATCGCTGTCAAATGCAGACTCACAAATATACCTTCCCTTCCAGAACATCCGTATTGATGTTCATCATCATTTCTTTCTTGATGCAAAACAAAAGAAAAAGAGAAATGGTGAGATAGGCTGGCGGACACCAGAGGAAAACCTACCATGGCATCCCACCTTAAGCCTGAAAGCGATGGATGCACTGGGTATCCAAACAGCCATCCTGTCACCGCCTCCACTGTCGTCTGGGGCTATTGGGTCTGAGAATCGCGCGTTTGCAAGAACTCACAACTCATATGCCGCAAAACTCTGCAATGTGTATCCAGAACGCTTCGGCTTCTTTGCATGTCTTCCTACCCTCAACGATGTCGAAGGTACAGGAGAAATTCACCTCCTGTGCCACTGTACTGAGCTGTGCAATTGCTTCCTCTGATAGGCGCACTATCTGAGATTTGCCACGCTTTAGATCATCTCAAAGCAGACGGCATCGCTCTTATCTCTTCTTATGGGGAGGGTATACATGCAAGTGAGCCATCATCGCAATTGCCAACACGTTGGCATCCGCAATTAACTCGTCATCTTAGAGTATATTGGCGACGATTCGTATGATCCTATCTGGAAGGAGCTGGATCGACGACAGGCTGTCGTGTTCCTTCACGGCGCGCAAACGCCTTCCTCCACACCCTATCCACATGATTTCCTTGGCCTACCGATATCAGAGGTATTCTACTTGCCTACTCATCTAATATATGCTCTCATCGATCGTTGGCTCCTTTCCACCAGGTTCCGAACGAGACATTCAAAGCTGCTGCCCATCTCGTCGTGACAGGGAGAAAACGCAAGTATCCGAATGTCAAAATCATACTTGCTCATCTCGGAGGAAGTACGCCCTTCCTCGCTGCGCGCGTAGCCATTCTCTCGAAGCATATGGGCTGCACACTCACCCCTGAGGAGATACTCCAGGATTTCAAAAGCTTCTACTACGAGACCGCTCTCGGTGCCCACGAGGTTACTCTGACGGCAATGGAGAAGTTTGTCCCCCTAGATCATATATTATTCGGAACTGATTTTCCAGGTATGCCCTTTTTCTCTACGTTCCTTCCGTTCTGACATTGAAACCTTAAACAGCGGTCAGTATCGAAATGGCCAGCTGGTATACAGACAATTTAGAGAATTTCTACAATGGCGATGCCAGAAAACTCGATGCCGTCACCCGTCGTAACGCTCTGAATCTTCTCCCCAGGCTCAGGCTGCAGTAGATGCGACATTTAGAGGATATCGATATAAAACTAGATTCCAATTTTATGAGATAGTGAGCTTGCTAAGGCGACACTCTCATATTAATCTTAAAAAATTGCGATGCGATACAACTTGTAGTAAAGAGCGTGAAGACGGTATAAGTAATCTATGCACATGTATTAATGAAAATGAAAATGTAGGTAGATATCTATACACCAAGTCTGTACGCCGCAAAGATTAGAACGAGGCATAATGTAGGAGGAGGCGATCGACTTACCTCCGTTTACTGTGCTCGTAGACCACATACGAGATTGATACTGAGGGTATGACCTAATGAACGGGATCAGCATCTCTATGGGCAAGTGAAATCTATCAGGCCTGACCTTGGCTAATGTGGGGAATAATCCGCGATAAAATCCTCTCCACCCATCCCTCTGATAGGTCTTCATGACTACATCCATGATACCAGTATAGCGCTGTGGATGTCCTGAAGAACCCGACGCCTGCAGCCGTGTCCGCACTAGGTTGAGTGGGTAAACACTCGTAGCGCCCACACTCCCCGACACACTACCAAAAGCAAGGAGTGCCAGAACACCAGGCTCGTCTCTACCCGTCGAACGCAGGTAAGCGAGCTTCAGGGCTTCAAACGTGCTCATGTCAATGGCGGAGTATCTGCGTGAAATCAAGTAAGGATTGTGAATATGATATCCTAGGTAAGTTCAACTAACGGAAAGACTCCAATAAGACCGATCTACATGCGGGTGAATACGAGAACGAATCGAGAATAAATACAGACGTACTGTTAGACCACGATAGTAGGCTCTGACGCCACCCAATTTCCAGACCAGCCGCGATGCTTCAGCCAACGTCCTCTTTTGACCTCCAGTAGAGCTCATCATTTGTGTCTGGCGCCGATGCATGAATTTCGATGTGACTTGAAGTGATTTAATTTGCTTACTTTGAGCGTCTCAATAGGATATATGCCTTCATCGATTTGGTGAGGATAGGTGCTCCACAGAGTCCGAGATAAACTCACTGAGTTGACTGCTGAGGCCTCCAATACCTCCCGATAAAAAGCGACTAACACCACTGATGTCTCTCGAGTCTTCCACGTGGTCCCAGTATTTAGCAAACGCACGTTTCTTTTGGAGAAAGTTTAAGCTTTGACGGACAACGTGATAACAAAACACGTACCGAGGATTCATAAGTCAAGAACTTGATCGCAGATTCAGGAAATATCTTAGTTATAGAGAGACCATTACCCGTCCAGAAAGCTAATACACCGCCTTCAGCATATATGCGCGCAACTGCACCAGCGATAGCCTTCAAGCCACCAGCACCCGATGGCGTCGCAAGAGCCGTCCCACCCATCTCTGGTGGACGAGTGATAAGGAAGATCTTCAGGCGATCAAACGGTGCTGTGCATGTACGTGATACTGCGGGAATAGATATAAGTAATGTCCGCCATAAAAGCTGGGAAATATCCACCTGCCCCAGCTATTCCACCAGCGCACAGGAATTTGATCGCCGTATGCCCCTCGTGCCAACTGTGATGCTCGGTTTCCTCTTCGTCATATTCACCTTCCTCTTCATCCTCATCGACTGGACTGGTATGGCCAACCGGCAAACTCGAAGGTTCTTGTGGTAGCTTAGGAAATGTGAAAGGAGGAGGTTTATCTTCAGCGCTGAGGCTAACATCGCCTTGAAACATTTCCAAAAGTCAGCAACGAAAATTAAAAGAGAATGGTTTAATTATACCTTCCATTGTAACGCGAGCTGCCCCTCTCCCATCATCACCCATGTATTTTGAAACCTCGTAGTATCGATATATTTCGGACACGGATACTTTCCGTGGTAGTAGAAGCAAGAAATCCCTGAATTCACGAAAGTTGATGGCATGCGAGTGAGGAGAAGAAGTCAAGAACATCATAAAGTCCGTCAATGTAGTCGGTGTAAGAGTGATGCCTACGAAGAGGTGTTACATGACCAGCTCAACGCAATGAAAGCTAGAGACTGACCTGCCCTTCCAAGGGCCACTGATAGCTCTTCAGCATCCAGATGTCCATTCCCGTCCAAATCGAGTTCATCGTGAAATATCGACCACAGCTCTAGGCACATACCCACCATCTCGTCAATGCATCGCAGAGATATGTCAACATCCAAAACACACCTGCTTCCTTCGCCTCTGCATACTTTTTAAACTCTGGCCACCTTATATGGCCCGAGTGTCCGTTCGATATATTCCCTCCACAACTCCCCAAAAGCTCATCATCATACATATTCTTCATCAACTCCGCCTTTTCCTGCGTCATACTCGACACCGCAGCAGGCTCTCCACTCGACACGTCTTTCGACTTTGACGGTTCACTGTCTATTCCTATTTCATGATATTTTGGTTTTGGAAGCTTTCTCCACAGTTCATGTAATCGCTTCTCCCGTTCCTCTCTTCCCTCCTCCTCGCGGAACTCCAACAGACTATGTGGTAGTGGGTGATGTGATACAGGATCGGACCTAAGACGGGGTATAAACGGGCGTTCTTGAGCGCCCGAAAAGCAGTTCTCGAATATCTCGCGCCCAGTGGGAGCAGTCCCGGGCGTATATGGGTGTTGAACCATGAAAAGTGGTGCAAAGTGACCAAGCCAAAAATCAGCTGGGCTGTTTCGTTTGTTGCTTTTAGGCGAGCCAACTAAATAAAGGCTTTGTTTTTCTAGAGTCTCATGGCTTGGAGACGATGAGCGTTAGAGTGCAAGCGGGAAAGGGCTGCAAGGGTGAAACCGTGAAAAGGGCTTATAATTGCTGCTTGTAGTACTTATTTACGGGACGCCTCCCTGCCGAGCCCGGTGGCATCCTCAAGGCAGAGCACCTTGAGCTGGCATCCCTCGAAAAGGTCATTCCCGGCGCTGTAACAGTAACATGCTCCACAACTCGTCTCGTTTATTCACTGTTATGGAACTGTACCATGTAACATACGTAGTTTAGTAAGAAAGGAGATGGGCGGGGGAAAAAAAAAAAAAAGTCCTTGTATGATTCATCGCTGATTATCGTGCTGTCAGTTGTACATTTTGGTAAGAAAATAAACATAGAGTAGCGCTTCAAGCCTCATGTTGGAGCGCATGTAGTCACAAGCAAAAGGCCGAGCCGATAGCGAATCCCGTGCGCCTGAGCCAGGCGCCAAAGCTATCCAGTAGTCGACGAGCAGCATTGCCAAAGCCAGGTAAAGGTGGAAGCTCAGCGTCAACCTTTGCTCTGGGAAGCATCTTGGGCTCCTCGTGGTGGTGATACTGCGGCCTGGCCGCATTTGAAGAAATCGAAGGAGACGCTTTAACTTCAGGCCATTTATCGTCCAACGTCAGACCAGATGGCGGTAAAGGATGGGAGGTTAGGGCAGGTGTACACGTCGAGGACCACGTCGACGACAGCTCCGGGTTGATGGATTCGCTCTTCTCTGTTTGGAACACCAACGTGGTCGCATCATGTATCGATGACTCCGTGGGCGGGGTAGGCGGTGATACCAAGCTTGGTCGACGATGGTGCGAGCTTTCGACGAACGAGCGGTCACGGGGCACCTGAAAGACGTTTCATAAGGATGCTTCGAGAGATTGATAAGATGAGAGACATACCAAATGAGATATCATAGACGGCGCTGGCGAGGTACGGGTATCAAAGCTCGCCGCATTCGACGACCGTGATCTTCTCCGTTGGGTAGGGAGCGGAGGTGTAGGTGGGCGATAATCCTTAGATGGAAAGAGAGATAAGCAAAGCCATAATCGGATACAAGACACCCATTCATAACTCACCGCATGTTGTTTACGTTTGACAGTCGTGCGTGGGATGGTCGACCACGGCGTTGGCGACTCTGGGCGGGACGCAGGGTCATAATCATCACAATCGGAAGGGGGAGCAAGTGTCATGCTTCCAGAAGTCTCGAGCTCCTAGATGGATAACGGCATCAGCTTAGCAACGTGTTTCAATCAAAGCGCATAGTCCCATACCGATACGGTGACGGTAGGCGAATAGTGCTCTTTGCCATCATCGTTGGCTATGACGAGCGTGTTGATGTTGGGGGTATTCGTACACGTGCTTGGCGACGTGTGAACGTTCGGCGTCCTGCCAGATACCGCACGGTCAATCACATCCCGCCAGTCTGCAGGCATCTGTCCAGGATGCGTTGCTTGAGCGGACATGGTTTCAATTGTAATTTTACCAAGAAGACACGTACCGGTGGCTGATCATTATTCATGGCAGACGCAAGTGTGAGGGAAAGTCGCCTGAACGGCGAGCCAGGCGAAGACGGGGGTGAAGGTGGTGGGGAGGGTATAAATTTAGGAACGGGCTTTCTGTAGCTCATGTCTCTGTGTAGAGAGTGTCCTGTCCCAGACATACGTCCTTTGCCACAGACTTGAGGAAGGTACAATAGGAAGTTCAGAGAGAAGGTATTTAAACGAAGGAAAAGAAAAGGCCACAAGAAAGCCACGGTGCAGTATGTCTGATGGGTGAGCCACAGGCACTAATTACAGTGTGGTATGGCCAAAGCGTGAGTGGGATGAGGTATTTGAAAAGATTGGGAATGGCTACGGACGTACACAAGTGCAAGCCAAGGAGAGTACGGATCCGTATAACACAAAGGAGAAAAGTATGCCTCGAGTGTTCCAGGAGTGGTAGTTAAATTTATTGAACCGTCCCCTGAAGGCACGTTGATCGCCACGTTGATGTGAGGGTGGGTATGCAGTACGATGATATGGGCGTCCGTTGACCTCATGGCTGGATGCCCTTCCCATGGGCCGTATTGGTTACGGGAGTGGCAAAGATCGCGACATGTGCGTATCTTGACACACAAGATTATGGCTATGTGAGCTGTGGCATATTAGTACACTGGCGAAAGCCAAGGACCCATTCGGCCGGACAAAATGGAGTGCCGCTAGAAGGCATTCATAGAATGCAAACATACTTTTTATCAATCACAAGCATCTAGTACAGAAAAGCTTTAGGAAACTCACGGTAGCGCTGTACATATGTCTGGACGAAGATGTCGGAATGCCATGGAGGAGAAACAAAGCAAACACGCACTTTACCGAGTTTCCATTCTGGGCAAGTGTAGTAGTGGTGAAAGCACAAGAGATTTGGGCAAGGTTCCCAGATTGAATCACATTGCAGATAACCGAAATCAAGATTACAGCCCACTACCCAGAAATGAAAGACAAAACAGAAATATATATATGCATATATGGTAGAGGCAGCTGGACTCTATCAACATGTAAAAGCCTCCTTCTACGCCCCTAAGACCGCACCGAAAGCATTAAAGAAAGATGGGAGATCGATGCAGGAGTGCAATTGGACGATATAACGTTGAATAAGAAGGAGGAAGAGGAGATGTGTCGAAATAATAGATCTATGTATAGATGGAAGGACTCGTATGTACTAACCCACTCGAGTAAAAGAGCGATCGTCGATAAATGAGCGTACAGAAAACAGGGTCATAAGATGGCGTCAGATGATGGATGTATGAGGAATGGAGGGATGCGTCAGTCGAAGAGAGTATGCAAGTGTGAATGGAGTGAGAAGGGTATCTTGATGTTCGAGCAGAATCCACGTCTCTCCGCGGATGTCGTCAGTGAGGAGACCACGGCTGCGAATGCGCAAAGTGCCGCGTCGTTAATAAATAGATCCAGTACGTCGTGAGATAGAGCCTGGAATGAATTCATGCAAGACCCTGCTTCTCCTGCACAAGAGTCTCCAGTTCCTTCTGATCATCCTCGCGCGTGCGTGATCGAGACCGTGGCAGACGCATCTTCGATCGCCACTCCTGCACCCACTGCGCCACTCCTTCCCGATGCGGCACCCCGCTGTCCGAATCGGGCGACCCCGACGACGAGATCAGCGCCCGCAGCCGCTCTCTTCCCAAAATGGGTGCAAGCGACAGGAACGACAGCAGAACGAGCTTGACGATGATCTCAGGCGATGTCAGCAGTGACGACACCGACTGCTGTGCCGGCGAGGACGTCGACGCCACCGTCTGCAGAATGTCCCCGATCTGACGTAATGGCGCTATTTAGCATACTGAGAACAAGGAGGGGGACCGCAGTACATACCTGGCAGGTCACTGCTGTCCACGGAAGGCACCCAATGAACGCACCGAGCATACAGTCCGTTATCGCCACTCCGCATACACCGCAAGCAATGTTAATTCCCGACCAGGGCACTACGCCTATAAGTCGTAGCACAGAGAGGCGCACCCACGCAGATGACTTGGACTTGGCCCCGGTGCTAACGCTCGACTCTCCTTCGAGCGCGTTACGCGTCATATCCAGAGCACGCGGCAATAAGCGCGTCAGGAACGGTGCAAGAGGCGTTGACAGCAGTGTAGCCAGAAGTGAGCCAATCGTCGTCAAGGCCGTCAGCAGCAGTGTTGCAAGGGCTGGGGAAAATAGAGCTCCAGCCAATACATTCTTAGATTAACATCAAGTTAGCGATCGGTTCGGAATAGCAACATAACCGGGTACAAAACTAGAAGAAAAAGATTGGTGACTCACCCAGAGGACACTTCCTGGTACGGACCAAGCATGTTTCCACACAGCTGTTATTGAAAGGACGCCTATGACGTGCGCAAAAGGACCAGAACCACTCCGTGAATAAGCATGCAGCTCTCTTCCGAGCTGAGCAAGCTCTGGCAGGTTGTGCGGCCACGACACGGAAATTGGAAGAGTGGACAGACAGAACAGAACAAGTGCTGTTGAAAGCGGGAAAAGGAGGATGACTACAAGTATTGGAATATGTACCTGCGAGCAAATCAGATAGGCAAAGACAGGCACATAGAGCGGGTGGTACGAACGGAAGGAACACGATGCCACCAAGCGGTATTTACTCTGGAAAGCTCTTTCTCACCAAAGACATCACCAAAGGAGGTCTGCTGAGACGATGCGGAGATGGGAAGAATGGAGTCTTCGTCTGATATCGAATGAGGAGAAGATGGACCGGATGACATGACGGAATGGTTTTTGGGCACGTGGAGCAAGTCAAGACATCGAGAAGCAAGAACGGCGAGCATGGAAGGAGATGGTTGGGGCGAGGGCACGCGAGGCGATATGTCGTTGGGCTGGAGGGGAGCTGGATGCGATGGCTGTGGCAGGGTTGAGGGACGCAGGTGGACCAACGACGAAGAGCGCCTGCGACCGAGGGTGTCTATGGTCAGAGGAGGGCGTACGTTTGTAGACGATGCACGGGATCGGTTAGGGGGATGTGGCACAGCGAGGGACATGAAGAGACGCAGGCAAAGGAATGGAAATAACGAACAGGTATATGAGGAAAAATACAGTCAAAAGTCAACACCTTCCTGTTCATCAGCATACGTAATCAAACATCACCAATACCCGACGGCGCTACGGCACTTGCTCACTTACGAAACCTCCTTTACACACCGCTTTCCGTGACATACCGGCCAATCAGCGTCTCTCTCCCAGCATCCTCTCTCCCAAAGTCGGGTGACAGAATATTTTGTATTTATGGACGTCGACTGTGGATGTGCACTGCGGACTGTGCATCTGCAGCAGAAAGACTACTGCGCCATCGCTACATCTCCTAGCGAGACGTGTCCACGCTGCCCTCCGAGGCCGACGCCCGCTCGACCGCTGCCGAACTCATGCCGCAATTGACTCGACGTGTTTCCCGGCTGTGCGGCATTGCCCAAAGATCGCGTCTCACACCGACTGTCCGGACAACTGGCGTCATCACCATCTCATCTGTCCAGCTCTCCATTCAGACATATCCACATGATGCACCCCATCCACATCTGACGGTGCCGAAGCTCTCACTCCATCGCGGAATATCGTAACATGGTGTTAGTCTTCAATGCATGAAACGTTACAATAAGGGGCATATAGCATGGTCAATTGTATAGGCTCCTTTCGATTCTCCATCGACCCGGAAATCCCAATGCATATAGATGCCAGCCACATCTTTTTAGTGCGCCCGTCTGCTCTCCTGGATAATGCTGCTCAACTCCTCCAGCTTGCGTTTCGATCGCAGAAGCGTCCCCAGCTAGACAGGTCACACCAATTAGCACACTAGCGCTACGTAGCATACCATATTCGAGAAATAGACACGCACCCGCTTCTTTGTTAGCTTTCTTGCTTTTTTATCCTGTAAACAACGATAAAATAGTACTCAATTTACCGTGCCTTGATGCAAAGATCATTTTCACGCACCTTCGAGTTTCGCAACAACTCCATAACTCGTCGCTCATACGGCGAGAATCCAGCAACCTCCCGAACAACAGACCGCACAAACTTGGTCTTGGTCGATTGGATACCCTTGCGGTGACTGGGACGCGGCACCTGGGCGATAGGAGTGGTAGGGTGGCCCTTGTTGAGCCCGTAACGGAGGTCTACAGCCCCATCGAACATTCATTCAGCATCCACAACCCTTCCCAACAGTACAAAAACGACACATACTGCTTCGCACCATGATCTTGACGGTCTTGAGGTATACGCTGTTGCTGAGGACGATTTCGGCAAATTCAAGGTGTAATCGTCACGCGTGACACTCGCTCCTGTGGCTTGAGCCTGTATAGTTCCATCCTCACATGCTTTCTCACGCCTGTGCCTTCCTGTCCCACTGCACAGATTGTCGGTATTGGGGCTAGTACTGTTATAGTACAAGGGTTTACACTATGTTCTCTATTATGATATGACTGTGACCACTATGAGACAATAATAAAAGGGAAAATTGGGACAATGAGAAAAACCCAGAGATTTTGGATAGTAGTGAATGTATTGCAGCAAGCTATTCCGCCCAGCTCCTAGTACCGCACAACTTTTACTTTGCCTCCTCCCCGCGAGAGGGCTGCTGCAGCTGCATTCTCATCCAGAGGTGCAGCCGTCGGCGACGTCCGTGCAGATGAGGGTAGGTGGATGGGTGTTGGCGGACGCAGCGAATCAGCATGCTGCTGCCCCCGATAATGACCCATCGATCTATCAGGAATCCCATCTTCTTCCTCCTCCTCTTCCTCATCATCATCTTCTTCATCCACAGCATCCTACAAACACAGCATATCGTCAGCTCTCCCACCCTATAATAAGGATAGTACAAACTCAATCTCATACCGGATCAAAATCTTCCATCTGTCTATCATCCTCATCTTCCTCATCTTCATCTTCATCCTCGTAATCGTCCTCCTCATCTATCCATCTCCCCCGCCAATCCACCATATCCAGCTCCTCCGGGCTCTCCGGCCGAAGCCTCAACCACTGCATCCGCGGCCCACACTTTGCGCGGTCGCTCACCTTGAAGCCATAGATCCGAGGAACATACACATTACCCGCCGCGCGCTTTTGCCCGCCGTACTGATTCGGGTTCACGAACGGCGGAGGTCGGGAGGCGCTGCTCCCCGACCCGTTCCGCGGGGAGCGCCCGGGGGAAAGAGACGACCCAGCAGACGAGGGCGGCTTCCAGAATGGCGCAGGGGCCAGCTCGCGGTAGCTCTGGAAGAAAAGGTGGGAGAAAGTCGTCCCAAAGAAAGCCCCTAAATCACTCATAAAAAAGAATATCAGTCCATCGATCAACGTCACCTCCCAGCAGGCTAATCGGGACACACCATCAACGCCTTGAAAGCGGCTACTTGGTGGGGTGTAGATGTCGTTGCAGTTGGGGCAGAACAGCTTGACAGTATCTAGTCCTGGTAGGTCTGAGCGTCCACATGGGACGACATTGCATCCTACGCAATAGACACGGGGACAGACACCGAATACAGAGTTTTCATATTTATCGACCTGTTCGCTGCTTGAGATCAGTCAATCTAATGCGAATCGGCGTGAATATTGACCATTGCTTGCAAACCTGCGCGTGTGAGTATGTAGCGCTGGTGGACGAGGCCGTAGAGTAGCTCTGCTGATGCCTCGACGATTGAGACGTCGGGTATCTTTGATGTGTCCTCGTCTGGGTTTCACTTTGAAGTTAGATGGTGGGCAGAAATTTTAACGCGATTAGTAGACTCACCAGGCTCCACGTCCAGCACCATATCCATCGCCTCTTTCCAAAATGGAACCATTACATTTAGGCCCGTAAGATTGAAATCATCCTCGATAAAGTCTTCCGATACCTCACAAAAGTACTCATGGCCGGGCAAGGAGCAGAACCAACTGATCCACGTGAGAGTCGACGTAGGAGTCGAAGATGCTGACGTTGCGAGATATTTAGAAAAGAGTCAGTATCCCGTTCAGGCTCTATCATAAACGATGGCACGATGGACAGAGAGCCGAAAATGGAGAGCAGGTGCTGGTAAACCAGAAAAAGTTTTGAGACACTCACTGTAACCCTCCTGGTCGTCGACTTCCTCCATTATTTCATCACCTTCACCTGTAGCGCTGATTGCCTCCTCGTCCTCCAGCTCAGCCTGGCTCGCCTGAGCTTCTACCAATGGTCGCGACATGTAAGGCTAGTCAGACTGGAGTCAAACCAGTCAAGTTTACGTCTCTCCCTCTGTTCCCTTGCCTCCAGATCGACACATTTCAGACTCCGCTTTTAGCACTGCTCTGATGTTTCCATTCGTCGAATAGATAGCAAAGACAGCAGCTATTAGGGACAATTCCTGTGCGATATGTAGAACATTTCTATGCAATCTATCTGATTAAGCAATGCATGCATCATATATATTCGTACTCGTGCTAGAAATTACATGTCACCTGCTCCCTGACGTGACCAGCCCAGAAAGAAGAACCCATGATCACCAAGAGCAGTAATTGAGCGATAACCCAGCTAATCGCAACGTAGAACCACGCCTTCCACGCCTGTAGCGCACTCACTTCTGCCGCAAACGTACTGACCGTCGTCAAACAGCCACAATACCCATCTCCTAGGCCTTGCAATATAGAACAAGCAGCGGGCGAGAGAGGAGGGTATATTCCTTGCAACACATGGAACGTTCCAAGGAGACTAGTCCCGAACATGTTGGCAGTGAACGTCCCGAGGGGGACGGTCTTCGAGCGCGGGTTCAGATAGATAGAAAGAAGGTATCGTGTTAATGTCCCGGGGTATGAGAAGAGCAGTGCAGCGGTGGCCTGATGACGGAAATTGGGGGACAGGCGGAAGTATGCAGGAAATGTAGCGGCGTAGGTGAGGACTGAGATAATGGTGAGAGTGTAGCGGAAAATTTTGCCTGGAGGCCGCAGTACGGGAAAGTGTGGTGCAACTAGCTTGCATACGTGTACACCAAACGATAGGGATCCGAGGGATAGCAGGAGAGTGACCATGGTTTTTGTAATGCCATCAACGACCTTGATACGTAAGTGGTCAAGAGGGCAGGTGTGATTGCTGGTTTTGGCACTTACATCTCGAACGCTTCCACGATGGAACTGACCCGAATTAACCCACGAGTCAAATATGTCTACCTGCCACCCCGAAAATGTGGTCAAAGAACCACAGAATCCTAGAGACACTCGGGCGTTAGAGTGAAGCGATAGGATCAAAGGTGTGATATATCACCAGTAGTCATTGCTGTATATAAAGGACCATAGCTACCAATCAATGAATAATATATTCTGGACGAAGAAGTAAAAAAAATGAAACTTACAATCTACCAAACGGTTCTTTAAGGGCCAGACCCACACCCATAATAAAGCATCCAGTTGCCTGTATATACGCCAATGGAAAAACACTTTGTCCGTCGTATGTGACAAGCGCTTGAAGACCTAACCTTGCGAGTACACCGAATATTGAGGCTGGCATGAGTAGAGCAAGAACATGTATTGATAAGGGATGATAGTTGGAAGGGGTTAAATCCTCTTGCTCGCTGGGGGGATGATCAATTGTAGCAAGAGATTGTGCACTTGCTATAGAATCATGACGAGCGATAACGGAGCCAACATCTGTGCGACGCCTTCGGTTTGTTGGTTGATTGGAGTATGACTTGGCAGCGGTAGAGTACGTGTCCTCGTCTTTTGGTGTAATGGACAGAGAGGATGGGGGAAGACCTGATGAGTCATCTGGATGTTTGCTCCCTATCATAGATTCATCGTCAGGTGTCCGTGATATGTGGGACATAGTCGACGAGGTGTAAGCCTGAGAGGACTACGGCGTTCATATGTGGCTTACGGTATCAGTTTCGCGTCACGATTTCAGCCCCAGCGGCCAATGCTTTGTGGGGTCCCCAGGACAGTACTAGTGGCGAACTATTCGTTTGCCATTCCTGTATAATCGAATACTACGAGTACTCGTTTGCCATCTCGAAAACCACATCATCTGAAGCCATCTGTTGGCCTGATGATTGATCATGATCACATGGAATCGTAAACTAGGTTTGATATGATCCCAGGGCCCGTCAACAGCAAGAAATGCGATGTGAGAGCCAGCAACCGTGACGTCCTATCAAAGGTGAGATTCCCCGTGTACTACTATGGGAAGAAACACTTACTCTACTATCTCCTACCACCATAGCTGCCGTATTCACGCGATGAATTTCGGGCGGTAACTAACTTGCTCAGGCTACTGTTGATGGTAAGTGCTACGTGCAGGTTGTGCTAGGGCATATGGGCTCATCATCAATCCTGATTTGATACTGCATCTCTGATCTATTCTTTCGTCTCCCGGCGGGTACGCTTTCCCGATCTGAGAGCATCGTTCATCGAATATTCATCGCTCTGGTTAGGTTTAGGGTTCAAGTTGGACGCTGGACGTCGAATGGATCTTCCTCTGCAGAAACAGTATGTGCTGAGAAAATGCCATCATCGAGATCCTCGTAATACCGTGGAGATGGTATCTGCACCAAACACCTCCTCACGACCAGAACAACCCTCAAAACGAGGCGTTGCTAGCAGCTGGAGAATCGCCTCAGGCGACTGATGTCTTACGGCGACGTCGAGCATGAGATGAATCCTTGATCTCCGTCGTGTTCAACAGACTTGTCACTTACCGAAACGAAATATTAAGATTCATAGACGGTTGAAATGACCATGAGAATGCGCAAGATAGTGATATTGCCCAAGTATTATACATGATGAACGGACAAATGGAAAGGAAAGATCAATATCAGAAGATGTTAGATAGGAGCGAAGCTTCATCTTGCGAATGAAAGTGGAATAACCACGATCAACAAGTCAAGCATTATAAACCCTCGTCTTCACAAAGAAAGAGTTATCTCGGTCCTCGCCATTTGGCACGGCAACGTCGAAAGCTGTCTAGCTGCGTACCTGGGTTAAGATAGACCTTGGTATGTAAGTGAGGGAAGAAAAAATAAGTTGAGGACATCAAATAGGGCCTTGTTCAGGGCAGGTTGTTTGCTCACACCGGGCGCTTTTCGCCATCTGAGTGGTATTTGGTGATGCCGAGTACTGTGAACCCCGGGCCTGTCTGGGTACGGCATTGCCTATTATCAGTCTTTCTCTTCCCACTGGTATGGCAAACAAGTAACTATTCGCAGGAAGGAAGCTATCAGAGCCCAAGTCAAATTCATTGTTGGCTTGGAGAAATTTCGAAAAAGTTCGTCCTCGTGTTGCACCCGGCATCTCTTGCTGATTGCCTATTCCCATGTAACAGACCGGGCCAAGGGTGAACGTTGTACAAAATTGAACCCCAGCAGTAAACGTATATAGAACGGGCAGCATCACATCACAAGATACACGGCTTGACGTCTGCCGTAGTAGCCTGCTGCTACAGTTTTACACATCCCCCCATGCATCAACCACGTCCTTCCGCCATCCCTGATTTTTACTATGCCCTCTTTGGTTTCTACGAACCAGCATTGACTCTGCTCGGTTTCATCGGCACTCTCCATGATCCTGTATCAGTAAGCACGCTTCTTTTTCCTCCTATCATCTCCACAATTGATCGATCCCGGTCCTTCCCTCATTGCTTCAACTAGGCTCATAATACCCAAGCGCCCTGGCCAACTGGCAGTTCGCCTCCAGAGGCTATACCGAAAGCTTCTATCGTGACAGTCGTACAACTCGCCCATGTTTGTGCCCTCATCGGCGTAGTCAACTTTTTCGTTTTATCCGCTGCAAGAAAGCACTTGTCTGTGCAGCCTGCTCTGCAGGAGCAAATCGTCAATGCACTCCTGACTCCGCTTCTGGTTGGCGATGCCATGCATTTATACGTAACGGTGTGGGCCTTGGGTGAGGAGCGATGGGAAATCAGAAACTGGACGCCCATGTTATGGACCACAGTTGTACTAGGCTTGACTTTGATGATACCTAGGATCATGTGGCATCTTGGCATTTGGCGTTACGTTCACAGAAGGGATGCGCCGAGCATCAAAGGTGTGAAAGACGGCTACACGCAGAGCAGCGCTAAAGAGTAAGCTCCTAGTGTGCAAGGCGATAACAGAATGGGCTATTGGTGTAAAGCATTTTCAGTTATTCTTGATTTATAGATGGAAACAACATATTATTGGATGTACAAATACTGATCTCCTCTTTCTCTCACGTTGTTTACTGTAGATAATTTCAGCCGCAAATACCACGAATTACAGGAGAACAGGGTATCACAAACTGGAGATACATCTTCCTTTAGTCACAGAGATTGTTTAAATGAAAATAACCACTCTCGATTCACCGAAGCAGTCGGAATGGTTTGGAACGATGATCGTGAACGTAATGAAAAAAAAATGTTCAGTAAGGCGCGTTGACGATGTTTGATCTACTCCGAAAACTCGTGCTAGGCGCAAGCGAGGTACGAGTAGGTCTTTTAAGATTCTTCTTATTGATAGCCAAAACGTTATTCTGCAAAGCGACAATCTAAAGATATAAAAGAACGTCAGAACAATTATCGGAGCGTGACCTAAAGGCGAGAACGTACAATTTCTTTGTCGTCGCCAAATTTGAAGTTGTCTTGTACAACCATGTCCTCGTACCTATAGATCGTAGACATTATTCATGTAAGCCGATAAGCCGGTAAAAGGATGAGCAGTGGTGCATACTTCTTGATTTCATATTTGTCGAGTTGACCCTTCTTGACTTTAGCGAAGTCCCATGCAACGACGAACTGCCCCGTCGAGGTAACGATCGCGTTTTCTTCCTGACCCGCTCCCATATTAAACCTAAAAAATTGTCCAGTGAGTCGAAGGAACTACCGAATTATTTAACGGGCTTAGAACCTGGCAGTCGAGAAGTTGATGTCATGATTCATATATGCAACATGTTCAGCGCGCAGTTGGAGCCTTCTCGGCACAGGCTTTGCAGTAGCAGGGAAGCTTCGATCAAAGCCCAAGCTACCTGCATACCGACCCTCACCAATGAGTGTGTCAATAAGCAGAAGATACGTCTTCGTCGTAGCCACGATCCATCGTCCATTGGCCGTGACATCAATGCCGAGGATCGGATCACCAAGAGGAGGCAAGGCTGTTTTCGCATTCTTCCCAATACTATCATACAGCCTGATGTCGCCCTTTTCGCTTGCGACAGCAAGCTTTCCGCCTTCTGTTGTGGCAACGCCCGAGAACTTCGCTTTAGTGGCGTACTGCTTGTACTGGCTATCGACCATCTTGTTTCCCGATACACGCGGATCGACGCGGAATAGTGCGTTGTGTGACGCTCCGACAACTGTTTGTTCTCGCGTGGTTTGAGCGAACTTGTTGTCTGGCGCGATGTGATCAACGGTAATATCGTCGTGGACTTTCCATTCTTCGACGATTTTGCCACGCTCGATGTCCATGTTGTAGATAGAATATGGATCTACAGGATTCATAAGGAGCATCTTAGTATCTTGGTCGTGCAACATGACCTGATCATAGAACATGTTCAGCACTAGTTGCCTAGACATGAGCGGGAATAAATTTAGTTACCTCCTTGGGCTTGAACTCTTTTCCTTTTGTGGTAGCGATCTTGCTAATGGTTGCATGATATTTAACCTGGTTGTCTCCCGAGTGACTGAATACTCCAATATTGTTACCCCTGACAACATAGGATCGGTCGCCCTTGTATCCGACAGTGAGCTGAGAGTTGCGCTCGCCTTTCGCTAGAGGCGGGGGTAAATCTTCCTCTTCTTCCTCTTCCTCGTCTTCGCTAGACTCTGTACGTAAGATGTGAGTTATTGGTTTGATAAATTTGCTATGAGGATAATATACCTTCTGCATCTAACTCAGATGCTATCTCCTCCTCGTCTTCTTCTTCATTTTCTACGTCGCGCATTTCTACGTCTTCATTATTCGAACTCATGACATAAGCTTGTTCGTCCGCCTGTCACCATACCATGTTCATCAGTATACGAATTGCGTATACACATGAAATACTGACCTTTATTTTCCCCCACGGCACTTTATGCAAGCTCTCCCACACGGAAATTGTGAAAGCCTGCTGGAAAGCCTCATACGACTCCTTCTCATAAAACCTGATCACCCAACTACTGACTGTTCCGTTATCGAGAACGTGATTCCAAGTTAATGAAAGGGTTCTCATCGACCACTTCGGATTCATATCCGAGCTGACAGGATGAGCGAGCAACTCGCCCTCTGGAGTCGTAACCATTAACCAGTAGTCGAAAGCTCCCTTCGTTCGCTCCACGATTTTGGCGATGATGATGCCTTCGTAGGAGAGGGCAAATTCGGCGGTTTCATAATCGTAGCAATAAACTTCGCCTTCTTGGGCGCATATAGTCGGTAAAGAAGCGCTACTGAAGGGAGCCTGAGATTTAGGAGGGCTTCGTGGGGGACTTCTGGTCGGCGAGGATTGGGCCACAGAAAGGTTGGTCATGGCACTAGAAAGATTATCAGATACTGCCTGGGCTTTGGTCGACTTTTTCTTGGGAGTTATCTGACTCGCCGGCTTCTTTGCTGGTGGACTGAAAGGATACACCGATTAGGGGCTGTGGTAGATCGCAACCGAATATATACTCACCGCCAGATGAATTGGTCTAGATCGGCATCCTGCGAGCTGTCCGCACTTGCTTTGTGCTTGCGTTCGTACATTGCGCGATACATGCACGTCTCGAAGAAAGCACGCGTGGGCTCGTTAGTGCCCGCCGCTACGAACTCGTATAGTTCATCGACGTCGCCATCAAGGTCACGCCAGATGAACGTTGGCTCGCCATCCGTCTCACCTGAACGGAACTCGAGCTCTTCGCTTATCAAGAATACTCGCTCCTCATCAGCTGTGCGTGAGAGCATAACTGTCAGCACCGATGATGAATAAATGACAAGGAATGGCACGTACTTTCGTCTTCGTCTTCCAACAGCTCCTGATCTCCGTCTTCGTACACTCGAGTTATGACCAGCTGGAAATTGTGCTCGATAGACGGGACGCGCCGAATGGTAGCCATGGCTTCATTGTATCTAAATGGATAGTATGTCATGAATGCTGTACAATCGAAATTAGAGATAACTTACATGCACTCCCTCGAGCTACGTATGTTCCCTGGCCTGACGAGATAGAGTTGTCCTTCTGATATCTTAACTACTTCGGCTGCATTGGGATCCTCTAGAATACCCAAGTTAATGGATGAATCGATATCAAGTCCACCTCAGAATACAACTTACGCCATACTTTTCCGAGTACTGTCGATTAGTTTCTATGAGTGTTATTATTTCTGTACGTTATGGATGTCTCTTACCTCTCCTGAAGATATTCATGGCGGTGATTGAGAAAGATCGAGGGGCGTCTGTGGCGCCAAGTGCGCGACGTGATAATCGCGTGACATATCGTCACGTCTGCGACGCGTCCAAAACAAGCAACGCGCTCCAGTTCGTGGGACCAGATTACCACTGTCTCTTGCCTTGCACGTGCATATACCTGCCTGACGTCCATTACCATGTCGCGCTCCCCACGTCTGTCGACTTCTCCCGCCAGATCCCCCTTTTCAGGTGCGAGGCTACAGTACAAGTGCCTGAATTCACTGACCAAGCAAGATGACAGACGACCGTGAGCACACTGGGAGGAGCAGCACGCCACCGACGCCGGGCGTCCGGACTCGCAGGTCAAACCCGTTCGGAGAGGTATTGTTTCTCTCCTTGTTTCAATCTTGGCACCAACCCACAACTACGTTCTAGCCCCAGCTATCCCCCACCACGTCTCAAACTATCTCCGATGACGCCTCTGTCGCCAGTGGGAGCTTTTACCGCATGAACGAGCCCCCGATCCCCACCCTTCGAGGTCGTGGTGCTGCAGGTACTGTAAATTTGAATACTCCACGCAGGATTGTCGTGAGAGAAGACGCGGCCCTGGTGAGTTGTTTTGATCCGAAGGATGGGGAGTTGTACGAACTATGGGCACCGAGGCGATGAGAAGCCAAAGATTAGAAGAATAGGATGTTGATAATGCACGTGCATGTACGAAATCCTTAATGACTTTTGGTGATCATCCTCAGTGTACTGCACTACAGCACTAAGCGCATACATGAGCTTCTACAGACGCTTACTGTAAAAACGGTCGGTGCTTGTGCTTGTGCCTATAACCACTCCGTGAGCTTTTTCTTGAATTGTTTCGAGTCCTGCTGGATCTCAGTAGTACTCAATACTAACTCACTACAACCTTAGATTTTCTGTCTTCTGGCCAAGGCATCCACCCAAATCACCATTACGTCATGTACAATGCCATCCGACGGGTTCCTGGATAAGCTTATCAATTCCTCCGAGTTGCCCATAAGCTGCCCTGATTATCACTCTGACGGCCCGAAACCTCTCATACGATACATACTACATACGGTGTCTTGTCTCCGTGCCAGCCATGCGTGATCCTCGCATATATCTAACGCGCAGCAAAAGTTGCAGCGAGAGAAATAGAAACAAAGACGAACCTTTCAGAGTTCTTTTTCAAAACTTACGTTCTCTATCCCCGGCTCTCGTCCCCCCATCAACTCGGACCTAGGATATCCTAGTCAACTAGTTGCTCGACAAACCGCTGGTTAATAATTCTGTCAGATGGCTACACAACGCCAGCAAAAACTTATTGTTCTCCTCCTCGCTCTACTGTGTATCGTGCTACCCATTCATGCTCGCTCTGCTTCGAACACTCCTCATCTCGCAGATCCTTTTGCGGACCCAAAGCATGACCCATATAATCCGCTAAAGTACATAGCCTCCAATACGCTGACGGCGATTGCGTTCAGTGAGTAATTCATTGCAACTTCTGTAGTTCATTTATGCTTGTCCATACATCATATTGGGACCAAACGGCCAGTGGTAATCATACTGCCTGAATGGGAACCAAAACATGTTTTATGGCTGGATCATTTCCACAACCGCAACATGTTTCCTGATTATTCTCCGTCACAGCGCTTGTTATGGTAGTGGCCCTTACGCAATCGTATTGGACGTATCGCTTCGGTGCAAAGTGGATGTTATCAATGGTAATTGGGGAATACAGTAAGTTTATTTCCCGTTCGTGTAAATGCTAGACGCCGATCGAGTTCACAATTGTCCCTATCTTCACGCTCTACCTGATGCAACTACAGCCTTCGCACTTGGCATCGGAACTCGCTTCGGGTTGCATTACCATCCAGACTCTGAACCAATATACATAATAGAGTATCTTTTCGTGGTTTTATCGGTAAGTACTCGATATCCTTTTGTTCATTGTATGATATCTCCCACCATTGATATTTTTATATGCCCTTGTTTCGTTTTCATAGTCAATGACTCACATTGACATTTTCCTCAGCCTTGCGCATTCATAGCGGCGAATTATGTCCTCTTAGGCCGTATGGCTCGTCATACCGGGTGTTCGAAACACCTACTCATCCCCGCCAACAGGATCACAAAGATATTTGTCGCATCAGATGTGACAACGTTTTTAATCCAGGTAAGTTTGGCACTGACGACTATGTTTACCCGTGAATACCTGTGTATTTCATTTTGACTTTCTACCTGATTGATGGCTGACTTCGAGATTCCTCAATGACAGGCTGCTGGTGGAGGGCTGTTAGTATCCACAAATCCATCAACGGCTTTGACAGGATCACACGTGTGTTATCATCTCTCGTCTTCAATGTACACACCATGACATGCCCCCTTCCCCCTCCCGCATGGTAGATATTCCTAGCAGGCCTAGTCCTGCAACTCGTATCGTTCTTTTCGTTTAGCTGTCTTTTCTGTTTTTACATATACCGAGTGTACACAAGTGAACCTGAAGTGTGGACGCGTGACACCAAGGGGGTAGCGAAGAAGCCATGGTTCAGGGACTGGCGTACGTTGGCAGGCGCACTGGGACTTAGTTGCATCGGGATACTTGTGAGTCACCGATGAGCCGGCTCGATATCTTTTCAACTTTTTTTTCTTCTTTTCCTCAGTACATTTTTGCCGCCCTAATATTGGTCTTTTTATTTTTTTTATTTTACAGATCCGTTCTGTTTACCGTGTCGCCGAGCTTTCGCAAGGGTTCCAGGGGTATCTCGCCACCACAGAGGCGTTCTTCTATGGGCTGGATACGCTACCTCTTTTCATCGCGATTTCTGTGTACGTGCCATTTTGGCCCGCGTTCTTCATTCCTCCAGTACAGAGAACGGAGGTAGAAGTGAGCAAGGAAGCAGAAAGGGATAGCACAGAGGGAGTTTAGCGGGCTGCGACCTAGACGTGGTGGCATCATAGGGGATAACGGGCCGCTTTTATTGGGCGCCAAGTGTTTGGGTGCTTTCTTTTACTTTCACGATTCATGATTAATGAGCAATCCTGCATGCTACTGTAAGGCTTGTTTACAAATGGACATATACAGGTGTAGAATACGATACTGTAAATTGAAAACGATATAGAAGACGTGTCACAGAGTTGCTCAGAGCTGGAAATGGCTGTCAGATATTACTCTTGCAATTAAGTTGTGAAGGCTTGAATCGAATTGAATTTCTACATAGAGTAGAATGGATTCTGGGTGACAGACACGAGGCTGCCCGGTGTGGGATGCAAACGAGGCCGATTGTGAGTCGAATAATGAGCTTGGCAGAGTGATTAGGCTCGCGATCGCTGCGAGTTGCGTGAGGCAAGTTTTAACTAGAAGAGCGCTTGCCAAATCGAGACATAACCTCACGTGACATGTACGATGTGTGGCTACGATCGAGATAATTTAGAGATCTGTCTTTGTCAGCAGACAGGCGTGATCTGTTCCCGTCATCGTCGTTTTACTTTTTGGTCCATGTAAAAGTACTCGGTTTCTGTTTCCCTTGCTCTTCTAATGTCGCCCCCAATGTCGCCGTCGTCGACACCATCCTCGTCGTCGTCGTCGTTACCGTCCCCCTCAGAACTGCTCGCCGTACTTCACTGTCCACTGTGTTCACCACCATCCCTACTCTCAAGTCCGACTACACTTCCTTGTGGCCATACCGTTTGCTCAGCCCATGTCAGCAGTGCACAATGCCCAATACCATCATGTGTATCCAGCAACCAGCAGCAACCTGCCCCAGACATGCCATCTTCGTCCCGTGTCGCCTTTTACCCCGCACCCGCGCATCCACACAACGTAACGGATGACTACCACTCACCGAACCCCAGGATAGACGTCACCATCAACAAACTCATAGCGTTTCTTACCCGCGCCAAAGTCGAGCTCAAGACGGATCCAAATGACCATTTCGTGGATACGCTAGGTGACTCTTCAGACGATGACTTGGTCATTCCAACCACATCATTGCATCGCCCAGTGTCACCACATACGCCTCCCTCAAGTCCTGAATCATCTCGCCCCAGAAAGAGAAGACGTCACGGTTGTCAGCCACAATCACAACAACGGCCAAGGCAGTCTACGTTTTTGGATCCACCACCAAATCCGGTCGCACTTTATGAAAAGGAGCTGCTTACGGAACTATCGTGCGAGATATGCTTCATGCTGTTCTTTCAGCCTGTAACTACGCCCTGTCAACATGTAAGCCTATATGCGCTATCCTTTGCTCTGCATTGACTTTTATGCGCATGTAGTCTTTCTGTTCAAAGTGCCTTCAGCGCTCTCTGGATCACAGCATGTTTTGCCCGCTTTGTCGCAAAGACCTTCCAGGCAATGCCATCTTTCAAGACTCTCCGACCAACAAAGTCATCCTCTCTATTCGTATGTTATTCCTCTTTATCCTAATTACATACTAACAGCACTTATTCATGTAGTACTCAAAGCATTCCCGGAAAGTTATGCAGAACGGGGAGAAACGCTCAGAGCAGAGGAGCGCGACATGAGATTAGATACACCTATATTCGTCTGTCAATTGTCGTTTCCCGGGATGCCTACTCTCCTTCACTTTTTCGAACCTCGCTACCGTCTGATGCTTCGTCGCTGTCTGGAGTCTCCTCATCCCATTTTTGGCATGGTACTTCCTCCTCGCCCAGACGGTCAATGCGAGTTTGGAACAATGTTGGAGATTAGGTCCGTTCAAATGCTTAGCGACGGTCGGAGTATGGTCGAGACTTGGGGTACCCATCGTTTTAGGATACTTGAAAGAGGCGTGTTGGATGGATATATGGTCGGTAGGGTTGAAAGGTTCGTCTCTTTCCTGCTGTATATGATAACCGACTCACAGAGCTACAATAGAATCGATGATTTTGACGATGATTTGGAGGAATGGGCATTTGGGACTGCTGAAGAAGATACAGAGGATACTGCCCCCTCAGAAGACACGCAAGATACAAATCAGCACCATCTTCTCTCTCGCCTGGTTTCCTCCTTATCACAAGTTCAAACACCAACATCCGCTTCTCCCCATTCCGCAAACGCGCAGTCACAGCTCCCTTCTCTCTATTCCCCCACTCGTGTCCCCTCTACCTCCACGTTGCTCGCGACCTGTCATACATTTTTATCACAGCTCCATTCAGGAACAGCACCATGGGTTGTCCAACGCCTCCAGCACACTTATGGCAACCCCCCTCCATCGTCCGATCTCTCTGCTTTCTCTTTTTATATGGCACTTGTCCTTCCTATCGATGAGCATGAGAAGGCCAAATTGTTGCCGGTCAGGAGTGCACGGCTGAGGTTATGTGTTGTATGCAGGTGGGTAGAGGTGCTTAGAGGGAACTGGTGGTTCAGTAGTGGCTGCGTTGTGATTTAAGGAGCCCCAGGTAAGAATCAATCATGAATATGTACAGGATGGAGTTCTCACTTGTGGAATAGGCATGTGGGGTTTGAGTTTGAGAGTCTCTATCTTTCCTTGTCATTGATCTTCCTTCCATCATTCTGAACATACCTCGCTATACCGTATATATCAACCTCACATGCCCTTATGTATTCTACTCATCCACTTCCACACATACACGAAACGACTCACCCTCGACAAAGGCCCTTGTCTTTACGGTCTATCCTTGTTCACGCGCCGATTTGTCGACTCATTGCCTTTATCGTATCATACGTCTTCTGCTATCGCATATATTCAATTCGTATACGCGATTGATTTTATTCCTCTTGCGATGGCTTCACTTTTACTTTCCTCACTCCCTTCCCTCTCATCGTGTTGGATCCGGTCGCTTCGTCGATGCCGACGGCACAGCTTCGATCGTCACAACTAAATCCAACGAATTCGGCAGGCACCTATCACCTTATCACCAGGCTATGCATAAGCAAATCTTCACCACCTAATTTCGTATCGTCACGTAATTCTCTCTGGTTTTGCCTCGTTCACTAGCCGCATCAGTGCATATCCCGAACGTCGGCATTCTTGATTTACCTTATGCAGATCGGGATTCGTCTGCTCGTTTCATCCACATTGTTTCGTCACCCGCGTTTCGTCTCGCTCGGACCTTGCAGGCAATCATTCGGAAAATTGATCACAAGGATGGAACTCATGTCGCTTCTTTTCTCGACTATATCATAGTGGAAGGTAGGAGTGCTTTCATGTGCTGCTGATATCTGCAATGTGCATACCATTTACTTGATTTGAGGTATCACGGCTCTGCTTTTGTTCTGCACTCCTATCCAAGTTTGTTCGCTTCTGATAATTTGGTCGATCTTCTCGACGATTCATATCATCTATTTCATTATCTCCCAACTTTCCATCATTCGACCATCATTGATCTGTCAGTCTTCTCCATTTTACATCATTGTACGTTCTCGCCATGTACAACCTGTCTATTATATACGTCAATGTATATAGCTTCTTCGTTGTTCCGAGTGGCTGGCTATTGTTTGACAGTTTATCCCCTTCATCTATTCAAATGGCATTTGGAAAGATAAAGAGATTATCAGTTAAGCTCATAACTAGTCGATAGGATTTTTCAATTTCTTTCAACTACATAATTTTTATGTTTTGGGACTTTCGCTTGGACTTACATTTCAGGGTATTCCCCGCTGTTCTCACCATGGTTATATTTTTCTGTCGCTATTATTGACGTGGTATATTTCATTGGATTTGGGGACATTGAAGTCGTTGTAGTCTATCATTCTTGGAAACAGAACGAGAATGTATGTGTAACCAAAAAGCTTGTAGAAATAATTGAATGTCCGCGGCACATATTCTGTGGTTCAAGTCCAGCCGATCATCATCAAGCGCGTTCGATGCTCCCCTTTTCCATTGAACTGATAGCAGTATCAATGTATACTTACATTGAATCATTTCAAAATCTACCTTGATACGGCGGCAGCGCGACGTCCCGTGGATGTCGGTTGGCAACAAACTGTCAATTTGTCAAACAGATTCTCACTGTTGATCATGATGTGGGCCACAAGATGTCTTTCTCAACATATCACCCTCATTTCAAAGGCGAATCTCACTGGGTGTATTTCCAAATAGCTTTATAGTAGCATTTACCGCGATCCATCCCAATATACAATAGGGAATGGCAAATACGCAGACTCTGACCGCTGACGCACCCGCAATTACATTCCTGAGCTCTCGCTCCTCACCCTGCACGTCATGAACTTGCCGCATCTGACCTTCCAATCCACGAATTTGATCAACTTCGACTCCATCGACTATCATGCAATTGATTCAAAACACTGCGGGCCCGTGTCTGCTACGATCGGCGGGTCCCGTCTTTCACAATTGAGGGAATACGAAATTGCCGCGTTGGGACAGTTTCTGATCACAGACTGACAACTGTGGAATTTAAATATGCTCTTCGGTACCTTTCGGGAGCGAGTTCCTTTGAGGGCCTCGGATCTCGAGAAACTCAGCACATAGAAATCACAATCTTCAAGGTAGGGGCTCAGAATCCTGCAGGATTATTTTCTAGACTCGCAGGCAACGAAGACCCGCGTTGAATTTAATTACGTTCATGTGATCTATCTCGCTATCAGAGAAGTCCATGTTGTCACAATGCTCGTGTCAGCCTGGCTGATGGGGTCCCCCCTCCTGTTTACGGTCCCCTAAACTGTCAGAATCAGATTTCGAACTTGCGAAGACAAAAACGATCAATGTCACGTGAAAGCTGGTCATGAGGCGCAGCGTTACGAAGGCGTCACACGAACTCCCAATAAGTCAAGCTTACGTACACATCTAGTCACATTCCACTTGCCTGCTTGCTTGACACCGAATTGTCCAAAGTCTTTCTACTGAAATTGAAGCTGAGAGTTTCTCCGACACTCGCGTTAGAGACTACACAGCAATGTCTGGGCTACCACCACAACGAAAAGAGGAAGACTATGAACCTACATCCTCAGTGAAAAATGCGGCCACTGTCGGTTTCCAGGCGGGTATGGTTGGCGCTTTCGTTAGTGCCGTGCAGAATGCATTGGGTTCACATTCGTCGGGAGCAACGGGATTCCTGACGAGAAGTGGAGGAACTATCGGAACTTTTGGTTTGTGCCCATTCATTTACTTTCCTGTTTACTCTTTTTTTACCCTTATCTTCCCTGTAGCTGCTATGGGCGCTGCATTCGCCATGACAGAATCAGTGGTAGCTAATCAACGAGAGAAGAAGGACGCTCTTAATGGTGTTGCGGGTGGTTGTGCTGCTGGTTTCTTGGCAGGTATACGAAGTAAGGATAACATAAATCACAAGTTATGAAACACTAAACCACTCATTCCAGCTCGTTCTTTACCTATCGCCGTGGCCTCATGCGCCGTTGTCGGTGCTGCAATGGGTACTTTCGATTATGCGGGAGATCTGGCTGGTCGGTCTAAGGAGGAGAAGGAAGAAAAACGAAGGGAATTCTTCAAACCACTACCTCAACCTGTCTCCCATGCGTCTAACTGAGTTTCGTAATTTATTGCTTTGAATTCTTGCCCTTGCAACCCTTGCCGAGGGAAATATGCATAATCAAGAGTGCTACTTCCTGCAAGTGTAATGTTCACTCTATGTACGAAAATGTATCATCTGAAGGATTAGGTAGGGCTAACAGTTCTCGACTCTCTTCTGGGTATGCTAACCCATCACCCGCGACTAGGCGTTCTATTTCGACCTGCACAATATTCTCGTGACCCAGGTAAAATTCTGGCCAAGATTCGGCACTTCGACAAGGACGCTGGGTGAAAAAAACCCAGTAAATCCAATGGAGACCATGAAAATTGACGACGATACTAACATGTTGTCGTAAGTTATCCCACACACGTTCATCGTCTTGATCATCACCACCACCGTTGGCAAAAAAGTGGCTTATCACGGCGAGATCTTCAGCAACTGCTGCATCATCCATGTGCTTAGAAAATACGGAACTGCCAGCTTGCTTGTCGTTCTCATATGGCGAGGAATCAACCTTCCGTTTCTTCGATGGAGTAGACCAGTCATACTGATCATCATTTTGTCGTTGCTTTTGAGACATGCGTGCAGGCTCATCGTTCATTTTCTGACCTCTAGAACGTGCAACGTCTTGGCGTATCTGGTCCAACTCCATTTTGAGTTGATGACCTACATCATTTTGCCAAAAGCTGTGATGAGGCATCTATCAATTTGACGTAGTAAGCTTTTTGATAAAATCAAGAAGTAAGCGTAAAGCTCAGACCTCGTCGTGCATCTTCTGTACAACAGCCATTTTGGTGATGGATGGATCACTTTCGACAAGAGAGCGTGCATACTGACGAAAGAACTCTAGATCGCTTTGAGAGTGGACAGAATCCTCAGGTTCTGTCATGTGACTGGCTGCAGGAAGAGGAGGGGATGAAGACAATCTTTGTTTTAAGGATGATGATTTTTTGGAAGGCTTTTGTATCGCCTCTTTTCCTTTGGCAGACACTCTAGATTTCCGCGCGCTCTTTGCCAAAGACTGTTTACGGTTAGGCGATCCTGCACCACAATCAAGCACATATTCTGCATCATCAAGTACAACACCCTCCTTGACGCAATCCACTACAAATGACGACTGAAGTGGACGTTTATTGACATTTTGTGCTTCCTTGGCCAACCCAGGGAATGTTTTCGATCGGGTGAAAAGTATCACGTAGTCCGCGTCAGTGATATTATTGACAATTTTCCCTTGATTTCTCTAGCTCATGTCAGTAAAGCGAGGGACGAGAACAATTGTATGTCACCTTGATTGCCATAACAATACCGTGCCTGCCTTGAAGATCCACCTGTACAAAGAATCGAAACGGCCGTCCAGAGCGAGATAAAAATGTCTGGCCTAAATTATTATTGGCGCCTGTAGTGGGTTGAGATGCTGAAGGTGTGGGAGGACGAGATGAGAATTCAGGGGATGACATCGAAACAGAAAATGATCGGCGTTCCTTCCCCTGTTTTTCGGATGAAGATGATGGACGTAAGGAGGTAGACCTATCGCAGTATTCGTGTCCGGTCAACGAGGCAGAAGAGGCAGAGGGCGATAGGCCCATGTCTCCTCTGCGATGGTCGGGGAAAGGAGACATTGTTGATGGGTTAATAGTTTCCATCGTGTTATAGTGTGGGTTAAATTGGTTCCCATTGCGAGGGTCAGGGAAGGTAGACAATGCTGATGGGTTGATAGTCTCCATCATGCCAGTGTTGTTAGTGAGTTGATGTTGGTAAGAGTTGCTAATGGGTAAAGTTTGAGATAGAAGAGCTGCATCTGATTGCTCTTGCGATGGTATTTGTGCTTGAAAATTCATTTTGTGTCTCATAACATCCATTAAAGTCATAAACAAAGAGTATTGTGCTGGAGTGATCGGCATGTCAGCTTGAGTACCGAATGCGGTGGAGGCTTGTATTAAGGGCAAAACTGGCGGAGGTGGTGATGTATCTGGTAGAGAGGGAGGTAGAGGCGGTGGCATCGATGTAGATGAGGGACCTGCAGGAGAAGACGACCATTTTACTGGTTCTTGTGAGAGAGGAAGTGAGGTGGAGCTCTGAGCCTGAGTATGTGGCGGCGGTATGGACTCCGTTGGCGAGGGACGAGGCGTGGGTAGAGGGCTTCATAATATTAAAGAAATCAAAAACAGCTTTACCGTAAATGAGGAGGAATACTGACTTTGGCTCGCCTTCCACCTCATGACTTTCGGTAGGTTTACCGTCATCGACAGCTTCCAAACCTCCCCAGTTGTCATGCATAAGCAAAGCCCTTCCAACATTCAGACATTTCCATGCCCACGAATACTCCAGAACGACAATTCCAGGGTCTGATCTCCAAGTACGAATAAACCGCCTGCCGGCAATTGTAGAGGAGTCTACCAATATTATGTCCGCATCCTCAGGTTCCGAAGTGATTAAAGCACCAGCATTCTGAATCGGAAAAATGTAATTTAGTGGAGGAGCAGATAGAAAATATTGGAGACTTGCCCGCACAGACTTGACTAGCTTGTGTCGATCGTAAATATCTTCGACTTGGATAAATATGTTGAACGGGGTACCGTAACTTCTCAGAAAGATCATGTTGCTTGATGGATTGCTATGCGATGCGGAGACCTTGGCCGTGGAGTAATCAGGGGTGGAGTTAGACATATACATATCTGACTGTATGCGTAGAAAACAATGTCCGTGCACTTGTGATAGGCTAATGCGAAAAAGATACTGGAGAGAGTGAGCGTGCTCTCTCAGGCTGACAGCTTGACGCACCTGTTACCTCATCGTGACGCTGTCTCACTCACACGTGACAGCACATCTGTCACAGAGTCACACCACGAGCAGTACTAGCAGGTGAAAGTGTTCATTACCGAGGACTATTAGCTAAAGAAGCTTTCAAATATACATCTACAAATATGTCCGTATGTCTGCGTAGAATACAATAATGATAGTTAGATGAAATACTGCAGGTACTGGTGCAAGGAAAGACTGGACTACTATTCTAAGTTGGTCTATATCCATAGCTACGTGGAGGTCGAAGCCGAGGGCGAAGGCGAAGGCGCATTATTGACCTGTGGAACCTCGGCGCCCTTCCATGCTGACGATCCCCACCTTGCACCCCAACTCGTAAAGAATCTCAACAGCCACACAGGCTTCATCGCCGTGTGCTCCACTGCCTCCCCTTCCTCTTCCACAGACCCTTCCTCATCCTCCGTTCCACCATCCATCCCAAATCCAGCCCTCTTCTCCTCTTCCCCTTCGCTCTCCGTCCGCCCCCACACATCCACCATTCTCTCTCGTCCGTCCAACGTCCATTGCACGCGGTTATATCTCCCCTTTCCACCTTTCACGTACCTTCTTCCCCCTTGTCCAAGCCCTGCACCCATCCCAAACACTTTCTCTCGCAGTGCAAGCACTTTCTCCCTCGATGGCGCGGCGCTGTGCCACAGCTCATCCACGCGGAACTGGTGCGACTCGTACGAGAGAGCTTGCACCTGTTGTGCCATTGCATCCGCAGGCCCCCTGGCTGACTCAATTTGAGAAAGAAGTTGGGTGTGTGATGCGAGTGCTGCCAAAAGAGAGTGATGGGAATGGTAGTCGCTGCGTAGGGAAGCATTAGTGGAGGAAAGTGAGTCAGTGATGTGCTAATGCAAGGTTTAGTTATATGCGCTATAGAAACCAAACAGTGGGCTCACCTCAAGGCAAGCTAACACACTCCGTAAGTGGGTGTCTCTCCGACGCATGACAAGGAGCTGGCCGCAAAGCTCGACGTCGATCCGCATCCACTCAGGTTTGAGTACATGGACATCCCTGAAAGACTTTGTATCGTGGAAACTGTGTCGTCTGTAAAAGCACAACATATGTCTAGTAAAAAAGGTGCGCGATAAACACAGATCATGAGGCACATACCTCTGAATGCTACGCTTCCACACTCTCTTCTTCGCCTCCACATCAGCATCACCTTCGCTTTCTATTCCCTCATCAATCACCCCCTCCATCTCGTCATCATAGTCATCAGCCATCTTCCCTCTTTCCCCTTCCTCCCGCGCACTGACTGGATCGGACCAACTCGATACTCTGCTTTCCCTCTCACGACCCAACCTTCCCCCCAGACCTGGACGACGCATCAAAAAAGCATGAACGCGTTTATCGTGTTCGGACAGCTCGTTTGCCTGTCTGTCTTGATATGGCTGATCTGATCCACCAGCAAACCTATCAAGAGCTACTGAGGATGTTTCGGCAGACTCTAGACCCAACATGAATGGGTTGTGTGTCCTGGATTCGGCTGCAGTGCATGAAGTGAGAATGGGCGTGGAGGGAAATGAGGCCAGACATGCGAAAATACGAATTTACAATTTATAACCACGGTTCAACAGACTGAAAAATATAATGAAAGATATAACTTACATATCGGTGATACCTGACCACTGCTCAACAGCTCCTCTTCTTCTCCTGTATCGCTGTTAATGTTTCAATTTTGAACATCAGAGTTATTTCGCCAGCGAAAAGAGACCAGTGATTGGAAATGAGCATATTGGTGCCAATCATCAGCAAAAGTTCACCCATCATCACTATACCAAAGTTACTCACCCAGAAACAACAACTGCAGGGAAACGTTGCTGCTTCGTTCCCGAAAAAGCATTCGAATCGCTCGGGACGACGGGAAACATGCCAGACGAGGACGATTCTGCAGACATCATGATGCCCCCTGTAGACTTGTTTTTTGGTAATGAACTAATATAATTGGTAGTTGTAGACAGGTCAACACTCCTTTTGGATCGATTAATTCTAGCCAAAGGTAAATACACATACGAGCAAGAGAGAGAGAGAAACTGTACTCACCCAGTCCACATCTCCAACTTCTTCTGCATTCGTCCACTCCATGCCCCACCGAACGCCAATTCATCCTCGGTTCCTGTGCTCCCACTCTTCCCTCCATCTGTGCGTTCTCCAACTGTAAGCAAACCACCATCTTCAGGATCACTGTATATATTCTTCCGCCCCTTGTCCTTCTCGTGATGCTTGTCATGATGCTTAGCAGTGTCGTGACTCTTTCCAGGTTCATGTTGCCGCCCTTCGACCTTATTGCGCAACCGGACTACCGCTTCGACCCTCCCACTCCACAGCCCCCTCAAACTTCCTGCGACTCCACCCACACTTCCTACTCCTGGTGCGTCCCCATCCCACGCACCACGTTTATCTCCTCCCTTCTCCCTCTCCCTATCCTTTTCCCTATCCTTATCTGCTCTGTCTTTATCCCCATTACGGCCGACTACAGCCTTGATAAATGTCCCGAGATCCAACGATGGTGCAGTAATAGTAGCAGGACCAGAGTTGGAAGTTCGTCCAACGAATCCAGATGCTAGATTCTCGATCCCGCTCATCAAAAGCTGACCACCTCGCCCGCCGATTCCGCGCCCACTCCCGCCCGTGCTTCTTGTCCCTCGCCTATTCGTACCATTGGTGACGGGATCCGACTCAGTGGCGGATTCCACACCCGACTCCTCAGACGAATCATTCCTCAAGCCGGTCGTGAAATCATCCAATTTGCTCAAAATAGCTCGGCGTCCCGCATGCCGCACTTTATTATGGTCTTGAGCGTCACAAAGAGCAGAATAAATACCTTGCGTGAGATATACATTCACGTTGCTCGCGTTCGAGGTTGCATTCGAGGCCGTTGATTGAGTGGGGGAGTTCTGGAGGCCGTGAGACGCGGAGACTGATAGAGAGGCTCTTGGGCTGTGCGTTGGGCTAAAGGATGATGGTCCGTGCGAAAAATGTGAACCAGAATTTGGCCCTGCGTTTCCATTCAAATGATTCTGTGCCCACCCACTCAGCGCATAAATGAATGCGTGTGGGTATAAGAAAGGGTCCTTTGGCAGCGATGAAGATACAGTAGCTAGCTTATTGCGTGACACGAGGACGAGGGAAAGGAGAGCACAAATGGTGGTCGGGTCCGCGACACGCTCCATGGGCTGGGTAACATTGTGAATTGGTTAAGAAATAGAAATTGGGCGAAACATGAATGCTAATTATTACGAACCTCTACTCCAACACATCGTTCGCCAAGCTCTGCAACCCAACGTTGAAGACCTTCAACAGTAACGTCACATAGAAGACCATCTAGTTCGCATATGGTCAGTGATGAGGGTGTACTACCTTGCCCAGAAGAGGCCACATTAACGAGACCAGCGAGTGGGAACATCCCACAAATGGCAAGTGCAGCCTGAACGAGCTTGACCAGCTCAAGAACAGTTGCATTGAAGAAAGGGTTACGAGGTCGCGTTGTTGTTGTCTGTGACGAAGAGGTCGGGGTTTGGAACACCGAGGTGAAAGTAGGAGCGCCAGGGGCAAACGTTGACACTGGAGATATCGAGGGACTAACAGACGGTGATGGTAAAGACGCTGAGATTAAGGGTGATGTTGAGATAGAAGGTGGACGAGCGTGTGAATGCGATTGTGTCTTGGAACGAAAGGGTGTCGGTACTTGCGAGTCCGGAAGGAGGTAGGTAGATCTGAAGCGTTCTTTCGTTGTCTCACTATATGCGTCCAATGATTGATTAGAAGTAAGTAAATGAGAGGTTTTGAGGTGAATAAAAAACTTGGAAACGATTAGGACATACCTCGGTTCCTCCAGGGTCAGCGCACTGCGTCCACTGCAGCCCATTCTGCTAAGGTTTATGTTCGTGTACAGGCGTTCTTTAGCTGCGAGGAAGTCTCCATTTGGTATCTGGACGATTGTGTAGTCTGAGCGGAAGTTTGCAAGAGATGTCACCATGAGTACTCCATGGGGAGTCTAACCATATATTGCAGTTAGAAACATTGGTGGTGGAGACAAATATGACAGACCTGTTTTGGTCTTGCTCCATCTCTGCGAAGGTGGTGCAAAGCCTTCTCCCATTCAGTGCGTGCATCTGGTGGCAAAAGTGACTGCGAGGGACTGAGTGCAGTCACTGTGATCTACACAGGAGAACGTTGGTGCTCTAAATAAAAACAGAAGGCTAGATAAATATACCTTGTGCTGTGGATTCCCTGTATACACCGTAAGGACAGTTATCGCACGTGTTCTCTCTACAACCCTGTTCAAAAATGAGTATCGAGACAAAGTATAGGTGGCAATGATGCACAGACCATTTCTCAACAGCATACATCTGGTATCCTTCGAGCTCAAGCGTGTCCTGGACAATGTCAAACCTGAATGGTTTTCCAATCCATACTGCAGCTACGTTGGGCGGAGGCTGAGATATGACTGCTGGGTCGGGAGACGACTGGAGAGATGCGGAGCCAGACCGACTACGGATGAGCTTCGCAGATGTCGGTTTGAGACGGGGCGAGCGCGTTGTGGAGGACGGCGAGGACGGAGACGGGGGCGATGGTGCGACTGGCGAGCGCACTGTCGGTATCAACAGTCGGTACGACATACTTGAGCTTGGTCACCGCTACCAACGACCGTGACAGACGAAAGTGCGCAGTGGCACGGGGACCTACATAGGGCGGTAATTGCTATATATGGAAATACCACGCGACTTTAATCTTGGGCCCGACATGGGCTGCTCGTCGACATGACAGACGACGGGCAGAGCCATTACAGAACAGGAGTTCGCTGTTCGAAAGAGAAACGCTCTACCCCCAAGAAGTCACATGGCGCTGAATACATTTCCCTTGGACGCTCAATGCAAGTTTCACCGTCGGAAACAGTTTTCAAGCATTCCACAATTTTGACATCTGGGCGCTGACTCGGATCCTTATTACAGTAAGAATATTTTTGTCACCAGTGAAATGCCCTCATCCCTCTTGACACTCGGTCGACCAGAGCCCAGAACAGTCATGCATAAAAATAGGATAATATGGTATAAATCACTGTACCCTAAGAACAATATAAATAGTGTAAATTTATTCTCCACTCACTACTTCCTCATCACCTTGCCCTGTGACTTTTTCATAGCGCGCTTTCGGTCGCGCTCCAGAGCCTACATATCGAGGCAGTCAAACTTTAGCGATAGTTCTGGATATGTAGAAAAGACCACAAACGCACCTTTTTCTGCTCAGCAGCGCTCAGACGTGACAAACGGTCCTCCTCTGCTTTCCGCTTAGCGGCCTTCTTATCCTCAGCGGCCTTCAAAAGTGATATCAGCAAACTACGACTCTACTGAACAGAATCCCTTATCAACTCACCTCCTCTTTTTTCTCCTTCTGCGCCTCTTTGACAAGCTCCTTATCTACCTCCTCACGAGTCTTCTTCAGCTTGTTCCTCGTCTCCGGCCTGAGGTTCATTTTGGTTAACGAATCGACAAATGCGAACGTGGCGTTGATAAGCGGGATAGTCTCCCATACTCTCGAAGCAGGGGGCGGGCGTAGAGACAGGATAACGTGTTTTTCACGCTCGGAAGAAGTGAGGGGCACAATGGGACGATCACGCGGTTGGTCCGTTACCTATGTTTCCAGTGTCAGCTTGGTAGTCTAAGCTCGCAAAAGCACATGTAGCCAGTGACTTACAGAAAGCGAGCGGAAGTACTTGAGTACGATAGGGTCGTTTAAGAGGTTAACCAGCGAGAGTTTGTCCGATGGCTTGAAGAGGTTGTCTGTCACGTCTGCAAACTCAGTCATCACGGATAACGAGGATGGAAGTGCCGAGTTTTCCGTCGTTTTCGTGAACGTCTATGTGGCAAGATATGAACATCTGCAACACGTCACTGTCACCAAGGCCACGACTCACCAAATCCCACCTATTCTCCTTGATATACACCAATTCGTCCTTGGCAACGACAGCCCATACAAAGTCTGGCACCGCTGCATCTGGTGCGAGTTTGAAATCAAGGACGAGATCGTCCTGTGGTTGATACCGGAGGTCGTAGAGCGTCCAGCCAAACTGGTATATCATTTGCAAAAGGTCGTGACGTGGCCGGAGAGTGAAGACGGTATGCAAAGATGCGACGGTGCGTCTGCCAGTGGAGAAGTTGAAGAAATCGGTATAGCCATCCGAGATAAGCCCTCCTTTACTGGCCTTTGAAAATTGCTGTTCGAGGAGACCGAGATGGGCGGCAAACCTACAGTTTGGCTCTATTAACAACGTTATCAAGTGGAATGGAAGGTAACTTGCGCACCATTTGTTAGCTATTTGGGCGTTTAGACGCTTTCCATAGAATGCTAAAAGGACATACAAGCAGACGCCCACGAGAAGCAGGGCCTGTGTTTGGAAGACTACGAAAGTGTCGGAATGAGGTGTCTTTCACGGTTGATGAATAACTTACGAGCTGGTCTGAATGAGATAAACTTCCACCTGTACTCCAAGCCCTCGTAGTCGTCGCTGAGGATGACGGGGGGAGGAGTGAGGCCACCTATCAAGTTCAAAAGGCTGGCCATAGGAATTGGCGAAGGAAAGGAAGAATTGGGAAAAGAGACCGCGGCATTTTCCGGTAGAATGTATGTCAAGGGTACTAGCGCTGAAGGACAGGATCGTTTTGCAATGGCTTCGGATCTGAACTTGAATACCCTATATTTTGCCATGAGCCCGCTCACGGTCTCAGAACATTTCTCCCGGTATTGTCAGGCCAAGCAAATATCTTTTTGACGAGTCTACGACTCGTTTGATACCAAATGGAGGTACGGATTCGATATAAACACGTCTCTGTTCTACTCACTCACGTCTATCAAAGGCTCAGCAGCCTGGACAGATTCATCCAACGGACTATGGTCATTTCGTGGTGAATGTCCTAGCGCGCATGACTCACGAGAGTGGGTCAATTGATCAAGCTATCCTACGGCGTGCCATCAATCTGGCGTCTTCATACCTTGTGACTGATACGAGCATGAACCCTGGGCAGGGGATGAGCACATGGTACACTGGGTTCACCCGCCTCGTCGATGTCCTGGTCGTGCTGCACAGTCGAGGGGAGCTGGAACTGGAGACGGTAAACGACGCTTCGAAGGCATGCTCTGAGTGCTGGAGTGTGGCGGGGACGTGGAGAGGGATGGACGAATGTCGAGATGGGGTGCGCGCGGTTGCGGGGAAGTTGAAGAGTTTGTTAGATGAGAATGGAAGGACTTATCGAGGACAAAAGGTCTATGCGCCCAACAGTTGAACATGTCCGGGGTGCAACGGGGGTTTAGATGCGTTCTAAAAAAGGGTTATACCATCAAAGTCTCTCTTCTGGATATTGATCGTCGTATGGGAGTTTCAAGTAAGTACATGATGAAAGTTCAACAGGTGCAACTAATGTGATTGTCTAGGCAGATACAAATGTATATTAGCGGAACGTGATGGGTTTTAGATATTGGTACCTGACAAAGGTAGCGTGTAGGTCATTCCTGATATTGCAAGTCGATAGCTGGTATGATATCGTACATGAGCACTTGCGGTGTGGAGGCGGCTTTCACGATGTCGACAGTGCGACATAAGTACTGTTCACAAGGACAAATAGAATGTGATTGTCCTGCACATAAGATTTTGAACCTTTAGATCGACAGAGCTGTTATCAGTGTTCTCTTGATGAGATTGTTAGTGACTTTGTTATAAACTGTTTACCGTTATCTAGGCCAAGATTGGATGCATTCTGACGTAATGATTGGACGGGAGTGCGCAGGAACTGGCTGTGGCAGGCACAGTCTCTCTACTCACTCCAATGGCTGCACTTCCACTCGAATCCAAGCCTCGCTCCCGCCCAAGACGCCCAACGCGACAGATACCAGCATTACCACCATCATCTGATGCTGCCCAATCTGAATCAAACAATCCACACACGGACATGCCAGAGCTCAATCGCGGTCCATTAACCCCTTTGCGTGCTCATTACCTCAAGAAATCGCTCATACAGCTTCAGTTCCGCAGAGAACTCAACGACATCACAAATGCACAGTCCGGTAACGTATCCACCCTCTCCTACCTCGGCTCACCCTTCTCGCCACCTCCGAAAGGCTCTCCTATGCTCGATCTGCCCTTCCTGCGCTATTTCTTCCGCAAGTTCATCCTCTCTTTTCCCTTCATGGCCACAGCCCCAAAGGACTTCTACTCAGAGAAATTGCAGCCCTTCGTCGCCTCTGCCTTTGCCAGAAATCTCTCCCCAACCAATCTTCTCGATGATGCCGAGGAAGGCTCAGAACAAGCCCGCCCCAAGATGCTCGAGAAGCTAGAGAAAAATTTGGCTCTGCTCTTGGGCTCAGGGACAAAACTCGTCGAGCAAGAAGAGGTCGTCAGGCTCAAGCAGACTGATCTCGATCGCCTTGAAGATCTCGCAAAGAAACGTCAAGCCCGCAATCTCAAGACAAAAGATGTATTCGAGGTCAATGTTGTCTGTGTGCGAACAGTCACAGACAGAGGTCGAGTACGCAGTAGGGTGCACGAGGTCTGCATTATCTCATCGCTTCCAGTAGACGTGTACCATATCTCAATCCATCTCAATGATATAGGAATTCATCATTCGTACTCGTCTACATTCTCAGCCGGATATGTTTGTGTCCCGTAGATACGGCGATTTCAAAACCCTTGCAGATGAAGTCCGTAAATCTCCGTAGTCCTCGTCAGCCTGTAATTGAATATCTGCTTTTGCTTCTCTAGCTACGCAAGGCTCATCCAGAGGAAGCTATCAAATCCCCACCCGGAAAAGACAAATCAGCGGTCACTGCGCCGCCACAAGGAGCTTATTCCACCATATCGTCGTTCATGAGTAGGGCGCAGTCAGCATCCATGACCGATACACAATCCAACGGAAGCTCAGATTCTCTGCCGTTCTCTCCCTCTCAGCAAGGCTTCCCGTCACGTCTCTCGCGGGAGAAAAATAGGCTTACATTGCGCGCCTACCTGCATTCCTTGATGGCTTCATCTGCGATTGCTTCGTCTCCTGTTCTCCGATCCTTCTTGGTATCGGGACCCACTACATTAAGTCCAGAGGAGTTGGACGATGTGCAGCGCCGCGAAGAAGCAGATATGATGCGAGATGAAGGGCGTAAACGTTTCGCCCGCGAAGTTGCAAGTCGTGTCGATGGACTTCGTGATGCCGTCAAGAATGTTAAAGGGGACATTATGGGTAAAAGTCAGTCATATCAATTCACTCTGTGGTTTAGCCTACTGATCATCGGATCAGATGGCCTTACATATGTATTCGACACAATAAAGGTTACTCCCAATGTCAACGGACTCCCTGCCAATTATAAAGCTGTCATGGAGTGGGCGCGCATATCGTATGTGTTTAGCTCAAGATCGATCAACGGAAACTTTCTGATGATGAATACCACCCAGCTTGGCTTCTACAATCTTTCACCTTTTCATAGCTTCTGATAGTTCCTCTGAAACATTTGCAAGTCTCAAACGAATACACGGTCTGATGCCTTATTTTATGTTAAAGGCTGCTCTCAAAATCAGTAACCCAGTCGGAATGATACGTAGTGAGCAATCCACCTCCTTCCACTCGCATCTAAATTTCTATCATGTCTCAACACAATCTGGGCGGTAGGTGTGCTCGATCTCTTCCTTGCTCAGCCATTTGGAGGGCGGAGTTTACTGCAACGGTACAGATCCGATCAGTCCTCATAGTACATTTACTGATATATCAATTCATTTTCTTTTCTTTCGCAGAATGTTCACGAGTTCCCTAACTGAGGAAGTAAAAAACCTCGAAGAAGATATCGAATCCGTCCAGGGCAAAGTCGATGATCCAGTCATATGTGAGAAGATCCGTCTGTTCGTGTATGCACCGAAAGAAATCCAGGATATGTACAAAAAAGACGCAGGTAAGTGTGTTCTCATAAAACTTTCTTGTAGAGTTATGAATGAAGGCCATCACACCTCATTTATCTCTAGAGGAAGAACGTCTGAGTGTATTAACGACTGTCTTACGCTCTGGTGAGGAGCCTGTCCTCAATCGATCACAAATGCATCGCGTCGTCCGAGCACACCGTGCCCATGTCGTATACATGAAAAACCGCAAAGACCAAGATGATTCGGACGACGACAGCGGACCACAGAATGAGGATGCATGGCTATTCGAAGATTTGAAGGTGCTGACCCGCCTGTATTCCGAGCTCCGTGACAAAGAACAGCTGATTGCACTCATTTTCGAGGTCAGCATTACACTCTATTTGTTGATCCACTTCGAACTGAAAAAATTGTGTTTGCAGGGTGTTACATCCGAACTGCTCAAGGATATTATCACGATTTTCTACGCCCCGCTGGCACAAGTCTATAGAGCAGCCAGTATTGCGGATTCCTTGGGTGATCTTCAGAATTTTGTCAACGATCTTATCAGAACGGTAGAACAAGCGGAAGAACGTGAGTCAATAGCATCACCATTTTATTTCCACTCACAAAATTCACCTCTCGCTGACTCACGTTGTATTGCATACTGTAGTTAGTCAAGAAGATCCACAGCGGACTGTGCAGACATTCATCGATCTGGTCCAGCGGCACGAGCAGGCTTTTTACCATTTCGTCCACAAAGTCCACTCCAACGGAGAGGGCCTCTTCGATAGCCTAATGCGATGGATAGAACTGTTCCTGACTGTTGTCCGAGAAGGACTGGGAGATCCTATTAGCCTGGAATACCTCCTTCCGCACGCAGGACAAGAGCGTGAGAGCATCCTCAACGAGGTGGATGCCGTTGCGTTGTATCACTACAAGATGAAGGTAGCCTATGAGAGCCGGATCCGACGTCGATTCGGTAAAGCACAGGGGCAAAGTGGTGCAGATGCAGAAGATGAGGCTACAACTGCTCTAGTGCATGGCGTGGTAGGAGAGATAAGCCTAGGAGAACTGGTGCAGGGAGATGCTGACGACCTTGCGGCTGAGGAGACGGACGAGGATGAGAGTGAGAGTGAGGGATCGTCGAGTGAATACGAGACTGACAGCGATGGGAGTTATGAAGATGAGTCGAGCGAGGAGAGCGCGGCCGTTGTTCCGGTTGTTCCGGTCTCGACGAAGCCTGTATCGCGGTCTGCCACCGTCACAGTTACTCCTGTACACATACAGTCAGCATCACGGCAGTCATACGACGTGCCTCCAGCCCGCCAACGCTCGTTGTCTCTTCGAAGTTCCAAATCACTAAATCTCTCCCGATCCTCACTTAGCCAGCGCGATGCGACCCCTCTCCCTCTTTCATCTGTAATACACAAACCATTACCCCCTCCTCCTCCGGGCGATAGTGTTCCTGTTCAACGTCGTCAATCGCAAGAATCTCCATCCAATCATCGACCAGATCTCCCTTCTCCGCGGAAGAGTAAAGCGAAGAAGGCTACGGATGTACTCAAACCTCCTGACCTTCACCACATCCCTCAACTACTACCACTCTTCGTTGAGATGGTGAGTTCACATTAGTAATTTAGCTGAAATAATTAATACTGACTCTGTTTCGTAGCTGCGGCCCCTTCTCCGTTTCCAGAACTGAACCACATACGATAAGACGCCTTGACGACTAATCACGATTCATGTAACTCCAACTATTGCAGGTCATTTGTTTGTGTGCATCCGTACCAGGACCTTCGAATCAATTATGTATCATAATTCCATTTAAAACATGTAGAACTTGGAAACCCTTTTAAAGATCCGCAAACTCCATGTCGAATTCTGCTTGGCTTGAAACGCCTTTTCGCACTTTTTTAGCAAGTCTCTCTTCCTTTGCTAGTTCATCCCAGTCATCGCCATCATCGCCACTTTCACTTGATTGTTCTCTCTCTCGTTTCTCGCCAGTGCCGACCGTCTCATCGCCTTGTTGAGCTCGTAGCCACCGTTTTTTCTTGATTCTTTTGTCCTTTCTTTTGTCCTTCTCCTCTCTCTTGGCAGTTTTCTGACTCCAAGCGGCATTCTCCTTCTTTTTTTCTCGAACAGCCGCTTCGCGCGAACGTGATTCTCGTTCTCGATTCTTGGTCTCAGCCTCGGCTAGGCGCTTCGCTTCTTGTGCCTTGTCTGCGTAAGCATACGTATCCCACTATACAGAACAATAAAATGTTATAGGCATAGCTAAAGATGTGCTGGTAGACACCACTTACATCTATTTGAGCGTCCTGCCATGTCTCCCTATTTGCACCCTTCAACTCGGGCATTCGGGGAAGTCGCAGGAGCCCGAAGCTCTTGGCGATGCCAACTAGGTCAAGATCTTTGACTCGAAATATGTAGGATGCTTCGTGTTTCGAATAAGCCCGAACGAAAGAGACAAATGCTTTAACAGCCTAAGAGTGTACGGTAAGACCTATTGTATAGCTTGGCATATGCTGCGTAAGAAAGAGGCTAACCTTGTCATTTAATGCACGATCCGTAGCTAATTGCTGTCTGGTTCGTTGCAGATTTTGATTGACAGATGGATCTTCTTCATGCTCGCTACTAGCTGTCTCTGTGACGGACTCATCCGCGTGGATATATGCGTGTAAGCGAAGAGGAATTTTGCGAACTGCCATGAAATCTAGGCGGTGGAGAATTATAAAGGCTGGCTCATATTGAAAAAATTCCCTGTAACTCACCAACATAGTCCGTTTCTACATCTACTAACAGCGTATACGCCTTCCCACTTCGTCCAGCCCTAGCTGTCCGTCCACATCTATGGGAGAACGCTTTGGGATCTGAAGGTGGATCGAATTGGACGACGACATCGACATGTGGAAGATCGAGGCCTCGCGCAGCAACATCCGTTGCGAGCAGTATCGAGGGAGACGAGGGTAATGACAAAGAAGAAGAGAATGTAGCTAGTGTGCGAGTCCGGGCAGACGGGGGAAGGTGGCCGTGAAGCGAATGTAGTTTGGTGGAAGGCGGGAGAATGTGAGGGAGAATCTGGTGACGCAAGTTGTCAAAATATTATCCAAAACAGACGCAGGCATTTGAACTCACTGCATAGAAATAGTCCACGCATGCACAAGTCGCGAAGTAGACGATAAAATGCGAAGCATTGTGAATGGTGGTCTCTTGTTGGATAATCCGCCCAAGTTGCACTAGCTTTTCCGATGCTAAACAGTTAATGTAGAAATTTTTGAGGCTATCGTTGACAATATTAGCCTAGAAGCGCGGTTTACTTAAATACCAAACTCACTTGGCAGGGATCCGCCTTTCCTCTAAGAGATCACCTCGTTCAAAGTTTTTTCCTGAAGCTTTCGACTTCTTTGTCTGAACCTTTACGACCACACGTGCGGGATTTCGCAAACCCACACGAACTAGTTCTGACAGAGCGTCCGCGTCCGTCATCGTGGCGCTAAACAGACCAGTTCTACGTTGCTTTGGTAAATGGGTAATGATGCGAGTCAAGGCATTTTGAAACCCTAGATCAAGTAATCTGTTTTGACATCGTAAATTGAGTATTTGTGTTCGAGATTGCGAACTAACCGATCTGCCTCGTCTAAAACCAAGACCTCCAGTTCCTTTGAGCTGACCACAGTCTTCCCCCTACCAAGTAAGAATTCTTCAACCCGGCCTGGTGTTCCTATAATGATATCTGCCCCTGATGATAGGAAACGCTTGATGTCTTGGATCGGTGAAGACTGATCAGAGGATATAAGCAGCAGAGCTTCTAAAGGTTTCGGTGCTTCTGGATCCAACTGCATTTTATCCCCTACAGGATCCATGGGTGCGTCATCATCACTGTCAGAACTAGAGGTTATGGGATTTGGCTGAGCGGAGAGGAAGAGAGAAATTATAGAGTGTATCTGTGTTGCCAGTTCTCTGCAACGATGGCATTAAGACGAATTCATTGAGCTTACTCAAAACATACCTTGTAGGGGTGACAATTAGCGCACCTATCTCATTCTTTTTTAATTTGCTTTCTCTCCTGATCAGCCTTTCCAGTATTGGTATCACGAATGCGAGAGTTTTCCCAGAACCTGTGACTGCTTCTACCACAACGTCCTTATTTTGCATGAAAAGAGGTATAGTAGAGGCTTGTACAGGAGTCATCTGGGTGTGTCCCATGGATTGAATTACCTCCAAACTTCAAGTTAATGTTGATGAGCATTGTCATCGTGAACGATAATTGGTATGTCGAAACTCACATCCAGGACGTGAGTGGAACTGGGAGAGATGTCCAAAGACCTGCGAAAGCTGCAGGATTCGACATCGTAAATGTTTGACTCTTCACGCAAACTCCACAGAAGATAACAAGAGTGATATAGTCGAGTCTTAGTTTTGCTTCACGGTAGAAAATGTCCGCAAGCCTTACAGTAGTCACGTGACCATGACCTTCTGCCTGCACACTGAATAGTAAACCAAATGCATTGCGACAACAAAGTCCTCCTATATATGTGTATATATGTGCAAGATAAGTACATAGTCTTGACATTCTTCCCCAACAGCTCTCAGAACGCATGGGAAGAGATTGTGAACCGTTTGAAAGTGTATCTGTGCATTCAATTAGCCGTCAACAAATATACATCTGATATGACATCCACTACTAACCCTAAGAAAGCAAGATCTTTCTGAGCATCCCCAGCTTCGGACGCGGATGCTTCTTCTGGTACTTGTTCCAGTTCGTCGGTAGGGAAGTATGAAGTATCGGTTATAGACCGAAGATGTGGAACAAACGGTGCGTCGATTCGGCGTATGATGTCCCAGTCTACGCCGTAAAAGAAGGGATGAACTTTGATCTGATCAATACCCAATCGTTTATCTTGGGATGTAATCAAACTAAATGGTATGAATAGGTATGTCAGCGTTCAGTTTGGCACATAACTAGTTTACTGACCGTCGAATGAGATCTTCTGCTTCACGACTCAAGTGAACGTCGTCGGGGAACGCCAGGTGGTTTTGCCATTGTACAATTTTCTGGTACGTCTCATGGGTAGACTCGGAGCAAAAGGGTGGATAACCAACTAAACATTCGAACATAATTGCACCCAACGACCACCAATCACATTCGTTGCCGTATCCTTTCTGAATAAAGATTTCTGGTGCGATGTAGTCTGGTGTTCCTACTGTCGAGTAGGCCTGGCATGACGATAAGCATTCGTCGAGATGCAATAAGCGAATTGAACGTACCAGTTTCCGCCGGTTGGCTTTCCACGTAGCAATTTGGTCCTTGCTGGTCATTGTTAGATGAATAGCGTTGACCATCACGCTATTTCGAGCAGCAGCAGTAGGTGATTGAACTCCATTTGCCGAATCTAGCAGTCGCTGATAGTAGCTAGAGTCATGTTGTTTATGAAACCCGGTGGAAAGACCAAAATCAGACAGTTTGATATGCCCATCTTTGTCAATCAAGATGTTGTCTGGCTTTATGTCTCTGAAGACCACATCGATCAGCTCCATTGGCAGATGGTCCTTGATTGAAGGAATAAGAAATCACCGATGAATAAAACCCATCGCGTGTACAGCTTCGATAGCAAGGACACACTCTGCTATATAAAATCGAGTAACGTCCTCCGAGAAGGTATCATATTTGATCAGCATTGTCATCAGGTCACCTCCAGGAAGGAACTCCATAATAAGGTAGAGAAATTGCGGATCCTGGAAAGAATAAAACAACTGCACCACCCAAGCAGAGTTTGATTCCGCCAACACATCGCGTTCAGCACGGACATGCGCCAGCTACATCGTGTACATCAGAACGGGGCACCAATATTGAAAAAAGCGGGCTCTGCGCACCTGATCCTTCTTCAACATCTCCTCCTTCTTTAGAGTTTTCATAGCATATATTTTTCCAGTATCGGTTTTTTGAACGAGGCGAACCTACCATCAAAGCAGGGTTACGATGAAAGAAGCATGTTATCAAGCGAAGACTCACCTCCCCAAATGCACCTTTTCCTATTACTTTAACCGTCCTAAAATCATCCAGCCCCAGTTTTGTCCGTCGTAATCGAAGGAAAGTGGATTCTTTCTTGCCTAGCTGATTCAGCTGGCGTTGTTTACGTTCTTCAGACATGAGCACGTCGCCCTGCAGCCTCCTTTCAAGCTCTACGCGTCTAATGAAAATTCAGCCCACCATTTCAGTCTTCCATGTAGCACGATAGAATATGACCTTGTATTGCGTTCAATTGCAGCATCGACAGCCACCTTGTAATAGTGTTCCAGTTTTAATTGTGCAGTTTTAGCCCGAGGAACGGCATCGTCTGAAAAGCCAGCAGACGTTCGTTCAAAATACACATAATCAGCGGGCTTATTGGAGCTGGACCCTGTCTGACTCGCTGAGGGCTGCATGGTGGTGGTATATAGAGCTGGATGAGAACCAGCAATCCAGACTGCTGGTGGAACTCAAAAGAGGTGCTTACGGCAATGTAACGAGATACCGTTTTTATCCATTGCAGGCTTGATGGGAACCATCACAACAGGTAGGCTCGGACGTTGTACAAAGTAAAATGTGTATACAAGTACGATAACTGGGTACTGAATTATGATAAGTAGAAATGGAACGTTACAGTGTATATTAAACTACGTAGGCTACATGCGGGACCATGGCGTACCAGTAACGATAACCCAAGAAAAACATAGATGGTCATGTTAGAACTCTTACAGCACTTGTGATAGTATTGAAACAAATGGAAGGCTTCTCGTAAATTGGCATTCTTTTCATTTTAGAATTAAGCCCGTCTCATTTGAGGATATCCAGTTCTTGGACTGGGCGATCTCGTTATATGAGATTCATAGGAATGAGAAGGCATAAGAGGGGGTGCATAAGAGGGATATGCCTGAGAGTAGGATGTGGAGTGTGATAGAGGAGTAGCCGTGCCCTGATGCATCAAATTTTCGGGTATAGCAGACGCTGAACTTGTATGCATGTGTTGTCGTCTTCTGCACGATATAGATGTTAGCTACGATAACTTGAAGAGAAGGAATACACTGACTGGTAACGATGACCTGCAGGTATTGTAGATGGATGCATATGAGAAGAGATAGCAGAACTGAGGTCACAGTTAAGCGCTGTCGGTGATTAAGATAAGGATGACATACCTGTACAGTGCAGCAGGAGTGATATAGTTTGGCGCTCTGTGATCTTCGACTTCGTTCGGAGAGTTGGAGTATGCAACGTAGGGATCAAATTTGAGGTATGTCTGATCACGTGAATGAGAAGAGTCTGTTTGGGAGTATGGGGCAGTGGGATATGCTGCGGGAGAATAGCCGCCTAGGGATTGTCGATGGCGGTGGCCAGGAGTGGTACTGGAGTGGAATGATGATAAAGGGGAAGGTGGCAAGGAACGATCTGCGAAATGCTGTCCTGCAACTTGTTCATAAGAGTCATATGTATTGGTGGGAGGAAAGGGTGATGGCCCTCGACCATGAGTTGCATGATGCTGCTCGTCATAAGACTGGTGCGTTGACCAGGGACTGCCATTATGGTCGACATCGGCGTGTCGACTGGGAGGTTCAACTTGGATGGCTGGATTGGGAGGAAGTGGTCGAGGAGTGCGACCCCCACGGACTTTCGTTTCTCCCAGCCACGCAGGCTGAGACTTCTTCTGCACTCTCAGAGGTTGCACCGTCGCATCCCACTTCACTGGCAACTGAGATGGGTCCTCGAGTCCGTCTTCACACCCATCCCAATCATGGTCAGTTTTCGTTACAGTGCGAACGGGAGTGCCTGATATGACGAGAGTAGACTGAAATGTGTCAGAAATCTCAGAAACCTTCTTGTCCTGCTGAGAGTGCTCGTATGCTGGTGGTGGTGGTATGTAGTGGTCGGTCATGGTCGATAACGTTCGCTTTCACTGAGTTTGAGGGAAAAGAGCCAAAGACATGTGGGTTCTGATTCCCAGGAGAAAGCAAGGAAGGGACACTAGAAGAAAGGAGCGCCAGAAAAGATACTCAACATGGAACATTTCTACGAAAATTGACATGAGTGTTGACGCTCGGCTGTACTCAAGATTTCGACAGATTCCAAGGCACATGAACCTCGAGCTTACGAAACGGACCGGGAGCGCAGCTATTCGCTACTGTACCGCACAGCTTTGGCTTATGCCTTACTTAGACCACTTTCGCATTCTGGTAGTATAAATGTGATTGCTGCAACTCGGGACCTTGGTGGAAAAAATCCAGTGAATGCGCAAGCTAATACTACTAGAGTGCAAATGAGTAAGCTCGGACCCCACGGTAATTGATTCCAGCAGGTGATGACAACAGCACCAAAGAGCTATGCTCTAAGAGGCGTATGTGGGTCTGGGTGCAGTACAACACGATTTCATGACGATGGCACTGTGGGTCAACGAAAAGTTGGTCACCTGTATAAATCTAAGCATGTGGCTGCCGCGTTGCATTCGATACAACACAACCTAGCATTCATGTTTAGCAGCCCCTGAATACTAGCACTGTTATGATGATGGTATCATATCATGTTTCACCACAGGTCATACAGAAGTAGACGACATTATAGTTCGATACCCTCCAGGTTTGTACCCTAGCGTAAACTATCAGCGGCTATTCAAATATAGTGATGTATCATGCATCCTCACCAGCTTCGGTAAACGAAGGTAAACATCAGTTCCTGTTGTGATCAAATAAGCAAATAGTTCCAATATACCAATAGCTTTGGAAAAACATACCCCACCCATCTAAAGATACGAGTTCTAACGATCCTCCAAAATAACTGTGTAGAGTGCATTTGTGATGGGATAACAAAGGTAAGATAACGCATGCTCACGTCGTAAAGATGTTGCTCATTGGAAGGCCCAATCCAATCCTTGGATGTGGGGCAATACCTGCTTCTCTCTCGGGATCCTTGTCGCTCAGCTGATCTGCGATAAAAGTATCATCTGGCGCTATGTTATGCCAATGTCCAACTTGTTCTGCTACAGTTGCCTTGACACCTCTGGAACTTGCTGACCGAAGAGCCCCAAGCCTAGTGTCGTCCATCCGAGTGGCATTGCGTACATGCGAGAATGAGAACAAGTCAGAAGGCGCAGATATCTGCGTCTTCACCAAACCTCCACCTAGAGGTATAGCTCACGTGAGAATCTCATCGAAATATCAAGATGCAACCAACCTTGGTCTGATATCCGAAGGCCCACATCATTCTCGCCCGCAACAATTGTTGCACGTATTGAAGGAAGGATAGAACTATGCCGATGGTTTAAACAAGTTGCCCGCATTGCCTGAAACGTATAATCTTTATGAGGTCTATTTAACATTAACGTAAACTTACGTTTTTCAAGAGTTCAAAGATTATGTATCTGAAACCACGTTCAGTTTATTTGTTGATTATGCCAGGGACATGAAACATACTCAAGATGTTCGCGGATATACGCGAATTTAGTGTCCACATGACCATCGACTACAACCTCGGGCCAGCCTCTATTCGGAACGTTTTCACCATTGTCATCCTCGATGTCGTACGGCCGCTCTCTCAGCAATTTGGCGCATCTATCGATGCTACGCTTGAGGTTGAGACCAGTATAAATTATGCCTACACGAGGCCCCGCCTGTGAGCCGGTACTGGTGACCTCGAGGGATTTGGACAGAGCGATATGGTGTTCGGCAAGTACCCGCCTTGATATGCGGGAAACTAGCATGCGACTCATGAAGGAATCAAGTGAGTCTGGTGGGAGGTGGGGGGATGAAAGAGAAAGCCCAAGAGATAAACTAGGAATTACAGTAGCACTGGGCATTGGAGGTTAGAATGCTTCTCAACAAAACCCCGAACAATTATTGCTCACTGTTCGCCCAATATGTTACCCAAGAATTGACAGAAAGATTGATTATCAGCCATATTATTGATTGGTGGGTAGCGGCGGAATCTACAATATATTGGTTAAACATTTGGCCGGATAGTAGAAACACGCTGTACTTTTCAAAAGCAGACCAATACAACTGCAAAAATACGCAAACTTTAGCAGGAAAGACGTGTGAATGAGACGTGATCAAACTAGCCTCGTACACCTTTGCAACACCTTCCTGAGTTACAACAACATAAGGCAATGCTTGTAGGTCTCGTATTCTATGTGCAATGCGAACGGGGAGCTCAGTACGAACGTAATTGGCGCTCTAAAATACACCGATGAGACATTTCCGCGGTATCATTCTAGAAATACATGCCTTGAGGAGTCGCTCTTCGTCCATTGAACGACCGAAGAATACCTGGTACTCTATGATCAACATAAGAGAACTGTTTAGCGAACATTACTCACAAGCTGCCTTAAGGTCAACCTTTTAGTTTCCTTGGAAGCATACAATTCCAACTGTCGGTTCTGGTAAAAATGCAGAGCGGTGGATTGGCGGCGGACATGATTTGGTAGTAATTCTGAAATATGGGGCCTCCGGCCAGCGGTATGAAATGGATTCAAGTATCTTGCGCAACCCAACCATAACATTTCTTGCTAGCTCTTGATATCAGCAATGAAGTCCGAAGGTCAGTGTAACATGCGTATAGGAGTTGAGCAAGTCAGGACATCATGCTGGTGAAGAACAAGCGGTGATAAATATGTGCATTGCAGTTTTACTTCACACCCGTGACTCACTCCATCGTGTCGAGTCACGACCCTTGGCTCTCGTCATTTCCTCCGCGTACCACGGCCGAAGTACATTGCACATTTCGGACATGTTAGATGCGACTGCCAAAAACCTTTCTGCCACAACTTACTTCCTGCCTAAAGCAAAAATGGACCAAAAGACTTGCTATCACAATCTTATTGAACCCTTATAATCTTGTAATGCATCCAAAATTATAATATCCCTTCTGATTTTAAAGCACCAATAATCAAGAAAGCCGACCTACGATCCCTATCAACTCCAAGCCAGTCACCTCGTCTCTGTGTAGGTAAATTTTGGTCGCCTGAAACATATATATCATCGGAACTATCTCCGCTTTGCTGTTCCATCTGTTTTTCTTGGTCCTGTCTTTCTTCTTCTTCGCGATCCCATAAAACTTCTTCCCACTGCGAGTCACTAATAGTTACTGCCACTGTTTTGGCATCACGAATATTTGGGAGTACCGATGTTAGAAGATTGGACAGTAACTCAGACGTGCCATCAGCGGTTTGTGAGCGCAAAACAGGGAGGGGGAGGTATTCAGCCTATAAAGTATAGATATGGTTGGTAAACCTATAACATAGATCAACCCAACACTCACCTCAAGTAACATGCCCTTGACTACGCCTCCTGCGAGGATCACGTTCCCCACTCGCACCAACCAGTCAGTACCGATAGAAAACACATATCCGTCTATGACCAGCTGCTGTCCCATCCCCTGATTTCTTTGAGGTGCATTTGATCCACTCTGCCTCACGGAAATCCAACGTGCACGTATTTGTGCAAGCAGTTGCTCTAGGGCCCCAGGCGGTCTGATGGTCAGGAATGTCGTTCGATAATGCGGTGGACCCTGAACAGCAGACGTGCCCTGCCCAGCGCCGCCTCCTTGAGAATCCGCTTGCTGAGCATTGGCAAGCATATCGGCGCGCGTGGGTGCAGAGGGATCCTCGAGAAGAACAAAAACATTTTCATTCATCGTAAGAGCGCACATGGACCGCTCCGAGTGAACTTGAAGACCTGGTATCGAGCCAAGCGTCGACCGATACGACCGCACACTGAGGTTCCATCTTCCTTTGAATTGACCCTGCGTGTCGAAAATCAAAGACGTCTCGAAACTTTGACTTGGACTAGCAGTGTGGATGCCTACGAACGTGGTGATTTCGGATGATATTCTGGTTTATTAGCTCAAGCCCAGTCGTTGGCGCATTGATCCATCGAGCAAGTCTGGAAGAAAGACAGTTAAAAATCCATCGATGGCGTTTTAAGAAAGATAATCCGCATATACCCTGTGAAACCCATACAAGGAGGATGTGGATAAAACGTCCTAAAGACACGAGGGTGGGAACTTGATAAAGTGTGACCTGACGCGTGACGGTCGCGTCTTTTGAGCGCCTATTCGATCTTTCACTTTTAGAGACTGAAATGCCATCGCCTTCAAAACCCAGGAAACGTGCAAATGCGCCTGATACCTCAATTCGCATCCCCACTTCCATACCAGCACATCTATATCCATGCCTGAATGTACAGAAAAGAGCACTATTATCATCTTTGAGGAACTACCATCCTGCTTGTGATCCGCAAGATGATGATGGTCCTGCGACCAACGCGATAGCATACACTCAGCTACAGGACTTACTGACTGGTACAATTACACGGGGTGAAGGTAATAGCTGTCTTCTTCTGGGTCCACGCGGCAGTGGTAAAACATCTGTGAGTTTAGTGTCACGTCCTATGTTAATTCCATTCACGCTCTGCCCCTAGCTTATCGAGAAAGCTGTATCTGCAGCATCACAGGAACCCATTGTCATTCGTCTTTCGGGGTGGGTACAGCATACCGATCGCCTTGCTTTACGCGAAGTTGCTCGACAATTGTCTCTTCAAACCGGAAAATCATTTCTGCAAGATACCGACGCCCAACTCGACAAACAGGACGAGTCGCTTGATGAAAACCCTTTTCTAGATACGACTCCTAGCATATCGCTCCCACCTACATCACATCTCCCTGCACTCATATCCGTGATCCCAACACTGTCTCGCCCTGCCATAATAATTCTCGATGCTTTCGACCTTTTCGCCTTGCATCCCCGGCAATCTCTTTTGTACTGTCTTTTAGACACTGTTCAGAGCTGTCGAGTGGGGCAAGGTAACAATGGTATGCTTGTAGTGGGTGTCACTACTAGAATCGATACCATTAACTTGCTTGAGAAACGGGTCAAGAGTCGATTCTCTGGACGGATGCTACGTACAGCGCCCCCTCAAGGTTTAGAAAACTGGAAGAAAAGTACAAAGGAACTATTTGTATCTCCTGTTGATTGCGACAATCAAGAATGGGCCGCAATTTGGCCTATCGCTATGGACAAATTTCTGGAGGATCGAACGGTGAATGAAATGATTGACGATGCATTTTCTCTTACGAGGGATACAAAAATGCTCAATTACCTACTGGCAAGTATCGTTTGATATCATGCTTGCTTTTTTAATGTTGTTCTAGACAAGAGTGGTGCTCACACTCAAACCACAATCCCCATTTCCTCTGGCATCTCATCTGAAGTATGCCATTATTATGCAGCAGTGTCACGTTCGATTTCCCCAACTTCATGGTAAGCGATTGAGCAAATTCTCCAGAGTACTCTCCTGAAGCTTGTTATCCAGCGCTACCTTACCCTGCGATCTGTCTCCTTATTGCTGCAACACATGTACAGACAGCCGGCCACGATACCTTCAATTTCGAGATGCTCCACGAGTCATTTCAAGACCAAGTACGAGCATCGGCAGCAGCTCCGGTGCAGATCGAAGGTGGTAGCATCGGTATGGTGCGCTGTACACGTCAGGTCCTCAAGAGTGTATGTATTTTTTAAATGCGCCTTTTCCCTTGCATAACGATTGCACTTGCATCAGGGTTTTGAACATCTGTTAGCTATGCGCGTATTTGCAAGCGTTGCCGCACCGTCCGTAACAGTGGCGCAAGAGTTCGTACGATATCGTTGCGTGGCAGACAGGGATGATGTTAAAAAAGCCGTTGAGAAGATGGGCCAAACAAGCCTGAAGAAATGGTTCAGCAGGGCCCAGTAGGGACACGTCTCGGCGTTGGGCGATCTTGTTCCTGCTATCGCGTCGCACGGTACCCTGATCCTGATGGCACTTTTTGGATTTATTTATGGCTAGCCCCCCTTGGGCCCCTGGGAATCTGACTATTCACTACACCATTTCGATTCGAATCAGATTCCCGTTCCTTTACAGATGATACAGAAGGTGGTCAGCCGATTTCTTTCGAGTGTCATGATAGATCCTTCAGGAAAGCGCCGCGAAGGCTCGGATAATCAAATGTCTGCGCAGTTTTACACATTTTCATCCAAGGTTTACTCCTCGTCAATAGCTGAATATCAATATCCTCTTATGTAGTGATTGTTTAGAAGGAAGAGGACCGTATCAGTTACAAACCGCTGGGGCCAACAAGTTAGTTAGTTGCAGTACTAGTTCCACTACGGACGCCGGCAATCATTTTGATTGTGTTATCTAAGATGCTATCGGCGTCATCCAGGCAAATGATGTCGTCCGCGATAGGAAATAGATAATCGCGATCTGGGATAATCTTAGATATGGATGTCTCAGAGCAATCATTCCTGGTGGATGTATGATACAGTAAATTTCTTTCGTCTCTCGAAGTTACAGTATACAGTAAACCATCATCGTACGGTCTGGCTATGGTATAATTTAGTTAGCGTAGTACTGCTCCCTGAATTCGGTAGGTGCGTTCTCGTATGCATGTTCGGCGTGTTTCTTGGCTATGTGATAGATTGACGCGTTAGAACATGTCTGATGGAGTGTAACTTGGTCAGCTCTTACCTTCGCTCTTAGCTTTCTGCTTGTCAATGAAGTCAAGCTAATGCGGGAAACGATATGTAAGTGACGGCGGTTAAATGACATGGGTTACTTGTACTTACTCCCTTGGTCTCAACCATGTGGTCAATGAAGGCGCCACCGAAAGCAGCGCTGCGTAAGAAGACGAGTTAGTGTGAAACCAGTGGAGAAGGATCGAAGCCAACGTACAGCAGCTCCTTGGCTTTCTCGTGAGAAGGGGGCTGACCGTTCTTAGCTACGTGGTTCTGGTAAGCCTTTGCGGCCTTAGATGAGAGGCGATAACAAAATCAGCACTGGCGGTAGACAGAAGCAGAAGGAGGTAGGCGTTACCTCGTACGAAGCAGCAGCGGCGATCAGTTCATGAGAGAGGTGAGACTTGTGGGGGGCGTTGACGACCTGGGAGAAGTCAGACAAGATTAACATCATATCAGACGGTGAATAATGAGAGTAATAACCTGGTCGTGAGCCTGAGCAGCCTCGGAGTTGTGGTGGTGCATGATGATAGTGAAATAAGAATAAAAGAGATGGTGGATGGATGGATGGTATGAAAGCGTGGAATGAATGGGTAGCAGCCATTTTAAGGTAGCTTATATAGGCCCATCCTCGTGAGCGACCAGAACGGGTTATTGCGACGAGAGGCATCGCATTGGGCACTTACTAAGATTGGATTGAACAAGGCTCTACCTACAAGGACAGCTGAACGGGTTTCAAGGCTTTTCGGGCTTACGGGACTACGGGACCCTGAATCAGCTCGCGTACGACTCGCGTACGTTATTCACCTCCGATCGCACTGGCTATCGTGGGAATTTCATTTATTTCAGGTAATACCCCACACAAAACGGCAGTGGCCGTGACTGCACTGCAGAATCCCAGCATAGCCTAAGCCTATGCGCGCTCACCGCTCATCGTTCTCCCATCTTTTAGTTCTTCTTCTCATATATCTTATCTCGTGTCATGTACTGCATTCTATTTAGCGGCGCATTCGAAGTCTGTATTGCTGACGCAAATATTCACATGTTGTTGGATGGCGGTTCAGAAACACACGTTCGTTCCAATTGCAACTTGTCACTGCTATTGCTCACTGTCATCGCTAAAGTAGGGCTGTGGAGCCCCCATAAACTCAACACCCTACACTTGTTAGTCTAGACACCTGACGTTGCATACCTGCATTATCACGAGTTATTGATTGCAACGGGGGTCTGAGAATACTCCTCGTGCCTCATTCGGCATTGCGAAAAATTGTCTACATGTGCAGCCAGTCACAGTAAATACAGTAGTAATCAAGGAACTTCATATCAAGATCAAGGACACCATTCACTCCGAACAGTATAGCCATTAATATTGCTCCAGTTCTAGGTTCACCAGTCCTTCTTACAGAACATCGTAAGAATCTGGGGGTATCTAGGTACAGCTCACCTCAGGATTTATGCTTAGCTGAATCTTTACTGAGTCTTGTAACTCTTGACCCTGTCCTCTTGAAAGAAATCAAAACACACTACTATCTATATGGTTAAGGCTATTTTTAGCAGTGAATACTACTTCCTTCATATGGAATCACGTAAACTCTTCTGGCGGATGTCTTTAGACAAGTCCAATTGTTAAAACCTGGAAATAGTTGCCATGATACCTATACCTCCAATGCAAAATTTAGATAAGATGCGCATATGAACTTGTTGTATCATGGCGACCCTTGTCTATCTGTCGAGATTTTTCCAGGCTGCCACCTGCTTCCGATCCTTTACGATCATGCTCGCTTAATTGAGTTATCGTTTCTCCTCAGTCGAACAAGAACTTGAAAGGTTGCTATATCATTTACAATTCATTTTTCTTCGGTATACAGTACTTCCAAACTTATACATCTAGCCTACAACGTCAAGTAACGCTCAGCGCTCAGTAGGCAAAGTCGGGAGAGTCAGCCAAAGCTTGTTCAGCCTGCTCCTTAGCTGTTGAAAATTTTGTCAAAACCATGATCGTTTTACGATAATATGAATACATACCTTGGTGCTTTGCCCGTTGTTGGTCAACGAAGTCGAGCTATACAAACATCCATGCATTAAGTCAACTAGATTATTGATTATTAGCAGTATCTTCTTACCCCCTTGGTCTCGACCATGCGGTCAACGAAGGCACCAGAGAAGGCAGCACTAGATTGAAAAGCCTGAGATGAGCAAGCACTACAGCAATTTGAAGGAAGCAGCATACAGGAGCTCCTTAGCCTTGGCATGGGAGTCAGGCTGGCCATTTGCGGCGACGTGGTTCTCGTAGGCTTTTGCAGCCTGAAGAAGTGTCTATATTAGCATGTACTCGTATAAAACAACGTACAATGTTCTTACCTCGTAAGATGCAGCAGCAGCAAGGAGCTCGTGAGACAGCTCAGCCTTGTGGGGGGCGTTCACGACCTGACGAGAAAGACATATGTCAGTACTTGGGTGAAGCAGCAACGACGACGATACAAACAGTGTCGTAAGAAGTAGCCTGGTCAGAGTCGTCGCTGAACCAACCCATTGTATGTGATAGATAGAGATAGATAAGTGGTTAGATAAGTAGATGGTGCGGAAAGTAAGGTGAGCTGCGGGGAGGTTTATATACCTTTCCGCCCTGGCTATCCCAAAATAGAAGATGATGGATTTTGCTAAGGTATCACACCTCCAAAAGAGGGTGATCACATGAAAGGGCGAACCGCAAGAATATGATGTCGGACTCAAAGTCTCTGTACCGTGACAGCTACCCGAAGCGTTATCATAGCGCAATCTACGAAGCATTGCTGTAAGGCTATGGGGCGCTGTGGCATGCTATGGCGGAGAGTACCGTCCGGACTTCCCCCTAGCAGATGATGCTGTGTTATTCCACCCGGAAAAGGATCGATACGACCTGATGGAACCGATATACCATACTTGAGTCCAGGTTCTTCAGTCTTCTTTCCATAGATATCTGATGAGACAGTGATGAGACTTACCCGCTTCGTCAGTTCGCAAGATATCGATATATCGCTATGCAGTGACGTATATGACTATATGATTCCGCAGTCGGAGTCCTTTACAACGTACCACAAAGAGTAGTGACTGCGTCTTTTCACAGCATGGAAACTTCTCATGTGGTTGGGAAAACAGGGTTGGGATGGGGAACAACACCTGCGTTTTATTTTGGAGTTGGAGTCAGAGGTAGCAACCACGACGTCAATATTGTCAATAGCAACCCGAACACGGCTGGAGCTTGGACTTAGCTTTGAAATTAGATAGTAGCTTTTCCAGCGCGGTGACAATTGGATCCATGTATGTACACCATTCATCGGCAGATAAGTATATCTCAAAATCTTTGATGGCATGGGAGCAAAGTATATTTACATGTCGTCCGGGCATGGCATCATTGATTGTAAGTTCGCCACCCTGCATACACCGAAGATCGAATTTCGAAGTGAAAGAACGGGTATATCATCCCACCGACGACCGCTCACTGCCAGTGTGCGAATGGATGGTACCTATCTCAGAGATATGGAAAGAGAAGCACGGGGAAATCGGTAGAGATTGGACGTTTCAAGAGTAGTTTGAAATCAAAACTAGATCTGAAGTGGCCGCTGTAGCGAGTGGACCGTGCCTCAAGATGGACAGAGATAGATGTACGACAAGTCTCGACAACAAGCAATGAACGTTTGATAGCGATATCGTGCAGCAGATAGTGAAGAAATTGCAGTAAATGCAGACTCGTCAGTACTGAGTACTGAAAACTAGCAAAGACCCTGATACACGATTGCTAATACGTGTTTCCAAAGAAAGCAAATAGAAACAGAGTTCTAGTAAGCCACCGGCGGTCTTCTCGTTATTCGTAGCAGTTCTGAATATCTATATGTCTAGAGACTAGCGTAGCAGTGATCCTATAGAAAAGAGCATCCTATAAGCCACGAACGTGGTGGTGAAGATGTTAGATGGTGACGGTAGCAGTTCAAGCGTATGTTCAGATGACGGTTGAACGGCAAGTTGCCGATGAGCAGAATTGCCGGCAGTTCCACGTGACCAATACCATCACTTGCACACGTCTTCGGTTCCAAGGTTGGAGTAAATCCTCCATTATATTTTATCTTACAACGGGCAGCCATCATATTCTCTACAGTGTAACATGTCTGGTGCAGGCTCTGGCCATCGCAACCAGGGCGAAAAACGCACTATAGAAGAGTTTGCCACGAATTTTGTTGATGAGTCGTCAGTATCGCCGCTATGTCAGCTGTAGTAGTAGTACCGGCAGACTAACGAGAGCTACGATAGACACATAGAGGCTTTTGCCAGTGCGCTACAGGCGGATGATCTGAGCGGACAAGATCATTTTGGGGCTGCATCGCCCAGCTCGCGAGCAACTTCGCGAGCAAGCACGCCGGTACCTCCGAGTCCTCGAGTGAGGAAGGTGTCCGCATTGTCAGATTTTGCGCCCGTAAACTTGAGAGTTAAGAGGTGTGTAGCAATGCTCGTTGACTTTTTCTATTCGTGTCTATTAATCGACGGATGTGCTTAAGGAGGCGGAAAAAGGATAAACTACACGACCGAAGGCAAGATTGGCTTTTCCTATTGCTTCGCTGGCCCATCCTGGTAAGCGTCCTTTGCTACAAGTTATACCCGTCAGTCTGCTGAAACCCACACGAGTGCTTCATATTTATTATTATCGCTGGTGAATTTGGTTTGTACGTTATGATTCGGCAGATGGTCAATACCAAAGAGTGGCTATCAGCTTGTAAGTAAAGGCCCCTGGGCAATTTTGTGTTGGCTAAAATCCCCCTCCTCCCAATAGGGCGCGGGCGTAAAGGTTTGCTTCGTAAACGATTGAGGGCCGCGCATACATATGAGGTGGGTGATTTCTTGTTCAACAATGTCCTCGCGGAGTGCGTTAGAGTAACTGATCATGTAACAGGAGTGGAAGGAGGCTGCACTTACATTGGATGAATATCTATCTTTTAACGAATGGAAAAATGTAGACGATGACCCATACTACGACTGGAAATTGGTCAGGAAGGTAATAGTGACTTGCCATTTCTTCATTCGCGTTCCTTAATCGGATGACACAGGTCAGCCAATCCCTCAAGATCCTTCGCCAAAAGGACGATGCCCGTGGTGTGCTTGGTGTGCTTGAAACATGTATCCGCACTAATTTCGCCGCAGTCGAATCGTCAAGGTATTGTCATCGCATTTTATACATAGTTTAAATTTCACGTCGAAGCTAAACTTTCCAATTTCGCAGGCTATACAGCGAGGTAAGTTCAGGGAAAGACATTTATCTGCTAGAATGTATCTAAAGCTCTTCTAGACATTCCTAGGAACGAAAGACCTGATTGAGGGTGAGTGTTCCATGGGTCAACTACTATAATCGCCTTAGCTGATTGATATGTCAATAGCTTACTACGATGAACAAGAAAAGGCGTTAGAATACGTTCGGAATTCCCAGGAATTATCCAACGAGGAAAAGAAGCGATTTTTTAAGACTGCAAACACCAATCTTGGAACTACTGCACTTTGCCTTTCTGGTGGTGCCTCCTTTGGTTATTGTGAGGGCTTCTACATATATGTTCTATAATTCCCTGCTGAATACCTGCCAATAGATCATTTTGGCGTCGCAAAAGCCTTCCTCGATGCGAATCTTTTGCCTCGTGTAATCACTGGCACTTCGGCAGGTGGCCTCATCGCGGCTTTAGTATGCACTCGCACAGACCAGGAGTTGAGAACACTGTTGGTCCCTGAACTAGCCAACAAAATAACAGCTTGTGAAGAGCCATTTAGCGTATGGTTCAAACGTTTCTGGACGACAGGGGCCAGGTTTGACAGCATATCATGGGCACGCAAGGTCTGTCGTGTTTGCTGTCAGGTGGCGTTGATGTACCGAATTGACGGAATTACTGTTGTCAATAGTGCACATTTTTTACACGGGGCTCGATGACATTTCGGGAGGCCTACATGAGGACTGGACGCATCCTAAATATCTCCGTTATACCTGCGGACCGGCATTCGTAAGTCTACTTGGATCCGTGACACATTATGGCATATTACACAGCACGCTATGGCTGCCTTCTCGTCATGCTGCTAACATTCTTTCGACAAGACCTTGAAGACTAATTATTATCTAAAACAGCCCGACGAAGCTCCTTAATTATGTGACGGCACCAGATACTATCATCTGGACTGCCTTGCTTGCTTCCGCTGCTGTCCCTGGTATCCTCAATCCAGTGGTACTTATGCAGAAATTGAAAGATGGTCGGATTGTCCCTTGGAATTGGGGTAGCAAATTCAAAGATGGATCGCTTAGGTGATAAATCCCGAAATCAACTTTATGCACATTTACTGAATGCAGTTCGTGAAGGGTTGACATTCCAGTACAGGCTCTGAACCTTTACTTCAATGGTGAGTCTTATTGTCCTTTAGGTTTAGACTCTTTCAGCTGACCGGATCTGAGCAGTAACCCATCCTGTTGTGTCGCAGGTTAACCCACACGTTCATTTATTCTTCTTTGCCCCCCGAGGCTCAGCTGGAAAGCCTGTAGCGCACAGAAAAGGCAAAGGTGGGCGAGTTCCATCAGTCGCGGCCTCACGCTTTTAATTTCCTTCTTATTCTTCTTTTCTTTTCCTGTTAGGTTGGAGAGGAAACTTTTTATTGTCGGCTGCCGAACAGTGGCTGAAACTAGAGTTAACAAAAAACTTTAAGGTGCGACGGATCTCCCCGCGTATACTGGGACAGCTAGATATACTTTGCTTCAAAGGTTATCCGTGACCTAGAGCTTCTTCCACAACTTTTGGGCCAAGATTGGTCTAGTGTATTTTTGCAGCGCTTTGATGGAGCTGTCACGTATGTATCGTACTCGTTCTGTTTTTCATACGACTTACATGCTGGACAACTAGAATATGGCCTCGGACACGAATTCTGGTTTGTACCACTCTGTGTATTGTGTCGAAATGTCGCTCACAACCTTCATTATCATGAATCTCATCTAGGATTGGATCCATATTCTGAGCGATCCTGATCCAACCGAACTCGCTAGGCTAATGCGAGTTGGTCAATTCGTCACATGGCCAAAGGTAAACGACCGACAGACGTCTTTGATATTCATGCTTACACTTCTTGTCAAGCTGCATATGATCGAAAATCGCTATCGAATAGAAAAGCAGATACTGCTAGGCCGTAAAGCGGTCCGCAAGGCAATGCAAACTAAGATTAGACCCACGCCTGTAGACTCTCAGGACCTTAATGTAGCGGACGATATGCCCGAGCCGATAACGGGTACAAGGTTACCCCAGGTTTCGGCCTCAGCTACGATGAATGCTGAGCCTCCTATATCTATGGACACCGATGCAGAGACGGCGTTCACTAGCAGCGGGACGGCCTGGTATTTCAGACGCGGTCGACCTACTGCTATAGCCACTCCAGAGTCTGGAGTGTCTTCGCCTTACGAAAGTGGCTATACTAATGCCACCGACCCTCTTCGATCCCCAATGTTGCGCCGGAAATGGGCATCAGAGCTGCTTGATCAAGAACCGATGAGTGGTGAAAGTTCTTCTTCGAAAACTGCACGACCCGCTACTCCCGATCCGCCGCCACCACAATCGCCGATTACAGTACCAAGAAGATTGCACTTATCATCTCCCTCGAATTTCCTTAGCAACTTGAAGCTTCGCCCTAAATCCTTCCCTACCTTATCTTCAGCATTCTCTACGAGGCACAGAACTGGCAAGGCTCCGGTAAAGGAACCCAGTCTAGACATGGACCCAACTTGGAGCAGTGACACGTCTTCAGAAGAAGACTTATCACTGGACGAGAGAAGGCATTTGCATCATCCATCCACCCTCCAGCTGTCTCCTCGAGCAGATACGGACTCAGATTCTGCGGAAGTTGATATACAGCAAGTGAACAGTATAGATTCGGAGTAATGCCATGATAATAATTTGTAGCTGATCGAGTATCATATTGTATCTCTAGCTTGGGAGGATTGAATATTACCTGAATGTATTACTGTAGTATTAATGTAATGCTGTCCTGTTCATGCGTGGTAACTAGAACGTGACTCGGACTACCGCCGCGTAAATAGGGGTTTCAACTTGAAGTCATCTCACGTTTACTGCTGTCTGCCTCATTCTCAAGCACATACACCATAGAACATCCTGATACCCTGTCTCAGATCAACTGCAAAGCAACCATGTCTGATTCAGACCATATTCTGGATGCAACCCGCCCTCCACTAGACGTGATCGCTGCTGCTGCTGAACGTCGGACTCAGCAAGATACTCACCTTTCTGGCGCTCAGCTTCTCCAAGAACATGATCAGAGGCAAATGTTCCGACGTCTGATTGATCCCGGCATATTTCGCCCCAATTCAAAAGAGGTTGCTTTTGTATCATTAAAAGTACTAGTGCACTGTTTTCGTGTGACGCTGGAAAAGCCGTTCATACCTACTTCTCTAGACACTCTTGACATTGGCGGAGAATCTGCTTCGTGAACCAGATAATCTCAAATTTCAGCAGTTCAAGGCTACAAACGATACAATCAGACGACGTTTGATAGAACCGAAAGGGACTCTCGAATATGCCATCGCAGTCCGTAAATCACTACTAGTATAACTTTTAATGCAGCTGACTCAAAATCTCTTTTGCATCCCAATGTTACCTAGCTTGGATTTCGCCCTGATGTATGTGAGAATATGATACAGATGATGATATGTAGCTCATCAACGTACCCTGACAGGTCAAGGAGTTTCAGCCAATATATGTATTCAACCCACGGAAGATGGCAGAGCTAAGGATGGGTGCTGCCATACTGAGGGAAGCCGTCGACCTCGAGTCTCAAAAGCAAGAGCGCGCCCAACGATCTAAAAAGGAGGAAAAAGCTGCAATTGAGGCAGCCGCACAAAATGCAAAGTATTCCGTCATGAAGACCAATATCATTGCTAAAACTAGTATATAGGTGAAACTTGCTTTCCTGGATGACCGCATGACAAAAAAGATGCGCGATCAAAGAGAACGACAACACAGAGAATCTCGAAAAGATGACGGTCCCATGTCACCGTTGACGCCAATTCAAGCATCTTCGCCATCTCCCAGTGTTGACTTGCAAACTGAAATGCCGGGAGTGGGCCAAACACTGACTTCTTCTGATAGAAACGTAGATAGCCCACCTCCTTACAATGATTGATATCTCAACTCATGGGATTTACATAATGTCACTGCAAATGTGTAAATGAATGCTTGGATCTATGTAGCTTTGACCTATACTATTGATAACAAAATTAAGCTTCATGAGAGATCTGAGGAAGTTGTTTGTCCCTCATCTACGAGAAAGGGAACTTGGAGCGGTCCAACTTGGCTGCAGGAGAAGTAGAAGGCAAGTGAGGGCGAGATAGTGTAGGAAACTGTGACAACGTTCGAAGCGAACTACTAACGGATGTTTCAGGTTCCCTAGGGGTCGTTGAAACTGCTACTCATTAGGTTTTGAATAAAAAATTTCCAGTAATTATATAGACCAACCTGTACCTTGATCATACGCCCTGGCTCGTTGCAGCACCAGGCTTTCCCTTCGGTTGTGCGAAGTAATAGGCTTCGGCGTTGGCTGATCACGATTACTATTAGTAACAGGGCGGATAGGCAACCTTGTTGGCAGAATGGTTGATCTAGGACGGCCTGGTGGCGATGTTGGCGATGTGGGGCTTCTAGCTGGCTGCTGAGGGAGAGTAAGCGTCACGTTTCTTCGAAGATCTGATTTCAGAAAAGTGGGACCATTGGCAGCCTTTGTAGCTGAAGCATTTCTGTGCGATTCTATAATCGCTGAAGGCCCCAACAGCGCTCCATACGACCTGGTGAGCGGCAATGGACGCTGCCCAGTACTTCGTGAAGGCGACGTAGGAGGTTCAGTAGTTGAGCTCGATGACACAGCTTCCGAGTCTGGTCGCGGGAATGTCGGCAAATTCGAAACAAGGGTTGGTCGGTGGCTGACAGTACCAGAACGGCCACGAATTGTCCTGGATAGCAAGCCTTCCGTCGAATGTGATGGGCGAAGGCGAGTAGTCTCGGGTAACGGTTTGTCAATACTCATTTGGGTAAACAAATTCAGGTCTTGAGTATACCCACTAGGGGTCCAGACGACATCATCTCGGAAAACCTCGAAATGTAAATGATGGTGCGTTTTAATTTGCCTCTTTGCCAGTGGACGTTCCTCTTTCATGACAGCTGTATGGAGGTCGGAATGAGTCTTTCTAGATCTTCTGGAGGTGCCATTTCTGATATTTTTGGAATCAAATACTGGGGCACTCGTATCTAAGACAGGGGCCGAAGGATATATCTCAATGAAGGGATACACGGCAGGATCTGAACAAGCTGTTCGTCAAAAAGACGTTAGAAATATCAAAAGCTATTGACGACACCAACATAGCTCAAAAGCTGGATAGCGCGCTGGAAGCCGAGTAGTAATAGAGGCTGATACCACACCATCGCCTTCCACAGGTATTGAACGGTAAATTTCAAAATGAGGATAGACCGGGGGATCTGGATACCACATTGATCAATAAGGCACCAATGATGGATAAAGAGAACACGTACAGAGTTCGATGATGGGGTAACACGCGGGTAATCTCGTTGAAATTGGCTCTATCTCCCTGGTTGTGACCGTTGTGTCTATTCCCGCTGATAAACTGGGATATATGTCGAAGTGAGGATAAACGGCTGGATCTACATCAAATAGATTTAGTTATGAGTGATGTATTTAGTGTTTTTACTTACAGATATTAAAAGTAGGGTATTTTAATTCCAGTGAAATCGAAGGTCGGTCGAGTATTGAACTACTGTTCGGAACTTCTTGTTTCCGGGGACCTGGATATAAGTCAAAATACGGATAGACCGCAGGGTCTAGAAACTATTAGGACCAAAGTGACCCCGTAACCAATTACAGAACATAGAGCTTACAGATGACAAGTGTCGGGTACAGTGTTTTCACTCCTACACGTATTTCAGGTCGGCGCTTGTTGGGCTGAGGAGAGACAGGAGGGTAGAGCTCAATGTTGGGATAGACAGTGGGATCTGGAGAAAAAAACTTTCAGTATGAAATGAAAGCTATCATATTGACTGCTTACAAGGATTAACATTTGGATAGTAAGATGGAAGTTTGGTAGGCAGCTCTCGGGCATTGAACTGGTTGTAATGATAGGTAAGTTTCGTTCCTTCAACGGGAAGACTCGATTTTGGTTGAGGCAAGAAGAGTGAGACATCTGCAGCCAGTACAGAGGGATACAGCTCAAAGGCTGGATAGATAGCGGGATCTGTTTCTCAATGAATCAGATATTCTGACAAGATGATAGACAGGGATCAAAACCCATACAAAGATTAAAATTAGGATAAGTCATATCTAAACGAACGCTGAGCAGATCCGACTTGCGATAGTCGGTATTCATAGGGGGAGATGCAACTTCGATAACCCTTGGATAGATGTCAAAGTTTGGATAGACAGAAGGGTCTGGCATGATGTCAGAATATGATGTACACTTGATGTTAGGTACCCACAGATATCAAAAACAGGATAAGCGGTGTGAATTTTCACATTTAACGATCCATCATCCATTTCCTTGTCGACAGTGGAAGAAGTAGACTGGCCAAGCTTGGGATACGGTTCTACGAAGGGATATACCGAAGGGTCTGACACAAGGTGAATTGCAATTCCTGAATAAAAAGAAGTAAAAAGTTGACACACATAGATCAAACAACGGGTAATGAACAGCTAGCTTGACTGTGACGGCTTGGACGTTACTTGCTGTAGGAGAGGAAGCGATGCCACTTGGGTGCTCTATCTTCTGGCCATAATCTAGAGAGGCATCAAGATAAGCTTTAAATGCACTCGACAGACGAAAATTGGGGAGTGATAATGGAAGTGGTGTTCTACTCCGGTCACAAAATCATGGGGGAAGAATGAAAATATCAATTTACGTTTAACATCGATGAAGCTGTGCTTGAATGCAGGATCTGTGGAGAAAGGTTAGATAGAGACTGAACTCTAACGACGTGAACACACTGACAGATGTCAAAGTCCGGATATTGTGATGTTCGGACCTTGTCCCGCTGTGGCTGCAATGTTTCAGGACAGAGAACATGATATGGCGAGACAAATGGGTAAACGGAGGGGTCTAATAGGCATTTTTAGTAAGTCAGGGTTTGAGACGAAGTTAAAGATAGCATACACAAATCAAACCACGGGTAATGTGCAGGTAGTCGCACGGAGCTGTGGCGCTCCTCTGAATGAGTAGCAGGATAAATCACGTCCAAGTTGAAAGGATATTGGGCAGGATCTGGATTCATCATCGTATCAACTAATTAAATATGAGCAAATTCTATACTTACAAATATCGAACACGGGATACCCTGGTCTTAGGGATATGTCAATGTGTTCCTTCGGTTTCAATTCGGATAAACTTTGCTGCGATTTTTTCTCTCCTGCTCGGAATACTGGTGGATACAAGTCGAAGTGAGGATAGACCGCAGGATCTGGTCAATCGAAAGTTTGATATCATTGATAGAATCATAAGTCAGGAAACAGCGACTTACAAATATTCAATGAAGGGTAATGCATATGAGAGTCAACGAGCTGAGAACCAGCAGGCTGTAACTTTGTGGCAGACGGGCCTGCTCCAACAATGGCGGGATAGAGATCAAAATTAGGATACGCATCAGGACCTGCGGTCGTAAGTCAGGTGAAGTTACCATCGGTACAGGGTGAATATCTTACAATTTTTGAGGTTTTGATATTTACTGTAACTCCCTTCCACTAAGGCAACAGGTTGTGCTTTTTTCATAGAAACATCCCCAGCTGAAGCAGGATAGAGGTCAAAATGTGGATATACGTCAGGATCTGTCGTCATAAGTCAGGTAAGACTTTCCGCTGATACGGAGTGAATATCTCACATATTTTGAAGTTTGGATATATGCTGCGATATTCCACAATAGGCTGAGAATTTTCAGACGCGACTCCTCCAGCTGGAGCGGGGTAGAGGTCAAAATATGGATATACGTCAGGATCTGTCGTCACAAGTCAGGTAAAACTTTCCGCTGATGCAGAGTGAATATCTCACATATTTTGAAGTTTGGATATATGCTGCGATATTCCACAATAGGCTGAGAATGTTCAGACGCGACTCCTCCAGCTGGAGCAGGATAGAGGTCAAAATGTGGATATACGTCAGGATCTGTCGTCACAAGTCAGGTAAAGCTTTTCGCCGATACAGAGTGAATATCTCACATATTTTGAAGTTTGGATATGTGCTGCGACTTTCCACAATAGGCTGAAAATTCTCAGACGCGACTCCTCCAGCTGGAGCGGGATAGAGGTCAAAATATGGATATACATAAGGATCTTTGTTATGTCAGTGGAACCACTCGAGAAAAAAGTAATGCAACTATCTCACATATTTTGAGATTTGGATATCTACCGAAAACATCTCCCGAAGCGTCCGTTGTTGTAGGCTTAACTGTAACACTCTTGCTGCGTTCAATATAAGGCCAAACATGGGGCCAGGGGGTACCTTTCCAGGGGTCAGTGAGATGGGTAGCAGATGCTGCCGCCACAGCTCGCAACTCGGTTGGGGCATCAGTATCATCGAGCATACGCTGCCCCAGATCAGGAGAAGGTAAGCGACTGCAATCTGACGCTACAGAATACCAGTCATTGTCAGGAGGTCCCCAGCTGGTTGCAGTGGAAGGCGTAGGAGGATAGTCGTCGACCATACGTTGGCCAAGATCAGGAGAAGGGAGTCGAATGATGTTCGAGATAACCGACATCCAATCGTCGTCGGGAGGACCCCAGCTTGTAGCCGTCGTCGGAGTTAAGACCATAGATCCTTCTAACCTGCGATCGAGGTGTACCGATGGGACACGAAATGGAGACAATGGCGACTCAGGTAGGTCGCTGGGAGGTCCCATTGAAGAGATAGACCAACTAAAATCATCTAAGTTGAGTTCAGGGATAGATACAACACCTTCACCCTCCTGCGGCGAGTCATTCAAAACCTCTGAGGCCGGTACATCTTCTGCTCCCATGCTAAGCTGATAAGCGGATATGAGTGGTGTTGGTGCCAGCCTAGCACTCGCTCTCCATGTATTTACACGTCTTTCTAGATCTACATGACTCGATTGCGGTGCAGCGGACTGAGGGATCGGTGACAGCGCATGCGTAAGTTGAACAGCGGGCGGTGAAATATCAACATGTTGCGATGGTTTGGGACCAGAAAGGAGGGAAAGTGTGTCCAGACGATCGACAAGTGAGAGTTTTCTGGGAACATGGCGAGTGGCATTGGATTTAGCAACCGAATGCTGCACTACGGAGTTGTTTTCCGATCGTTCGTCACTGCCGTGCCCTTCGGCAAAGGTAGTCCGGCTATCACCTCGCCAGTGAGAAGGATGAATCTGAGAATGCTCCATAACATCTGCGGCGTCCCGTAAAGACGCAGAGATCCAAGCATCATACCATCGGGCTTTTGCTGCATCGATGTCGAATTCTATTCGGCCACTGATAGGCAACTGGTGGTTAATAGTTGATGGGGAACGTGCTTCGAAAAGGTGACCCCATAGATACTGCCACGAGTCATCAGAGATACGAGGTGTCATGGTGATCCCGTTTTCACTAATGTGAAGATAGAGACACAGGCCAGCAGTGCTAGGGAAACTAAACTCGCGAGCAATGGCAGTAAGCTGTCCATACATCTGATGGTATGGGTTAGAAAAGCTTTAGACGAATTCACGACCAACACACGCACAGTGGGAAAGAGGGGCATCAGAATTCCCTGGGACAAGCGCTCTCGTGGTCCCAGAGATGAAACATGCCTATGATCTGGAGGAAAGTCTGGGGGAGGAACAACGACAACCAAATGCCTCGACACTCGGTGAAGAGAACGATCGCGAGTGTCGCGTAAACCGGTATTATGATAAGCCAACGTCGAGGTTCTTCGCAATTGGGATCCTGGTCGCTCGGGCGGTGATATCAATGAATGAGAAATCCCCGAGTCGTATTCTCCTCCCGTTCCTACGGGACCTGCCAGTGGTGTAGTCGTCAGCTGCGAATCAAGCTCAGTCTCAGGTGGAGTTAGCGGCGTAATATGCTTGATATAATCGTAGACAGGCATTTTGTGAAATGGAGGGGCCGTGAAACGAGACATCCTCTGGCTCTTGTAATTTGAGGATATGCCAATATCAGCCTATTAATGGTCTGTGAAAAAACCGTGAGTGGAGTGAAAACGAAAGGTTAGTAATGGCCAGCACTATAGAGTTATGTGAAGGTGAAGAGGTTTCACAGCGAATGATTGGATCACGAAAACAGTGCAAGTCCGAGTCACCACGACGACCGACGGGGCGTGTAAAAAACAGCATCTTTGGGAAAGCAACGAACTGATTGGGGAATTGTGAGGTACGGTGCATGTCTTGGTTGGACATATCTTCCCGAACTGTCCCGCTAGAGGAAACCCAATAGCTAAGCATTCGCATCGGTATCAAAGCCCACCTGTGGGCCGAGTGCCATTAAAGCCGGATAAAGGTGTATCCCCCTTGCATCTCCCAGAAATATCTTAGCTATGTCCCAAGTTAGATATGGATAGCTGAAATGAAAAAATCCAGATGTTTACAACGAGATAACAGCAATATGGATAGTCCATGGTTGCAGAGAAAAGAGATCAGTTCTGGTCAAGTCTGGTTAGGCCACGTGCATTCCATGTGCCGTAGCGGAACGGAGGTATAGGCCACTTGCATGGGATGTAAGCATTATTGAGTGTAATCCTTCATTAGCGTCGCTCGTGGCCCATTAACCAGCCAGTTCTCGCCATTGAACTACCATCCACATGGAAAGCAAATTGGTCCAGTTTTCTTCTCTGAGTCAGAAGGACAAAGCGCCTGCTTATCTGTCTCTTATCCCCGAAGTACTTTCTCAGTCAGATCAGCCGGCCATCGCTGCAAATTTGCACACCCTTGTAGACACCGTCGTCAACCAGGAGAGCGTCGGTCTTGTAATTGGGAGACAGGTATTGTCAGAAATCGTCAAAAACCTTGAGGCAGGAGCAATCCCCAGCTCTGGACTGCGAAAGCGCATAGTCGAGGACACTCTTGCCACCATCCAACCGCACATTGTCAGCTATGAAGAGCAAGTAAGCTTTTACTCGCCCTCCATACGAAGTTTGACTTACACAATTTCCATTAGGTTAACTCTCTCCGATACCAATTAGCCGATCTCCTCGAATCTGAAGAAGAATGGAGTGAAGCGGCTCGTGTCCTGATGGGCATTTCCGTGGACTCTGGCCAAAGGTTCATCTAAATTTCTCCTTGCTGCTATCTGATATATATTTGACAGTTCATACGAAACAGAGCACTTCCAGATGAAGAAAAACTTCGACTTTACATTCGTATTGTCAGGCTACTACTAGAAGAGGAAGATTCTGTACAGGCGGAAACATACTACAATCGTGCTGCCTCAGTCGTTCATTCGACGAACGATAAGGAAACCCTCCTCCAGTTCAAGTTGTGTCAAGCCAGGATCAGTGATTATGCTCGCAAATTCCTTGAAGCCGCTATGCGGTATCACGAGCTCAGCTGGGTCGCAGAAATTGACGAAGAGGAAAGAAGAGAAATACTGTAAGCACTTCTTCCTCTTTTCTCATCTAATGATAAACGTGGATAACAACTCTACACACAGGTCAGCCGCCGTCACATGTGCTGTTCTTGCTCCAGCAGGACCCAATCGCTCTCGAGTTTTAGCCTCTCTTTACAGAGATGAACGATCGGCTGAACTACCCACTTTCAACATCCTGTCCAAAATGTTCCTAGACCATATCTTACGCCCAGCAGAAATAAAATCTTTCGAAGAGAAACTCAGACCGCATCAGCTTGCCAAAATAGCCATATCTTCCAATGACCAACTCGCGTCAACGATTGATGACGACGATTTGAGCGAACCCAATGCGAGCACGCGGAGAGGACCCGCTACCGTCCTGGATCGCGCCGTTATGGAACACAATCTTCTCGCAAGCTCAAAAATATACAATAACATTACTTTTCGTGGGCTCGGCGGGCTCCTGGATCTGACCCCTGGTGCTGCGGAAACCATGGCCCGGAAAATGATTGAACAAGGCCGCCTCAAAGGCTTTATCGACCAGGTAGATAAACTCATTTGGTTTGATGATGGGAAAGAGGAAGACGACGCACAAGGCAAGGCGGGTGGCCTGGGAGACGTTGAGCAGAGTACCGAAGATACTGGTGCTCCGTTTACTAAACGTTGGGATATGCAGATCCGGATGACAGCAGCTAATGTAAGCAGTACAATAAAGAGAATCACTAGTGTCTCATTTACTTTTCTAGGTCGACTCGATTGTTCAACATTTAGCGGAGAAGGGCCTGGTCAATATGGTGGATGTAGCAGCGTAATATTTGTATGATATCCGTGTACAGTCTTCGTAACAATTGTAAATGATATGATGCATGCAACTGGTGTCCATATTGATACACGGATTGATATATATTACGGTGGTCCAGACTCCAATTTTCTTCGCTTTTTCGCCCTCTCGCGCTTAGTTTCTAATTCGTGCCATTCTCCTTCAAGAGTGGAGAGCCTATACTGAAGATTAGCTAGAGTTATTAGCGATTGATATTATTACACGAACCCGACAGGTAACGCCGCTGGTGGGTCTTCAGTTATAAAGTATGGAGTCTCGAGCGCTTGAGATGCGCTGACTCGCTTTGCAGGATCATACGCAAGAAGAAGTTCTGCGAGATCGAGAGCTGCTGGTGACATCCACCTAAAAGCGAGACGTTAACAGCATTCACTTAGATCTCAATACAAACCTCCAACATACCTTTGGAACAGCTCTCTGAAGTGATCAGGTATCACCTCCTTTGGCTTAACAAGCTCGTACCAAGGCAGCTCGGTAACGCCTGGCCATCGCTCTGGCGTCGGAGTGCCGAGTATTTTATAAATTACATCCAGCTGGTGTATCTCGTCATTTCCTTGGAAAATGGGCTTCTTCGTATAGAGCTCCAGCATTATACACCTATGATAATGTCAGCGACTCAGGTAGGACAGTGGGATAAAAATGTATATACCCTGCACTCCACATGTCTACTTCGGGCCCATAGATAGTTGCCCCAAACAAAAGCTCCGGAGGTCTATACCACAATGTGATAACCCTGTTAGTGTAATCGCTGCGGCGACGCTTTTGATAAAATCGAGCGAGTCCAAAATCTGCAAGCTTCAGTTCTCCCTTGTTATTGATAAGGATGTTCGAGCCTTTGATGTCACGATGGACAACTCCTTTGTGATGAAGATATGCCAAGCCGCCAAGCATTTGGCTGCACAGCGACTTCAGATTGGCTTCAGAGAACGAGAACTGGGTCTGTGATAAGACTCCTGTCAAGTCATGATCCATGTATTCAAAAACCATGAAAACTGATCCTGGAAAAAATTTCAAATTTATTGCGTCCGTTGAAGCCTAGCTACTCACCGTTGGAAACCATCATCTCATAAAGTCGCACTATATTTTGATGTCGCAGCGATTGGAGAAGTTTAATTTCGCGCATAGCGGTTACGGGGAAGCCATCTCGTTCGGCCTCCATGCGGATCCTCTTGAGCGCAACATGCAAATTACTGACAGTATTGCGTGCTTTGTAAACCTTTCCGAATGTTCCCTCACCAACTTGGCTGACAATAGCATATAGCTCTTTGTGAGCGACTGCGGAAGGCGTTGAAGGTCTGGGCCGCTCGTCGACATCTCGGTTAACGACCTGCGGCTGTTGGAGAGGAATAATTACGTCGTTATTCTCGGAGTGCTTGGGCAAGCTGGGCTCTGGTTCAGTGTGACGTCGTGGGCTATAAGGAATATCGTGCGGAGGCTCAGCAGGCGCATCATCGGGAACATATACACGGTCTGCAGCATGTACACTGAGAGATGTCTTCACCGATACGGCCTCATGAGTTGGTCCACGTGTAGTATTACTGCGTCGATCGATGTTTTCGTCCTCACGAGTGTGTTTTCCAAAGCCACCACTTGCCACTCGAGGGACAGTTATCACTGGGGATGGTTGCGATGCAAGGTTGTCGTCTTCTTCATCGTCATCACCAGGGAAAAATCTCTTAACCGCAGAGCTAGTTTGACCGATTGGTTTGAAACCAGCTCGTCCTAGAGTTACTGGACGGGCTCTGGGAGTATGGGTCTCCGTAGAACGCTCAGATAATGTACCGGAGCGGATTGACGTTGAAGGAGATGGTGGTGCTTGGGAAACAGCGGACGTAGGCACTATGGAGGGGGGGGGCATTTCAACACCAGAACCCCATTGGGCGTGGGGTGAAGCAGCACGGTTTCGCTTTATAACAATAAATAAAAGTCAGATCCTTTGTGCATCAAATATGAACTTGAACATACATTTACATGTTTCCCATTCGTCTGATTTCTCCCATTTCGACGCGAATCAGGATCCCGAGAGTGAAGCAAGTTGGAACGTTGTTGTAGGCTAGTCTTGGAGATTGATAAGGAAATTTCCTTGATGGAAGTTGCAGGGGGCAAACGATGCTTGGCTCTTGGACGGTCGACAGGGCTTCTGCTAGAACTTCGACTTCGACTTGTGGTAGAGGCAGAGGATATGCTTCGCCGTCTGGGTCGTGCCCGGTGGTCTCGACCACGTTGCGACGAAACAGGAGATCTGGAGTACTCCCTCTCCTGATAACGCCAGGGACGGCCTCTGTCGCTAGGAGTACGACTACGAGGCCTCACCGGACTCGAAGCCCTATGTCGACGCCTAGGAGACACAGACCTCGAGCGTGAGCGAGATCTACGAGAATAATGCGAGTCTGGCGATTGAGAACGAGAGCGCGACGGCGAGCGCACGGCTCGACGTTTCGTTGGAGTTTGTGACTTCTTTGAAGTTGTGTCTCTCCTCTGCCAACTACATGCACATATTCACTAAAAGTTAAAATATGATAAGGGGAAATTACATACTTATTAAGATTGTCTTCCTCCGTCCGCCGCTCCCGCCGTTGCTTGTGTTGATTCTGGTTTTTCTTTCCTCCCTTGTTGTTTCTATTGAACCCGTTATTCCGAGAACCATTATGACCGCGATAACCCTGATCTCCGCTATCTCGCCATGTAGAGCTAGGCTCCCAAGATCGCTCATCGCCGGGCAAATGAGAGACATCTTGCCCTCGACGAGAGCCGCTACGACCTTGGGTTCGGTCCCGTCGTCGTGGCTCCCATCCATTGTCCCTTCGCGCACTTTTCGAGTCATTTTCTCGACGGTCCTCCCTAGGTCGACCATGATCATAAGAGTCTCTATCGCGCCGGTCGTCCAAAGTTGAACGAGTCCATTCCTCCCCCGCATCACCTCTTCGGTCGTCGAGAGTGGCTACCGAATGACCCCATTCATCTCCTGTATCGCCTCGTCGGTCGTCTGAAGGCCATGATTTGTAGTTGCTAGCCCTACCCTCGTAGGAAGCAGAGGTAGCCCACGAATTTGATTCGTAAGTTGAACCTGAATTTTTTTGGTCGTAACTCCTTGTATGCTCTCTTGAGGATACGTGGTGCAAGTCGTTTTTAGTTCGGCTCGAGCGTAAATCAGTATCTCGTGAATCAGACACATCATAGTCGTCTCTACTTCCTCGATGGTAAGTATCGGAGGAATGCGGATAAGTATGACGGTCATAAGATGAACGAGACGATTCACGACGAGAGGAAGTTCCCTCCCTATTCATGTTAAAAGAGCCTTTCCCAGAGGAAGAAGGCTTATAACTGTCTCCGTGGTGAGTGTATGAATGAGAACGTGGATAAACCTCATGGTGTGGGTCGTCGACCCGTGAGACTAAGAGAGGCAGGGATGCCTCGTCGTCTTCGCCCGTACTGGGATGCTGACGTCTAGAACTCTCTTGTGAAGCATGCCGCGGCATTGTAGAAGTAAAACTGTGTGCTGAGATGCTGCAGAAGAGTGAGATGCAGAATGTGGGGGGGAAAGTGTGACGTGGAGGATTGAAAGGAAGGGGAAAGAGGCGACGCCCAGTGATGGACCCGCAGATAGATGAAGCAGCTCAGCAAACTGGAAGCAAAACGGGCGCTCAAATCACACAGCAATACAGGAAACACTGCAGCAAAGAAACGTAGACTGGCCAACGGATATGTGTTGGGAAAGAAAAAGGATGATGCAAAGGTTAGTCGGCCGCACGGAAAACAGCAACGACGAAAGAAAACTTACATAACAGCGAAACGGGAGAGTCAGCAGGGATTCTCGAAGGCAACACCAACCATGAAGGGGTTGCAGTAATTGAGGTCCTCCGGAGGATATGTGGACGGCAGTCCTTTAAGGGGAGAGGTCAAAGCTTGAACTTGGTAAAGTCTTTGTTGTCAATGAGTTGGCCTCAAAAGGTCGCCAGTGCTTGACATGCGAAACTGATTTGAGACACGCCCTCAACGACAAAACAATTCTCCAAACAGTCTTCGCTGGAGCCAAAGATAAGCCCGCCAGTAATATGTTCAATTTCACTGTAATGGGAAGAAATGACGAACAACCTAAGACATAGTACATATGCAATTGTGTGCATGTGGAAAGGTTCCATAGGCTACAGAACGTGAAACCTATCGGCCGAAAACGAAGCTGGAAAAAATACATGTAGATTTTGTGACTTAAGTGTACAGTAGTAACGTAAAACACAGCTCCCCACAATACATTGACAACAGCAACTTCAATCCGAGTCCATTTAAGACTGCTATTGGTTAGGGCATTGTGCTACTAGTTCTTCATCAGCTTGGTCACCGCCTCGTTCCGCAAGCAGCCGAAGAGCACGATCGTATCTTATGAGGAATTGTGTAAAGCCAGCAGGTCGATTTGCGAGCCTCTGTGTGGCTGCAATGTTACGGTCTTTTATTGATTCTGCATTCTGAAATCTTGAGAAGAGCCTCTCACGATGCACAGGTGCAAAAAGCTACAAAAATAACGTTTTAGTTATGTTAGCCGTGTTTAGTTTGGGAGAAAGGAAGCGTACCTTGATCGTCGTATCAATACCGCTCACAGCGATGAGTGGGAGGTGTGGATGTCCCTCTATGACATTCACCACACTGCCATCTCCCTCGAGTATATCAACCAGTTTTCCGTCGGATTTGTGCCAGATGAAGAAATTGCCATCATCAGAGCCCGAAGCCACGTATTCATCGTATGGTCCAAGGAAATTAACTGTTTTGTAACAATTTTCAATATGCATAGAGTCTATCACGAAACTTTTCGCTCACCATCCTTCACTGTTTCAATGTTACAGTGCCCCTCAAAGCGTGAACGTGGATATATGACTGGCACACTCTTATGTGCCGTGGAATCAAAAACTGTCCTTTCCTCTTCAGTTTCTTCAGGTTCCATCTCATCGTTTTCTTCATCTTCATCGTCATCGTCATCGTCATCGTCATCGTCCATGATGATGTCTTCTGACCCAGATGAAAATATCGCTGCTAACTCCTCCGCAGCATTTGCCGTCGGAATGTGTTGAGCTGCTGGGCTACTAGATCCAGATGAAGATCCATCTCGTTTACTTTTATGTGTATTCGAGGGTAGCATAGCTGGTGTTTTCTCCCTTTCCGCAACAGGCTCGTCCCTAGTAGAGTACAAATAAACGGCATCTGCGCTATACGCTGCATGTGCAAGTGCATTTTTGAGTCAAAGAAAGCACACCAAATTCTCGCAACTTACAAAGAAGTACCTACTCAAGGGTCAGTATCAGTGAAATTTCTTTCTCGAGAATATTGACACATACCTCATGGCCATTCCATGCTGACATTTTCGCACCCGTTATATGCTCAGTCCCTCTTCTTTCATTCCGAGCCCTGGATCGCCTTCCAAACCGTCTCACACAAGTTGTCACGTCTTCAGCACGGGGCAACACACCCCATTCCTCCTGGAGAAACCGACCTGTGTGACGCCTATCGAATAAATAAGCCTATCGTTACAAGTTATCCGTGGAATATGTAGCAAATTTGCATGAAGGTCGCTTGAGTTATGAAGGTACAGGTAGAAATCAACTCTACTCACATATGGAGACTCACCTCCGACCACAAATTGATAAGGGGTCAAGGGAGACAGTGCGATAGTGGACAAAGCGTGTGGAAGCTTGACAAGTGGTGCAGGGCATTGTTCCCCTGAGGTGCAAGAGTGTGGCGGTGTTCGCAGATCATGTTGACGCACTTGTCCATCCTGTATGATAACATTCATGAGGACATAGAACATGCCAGGTGATAGTGTATGGGTACCTCAGCAACGGTAAGAAACAGGTCTGGACTCTCTTCCGTTACAATGCGTTTGGTGCGCTTTGAATGGCAGCGAAGAACCCGGATACAAGATTCGCGAGTACTGTAATTCGTTTTCCCTGTTGACGATGTACCTAAACTCTCGCCAATATCGAAAACACGAACTTGCTTGTCCGCTGCTACAGAAGCTCTATAGTGGATTCGAATGAGGCACAGGTCGTAAATCCAATTCAGCAGAAAAAATCCAGCATCCACTTACATTCTGGTTGAGAAAGGCAGGATTTGCGCGTTGAAGATATTGCCTTTGTGCCCTGTGTTTATGACGGCCTGACAAGCAAAAGGGTACTCCTTTTCCGAGTTTGTGGTCATGTCCATACGCCATACTCGTATACTACAATTCTCCACCCCACATCATAGTCAATATGGGTTACAAGTAGAGTCAACTGATGTACGCACGTAGTATCATCTCCACCAGTTATCAACAATTCCCCATCCTGTGCCCAACTCAGTGCGTTAACACATCTGAACCCCGAGTAAAGTAAGTAAAGCAGTCATCAGTTTGCTGCACTTCTGCGAGGAAAGAATGTTACGGATGTACCCTGTGTGGCCGTTCCTCGAGTCACCTAACACATTCACTCTGTCAAGGGAACCACGTAGGGCATACCCCATCGTCCAGCGCTTCCACTGCTGCGATCGCGATGCAGATGGTAGACTTTGGGCCAAGACATACCGACGAGACCTTTTCACAGGCGAAGAGGGATCTGGAAGCGAGTCGTCGAAGTTTCTCAGTTCCATCAAGACGCTATTGCCAGTTGGGTGTCGACTCAATGATAACTTGAAGTACAGCCATGCATTTTCAATAACTCGAATAACTGCAGTGAAGTGAAGAACCGGACAGTAAAACCAGCTTGCCATATACGTCACTACTGTGGGAAATGTGCAGTTGGCAAGTTCGATGCAAAAGTCACAAACAGTGGATATTATACATGGAAAATCATACATTAATCGACGTGAAAAACGTTGTCAGTTAATGTGCAGAGCAATAACACCGGAGCAAAAGGTTATCTACGGAAATCCAGTGCTCGGACAACGTGGTATTCATATTCATGATATCCTTAGGCAGCAGTTGCGAACCCAACAGCATCCCTACCCAGGTCGTAAACTGTGAAGTAACGTCGCAGGAATACATCACCTGTTCATAGCGTTTAGTAAGGGTCGATTCAAGTGTTAACATATACTTACCAATGATCCACAGAGCACCCCCTGGCAGATTGATATCAAGACCAGTAAAAGCAGAAATACATGTGCCTTGCACATTGAGGATATAATCAGTGCCCTTCAGTGGGTAAGGCTTTCCGCCAAAGTAAAACGACAGCTCAGGTAAACTAGGCACTTTGGCGCAGTCAACTTGATATTGACCATTCCATGACCTCGTTGCACCAATTTGCGTGTTAAGCATCTCCGCAACGTCGGTGGGGAGGGCGATCAAAGAGGTACCTTTAAACAGCTTTAAACAACATAGTATATGATGAAGTAAAGGCACTTACCCGTGTCGATAGCAGCTCCGGTATTCTCGAGATCAAGCTCATCACCACCGAAAGAGACCTTCTCGAGCTCGACTTCCCAGTAAGCCTTACGACGGACAGGAACATAGGTAATGCTACCAGTATAGGCGCTTGAATCAATACCACCGAAGACGGCTTCACCTCCATCATCCTCAGAGGAACCAAGGCGGAAAGAGAACAACGGTTCATCAAGGAGCCCCTGATCAATCATATTGTAAAAGGGAGGCGTGATGTGATTGACTGAGATAGTGTCATAGCCAAGACCCAAGATACCATCGAACCTAGAGTAGTGTCAACAAAATAAAAAAAAGAAGACTTTCGAAAAAAGGCTCACTTTCCAAAGGCAAATGCAAGTCCAGGCTCTTTGGTAGCTTCGGCAAAGTCTTGATGTTGAATGGAAAGATCACCGATCTTCATCGACTCTTGAGAAACAAAGCCCTCCATGGAGCCAGATCCATATTGGATTGAGAACTCTGTACCATTGGCCTTGTATGTTGATGATGATGAAGAGTCATACTTGGTATGCAAGAAACAGGCAATTGAAGTGCACTTCGAACTCGGGACCCACAGATTACTCGACCTAATCACACAAATCCAACGTTAGCGTACGACAATAGTTGAATAAACCCGATACATACCCAGTGTCAAGGATGACTTTGAAAGTCTGAGCAGGAGAACCAAGCGTGATCTCGGTGTAGTATTGCGCATTCATGAAGTCTGAATCAATACATGAGTAAAAGCACGAAGTTAGACACGGCAACACAACTGACTGGTTAAAGGGACCCCGTGGCCACCCTTTACGAGCTCCTCTTGTGTCCAGAAGAGATCACTGTCTTCAGGACGGTCGGGTCGGATGTGACGGCCTGCACCACCCGCGCCCATTAAAGGGAGCTGTTGGTAGGTTGTCTCTGCTCCATACTTCTCTGCTAGGTAGGCGGACTCCAGACCATGGTTAGGAGAAACCTTGGGGAGCTTGTGAAGCTTTAGCTTGTGGACTCCACCTGCAGCGGCAGCGTAAGGAAGGAGGAGCAGGGGAGCGAAAGCGGATAGCAACATTGTGTGGGTTTAGGAAGGAAGGAAGGGGCGCAGCAACACTAAAGAGACAACGGACGAGAACTATATAAATGGGCTGACGTCTGCACCGGCCGGTAGACTCCGGAGTGACTCCACGAAGACCGGCCGATACCGAGAGGGTCGCCGAGGGGCGTGAAACCAAGAGCGGCCACTGGAAACGTTCAAGGGTGTCTCTCTCGTTGTCCTCGTTGTCGTACACGCTACACGCCATGTCTTCAAACACGCGCTCATCACGTCGCACGACGGTCTCGGGTCCATCCAGCAGCGTCAAAAGCACGCCCCCACCGACGCAGCCTGACATCTCCTCCCTCACCACCCTCGAATGTCTCATTCTCGCACAGGCCGTATACGAATACGGCGCAGACTCCTGGCCAGCCATCGCCAAACTGTTGTCGAAGCACCCTCTTCTTTCTCGTCCAAAGTCTTTCTTTACCCCTCAGGTCAGCTTCTTTCTTTCCTACCATGTATGGATCACTCAGGCTTTTGTTCTGTACTTTTTTGGTTCACAGTCCTGTCCTGCTATATACAATCATCTCATGAAAGAAGCTAATCTGGATTGGTGGGCTTATGTTTGTCTATCTCCGGGTGGCTGTATGCTAATAGACCCTGTCTTAAAGCTCTGAAGCTAACAATGCCCCGCATGGTAAGACGGACCATCACTCGCACTTGCCCACTCTGCTCACTTCGAATCCACGCAGCGCAAGCCAATCTCACATTGGCTCAACGTCACTATCGCGCTCGTCTATTCGAACTTCGCGAACTGATCCTCGCCGAGGAAGCCAAGTTTCAGTAAGCAACAGCTCCTATCATACCCACTTTATCGTTCAGACTAACGTTGGTTCTGTAGGCGCGTTGTTGCAGAGATAGATGAAATCCGGGCTGGAAAATGGGACGACAAGACCAAAGCTAAGCACGATGGCACACAAGAGCCATCGCAAGAACCGAAAGAACCAATGTCCCAGGAAGAGATGAGCCGAGTACGCTTCTCGTCGCCCATCCTTCCAGTCAACTCTCATTACCCGAACATTGTAGGAGGATCTCAACCTTCAGACAATGGTACTACCAGATCAAAACAAAACGGTCGAACCAAGCGGGTTCTCCGACAAAACCAAAATACCCGATCGCTTCGCAGTGCCTCTAAATCGGAGGTTGGAGGCTGAAGAGGAAGAGGAAGAAGAGGACGAGGGGGAGCGAGAGAGAGAATTGGTAGGAGCGGCTACTATACCTGTGCTTCAGGAGCAGATTATGTTAGACGAATCGCCCAATCCTGCCCTGCCTTCCCCTCCACCGCAGGTTGGGCAAAAGCAAACACTACCCGATCAACTCGCGCCACGCCCTTCTGATTCTACTATAGCAGTACGTCCAGATATACCAAAGCTGGAACGTCAGGACAGTACAATGGAAATAGAAGAAGTTCAGAGTGCACGATCTCCTTCCTACACCTCAGGCGAAACAAACCGCAATCGTGAGGGCACGTATTCGTTTATATCCGACGTCTTAATGTGCTTATACGCGCCATGCGCCTAATAGGTAAACGAAAGGCTTCTGATGCCGAGGGCGTATCACCTAGTCCAGTGCGAGAGGCGAAGAGACATCGCGAGGAGTCAGAACCTGCAGAGGAGGAAGATCAAGGTATGTTTAGTTTTCATTTCCCGTGCCTTTCTTAGCTGAGTATTTCTCTTGCATGGTAGGTCCAAGCTCCGGTCAGACTCGGAAACGACGACCAACTGGTACAAGCGATCGCGTCGCAGACAAACGGTTCCAGAATGTCATCGGAATGCTGCATTCACAAATATCTCAGCACCGCAACGGTAACATCTTCCATAATCCAATCAAGAATTCGGAGGCCCCTGACTATCACGAGATAATTAAACGGCCTATGGACCTAAAATCAATCAAAGCGAAAATCAAGGACGGCGTAATCAGCACGTCTTTGGAGTTTCAAAGGGATGTATATCTGATGTTCGCAAATGCGATGATGTATAACCGGCCAGGAAGTGATATTTATCACATGGCGGAAGATGTGAGGTGCTCCACATTCATGCCCCGTGCAGCCCTAACCAGGTTATAATTGCAGATGATGATTGAAAGCGAAGTCCATATAAATACCTTTCGACAGACGGAGGGTTTCGTTCGAAGTACTCATCGTTGATACCTGCAGTTAGATTGTCATTATATTAAAAACAAACAGATATTAAAACATGAATTCATTGCTACAGCATGATGATTGGAGATAATACAGGTAGATGCACCAGACACAAATAACAACAAAAGCAAAGGTCAAAACCATGGATGATAGTTCTCCGTCATTTTCATAAGTTGGATAGGATTTGTGGCAGTGGAGATGAGATTCGTAACTGTCTGAACCACAGGGGCTGAGCCCGGATTCGACGGATTTGCTGCGGCCTGTGATACAAAATATCAGAGGGGACATAGTTGTAGGACACGATAGACCTACCTGCTCACGCTCCAATTTACAAGCCATGGTCTCGGCTCGTTTTACCAGTCCATCAATATTGGCAGCTACACTAGTGCGGAACGAAATATCAAATGTCCAGGGCTGCTTCCTGTTATGCAGCCACCACATGAGTTCATCACGAGCGAAGAGACATAGCTGTTGCTCTAGATCAAACTGTAGCATGGTTTATATATGCACCTAAAGATCGTGTGGTAGACCTTACCTCTGGTTCTGTCAGACAGCGACCAATAACCATAATTCCCGAAGTAAGGATACCCTCGGTGAAAATCGGACCTAAGAACCGTTGCATGTTGGGTGTGAACCGGAAGGGGACGGCGTCGTTAGAAGCAATTACTGGCGTTTGACTCGCTTGACCTAAACCGGTGGATCAATTGAGTGGTTTAGAAAATGATAGTGCAGCTACTACTCACCTGGCAACAACTCGCTCATTGCAATTTGACCAGTCGCTCGTGACAGATGGAAACGAGAAGGCGCCCGACTTGTAAGACAGAAGACATACGTCATGAAGCTTGTCGCAGCAAGTTGCAAAGCAAACTGTCTACGCATACGCCATAGTTCCGCAGGCCCATCCATGACACGCATCATGTACTAACAAAGCATATTTAGACACTGGGCATTTCTTAGCATAAATTCCTTAGCTTAATACTCACCTTGGTAAGTACGTCATCAGGAACATATTTGAGAGCAATTTCATCCAAGACATCCTTCTTGAGATTAAGATGTTCCGTTTTACTCGACTACAACTTGTGAACACGAAGATGGAAAGTAAGTTGAAGAATACGCACAGATCTCCCAGCAGACAACGTGAATTCTCTCAAAACATTCTTCACCTTTTCGCCCGCAGCCAAAATTGGCTCTTCCCGAGTAATACCACTGTCTTCACAGTATTGGTCATATATATCACCAAGTGTGACATAGGACGAATCATTTTGCAGCAAGCGAAGACCAGGACTGCACGAGATCACCGCAGGAAGATGGAAACCAAGATTTCGTTTCCTTGATTCCTTTCGACGCGTCAAAGCCCTGAGCCATTATATCAATATCTTTTGCTCAAACTTCGGATAGATCAAGGTTACCCGTTAAATGTACAGAACATCTGCATCACCCTTTCTTCACGTCGGGAATGTCGCCCCGAAGGTAATTGAACCGAGAAAGAAACTCTGGAGTTATCGCTGCCATGAACTGTAAACCTCCTCCAGCCATAACCATGAGAACGACAATTCTCAAATTTTGGCCCGAATTTATGGATACGAACAAAATTCTGATTACTATCTTTGTCCTACATGCATATTTAGAAAATGGGCAGGAAATGGGACAATATTTACTAACCTCTGTGTATTGACCAGGCATTTCAATTTCATCAAATTTTCCATACTGAAATTCCGTTAGATAATGGCTCAACAAGTCCAGTGATTGAATTCGAGGGCGAGAATCAATATATTTTTCGTATCGGTCACGCCACTGCTGCAGTCGGCGTATATATTCATTATGGGTAGGCTTGCTTCGTAGGAAGTCTTCTTCATATTCTCTCTGTAGCACACACATGAGTATGTGTGGAAAGTTTAAACTGGAAGTACCTCACCCGTGAGGGCCCTGATAGATTAGAGGCCATCTTAACCAGATGATTTATTGTATGCGGTGTCAATTGACCATCGTCTTCTGTGGAGTTCATCCGCATGACATAACTCTGATTTGCGATTCAGATCAAGATTAACTTCGTACGAGTATATAAAAACAAAACTCACCTGAATCGCATCTTGCAATAACATGCATATGAATCTATAAATCTCCTCTTCCGACGTAGCCTTGAACCTCTGCAGAATTTGGTCTACCATTGTTTCCATACTCAGAATCAACAATGGGAAAGCAGTTTTGAGTATCTGAACAACCTCTTCTACATACTCCCAGGGCTGACGAACGGGGTACGCTGGCGTACCGTCAGTCGAAATATGGCCATTGGATTGAGGAGCAGCTGGAGGTTGGCTTTGGGTGCTATGGGTTGTACTGTCTGAATTAGGTTGAGAGGTGCGCTGTAGGCCAGTGCCGTCGGATGTAGATGCGTCTTTCTTTGCGATGTCAGCATTTACTTCGCCAGTAGCATCGCGCATAAGCTGATCTGCATCAGGTCGTTTTGTGCCATTAGATACAGTGGAGGCATGCTTTGCATTCAAAGCCTCGGCAGCATTTTGCTTTTTAACCATCGCCATTTCTTCTCGAGTAGTGCGAAGATGGAAGAAAAGGGCCTGAAAAAAATGGAAAATCAGGAACATTTGGAGAAAATCATGCCAACAGACAAACCTGAGGGTATAGTTTTGCAAGATTGAGGAGGATATATCGCGCCTGCTTCACCTCTCGCTGAGATATGGATAGACATAATTGAGGTATTAATGTTATCCAATACCAAAATGCGGCTTCTCCTTTGTAAGTGTCAAAAGATCGAGAAATTGTGAAGCTACCATCGTCTACGCTGAGCAACCACAATACCCTAGTAAGGAGTGGTCGACTTTTGCCATTTTTATATTGCCCCGCTGCTTGAAGGTAACAGCTAACGGCACTGGCAGCATGGGACATATCTGTGGGAATCTCCTTGAACATGCGATCGCTATATCGGCCCCACTCTGCCCATGCTTTAGCTTGAGTCATATCCATCTGGACTGCTTGTCCAAATGCTTGGTTGGCTTCGTCATTTCGACCAAATCTGGCATGAAACATGCCCTTCAAGGTATAAAACTCGGCTTTTTGAGAATTTGAGAAGTACATCAAGTTCGTGTTGTTAATGACTTCTAGCCCGGCTTGTAAATCGTTCGGCTTTTGGTAGTGGCAACGAGCTTGTTCGCGAAGTTTCAAGAATGCCTCTGAGATCTCGATGTTGGGTAGGGTGTATATCTTATTCAGCGAGCTGAAACAGACGTCCAGAAGATCGTGTTTCCGAGCAACATGAGCAAATCGATTGATGATCCAAGCAGTTTCGTGATAGCCGCGATAGCCAGAGGTGTTGAAGTTCGTCGAAGCCGCATTTCCTCCTTGGTTAGTGCTTGTGATGAGCGGAATGTAGGCTTTGTTGATAGCATTGAACACATTCTGCCGCCAAGCAACCAAGTCACTCCATATACTGATATCATCTTGAAGGTTTGGTAGCCGTTCACGCCAGGCTTGAAGAACCATCTTCAAATCAGACGACTTCTTCTCCAGATTCTGTGCATTTGTGGTCGAAAGTGACCCAAAAATTTGAACAGCCTCCTGAAGTTCAACAAATTGCTGGAAATGCTGTAATAGTGGAACATGAGCAGCCGAGAGATGAGGAGGAAGGCCAACCCATTTCCGGAGTGATAGCTGCATGGCGTCTTCAAGTATCTTGGTAAACTCTGCATTTTTCTCCAAGGCAGCAGGAGCTCTGAGTAATGCGAGGAACGCTTCAAATACTCGACGTCTAGGGGTCGCAACTTCGGGTAGCTGATTAACTTGTTCTTCCAGAGATTCTCTACTCTCCGCCCAATCTTTAATCCTCCATGCGCTCTCCAACATTAGCTCTTGATTCGACTCTCCTCTAGCGAGTTCATGCAGTGTATCCCATTGTTGCAGCTTCTCGGCGGACAACATCCAGTGGTCTTCCCATAGGCAGTACTCCGGTTCTGAGAATGCTATAGAACCTTGTCTAGACTTATTTTGTGCATTTTCATAGATATTCGATGCTTGCTCCCACATGCCATTCTGCTCGAAAGCAATGGCCATGTTCGTTTCCAGGTGCAAGCACCGGCGGCGCCATAGCCCATAGAACAAATCCTCCTCTGCCAATTCTGCATACACATCCGCAAGAGAGTCGTAAACATTTTCTCTCACGGAAACTTCATCATCTTTAACGTGATCAAGAGAAGCTTCCAAAATTTCGAGGCCGATATACCAAGCGCCGTAAGTTTTTGCGAGATACTTGATTAAGTGGGGAGGCAGAATCATAGGAGGAGAACATGCATGTGTACCTGCCAAAAGGGTCTGGATGACATTTGGACGCATCTCCACTTGTTTAATGTGATAATCCTTACTAAGAAGACTTGTCATATGATGAGTGATGTCAATTTGCTCTCGTCTCGAAAGGCAGGACCATGCAGCAGAGAAGACGGATATCCAAGCGTCATGTGCCGTGTCAGGATCTAGAAAAAGTAGTCGTTGCATTGGCCGAATGATAGAGAGTGCTTTTTGCTGTGGAATGAGCTGGGAAATCTTGGTCTCCATCATGATCTTGCGTTCCGCTACTATAGGTATGTCGGCGTCCATAGCACCCAGCAAAAGGTGCAGTGCAACATAAATCCAGTTGTGGTCAGCTAACGCCTCCCAGCTTTGAACACCGAGTATATAGGATAGTCGGCTGGGCAAAGAGCGAGGAACGCTGGTATCGAGAAGGTCCATAAAACGCTCGCGAAGAGACGGTTCTCGAGCTCGGCAACCTATGAGGAAGGGCTGTTCTAACCGCGTTGTTAGATCACTGCGGCGCAGGCCAGGTTCCGTATAGATATCGTAGATAAGCTCAAGGTAGTCGTGAAACAGTGGCTCCCCGCGTAGCTCATACGCCACCATCCTTTGTAATAAACTCGCCTTCTCCTTCATGGTTGGATATGCATCGTGTCTGTGTAGAGCCCAATCCCGTGCCAAACCTAGGATAAAGCGACAAAGTGAAGGGCTCTTTGACTTCTCCACGAGAACAACCAGGGTGCTAAGAAGCCATCGTCGTGCTTCACCGAAATAGGCGACAGAGAGCTGGCATATTTCTAGGATGGATATCATTAGACGGACACCATTTTCCAAGCCATTTGCACCTGGCGTAGATAGAACGTGTTCTTTCGCCAACTTGCTCAATAACTTCATTAACGGTGAGCTGAAGGGTTCTACTCGTTCTGCTGAAACCTGCACTACCGACTTCAGCATGAGAAGGTTACCGCGTAGCGCAGTGGTGTTCTTCAAGCCATCGCCAATAGCCGTGTAAACAAAACTGTGAAAGTCGGCCATTTCGCCTTCTTGCTGCTCTTCCTCTTTAGGTAGAGGGAACAAATTGAGCAGGCGCTCGAATATAGGGTGAAGAGCGTCATGCAGACCGGATTCATCGGTAACTAACCCTTTACGCACGAGCTTCTGCAGAACGGGAGCATTCGCGAGATACCAAGCATCGTCTTTATCTCCCGATATAACTTGAAGAACCTTGGCGGAACTAAGTGCTTGGGCGATCGTAGCTTCAGTACTAAGATCATTCTGAAACCCTCATCAGTACCACTATATTGGAAAGTAGAAAAATGACATTACCGTCTCTAATGTACGAGAAAAATAAAACAGCTTTACTGTAACATCACTCCATCCTGATGGTCCGACCATTAACTGCAATAATTCCAGTGCACGAGGAACTAATACGCCTCTAGCAGCCAGCTCGTGGTGGGCAGTTGCTAGTCGGACCAGGTAGCTTACCATTGTCTCTCTGAAACCAAGGGGGGTGACCCAGGATAGCCCAAGTCGACCAGAATCCCCATTCATAGTGTTAGAAGATGATATGTCGTCAGGAATTTGCGATTTCTGCTCCCAGTCAAAAATGACTTGTAGTATGTCAATGGAAAGTAGTCGAGACTCCCCTGAAGCAGCACCAGAGAGTCCAAGCTTCGATAACGAATTGACCATGTGGGGAATGAATAACGCACGAACTGGGTAGAACAGCTGTGGCTGGCGAACAATAAGTTGATAAATGATGATAATCTGTGAGAATCCGTTGCCTTCTTCTGCCAGTAAACGTCTGGTGGTCTTCGCCCACTGCGGATACCCCACATCATTTGCACCAGATTTCGGTAGAGCAGGTGCTAGTACATCCAAAGCCTGACGAATGAGAAGCCTACCCTCCGTGTGAGGTGGTCGAAGAAGACCCGTCCACGCACGCAATATGAATTTCTGGGGAGTATCGTATGCTTCAAAGAAACGGGCCGCAAGAAGGTAAGCTGTCTGCTTAACAACTGCATCGTCACTCGTAATGTAGTGCCAGGCACACCGAATGATATCCTTCTTGACATCCTCTAGAAGCTCGGGATAATATTGTACCATGACCGTGGTGAGATGAAGAAGCTCGATTTTGAACATGTCATCGGATTCAGAAAAAGCTGCGTTATCGTTCATAGGATACCAGATAGTGCGATGGACACGACTAATGAAATCAGCGTCTAGGAGGCCTCCCTTGTCTGGGCGATGGGCTTGAACAAGTATAGTGGGAGTCAAGACGTGACGGAGGAAATATGTTTTGTGTGACCAGGGATGAGAACGATCATCGAACCAGATCAAAAAACGCGACAAGACATTGCGCCGATAGAACAGATCCTCGCTCATTGCAACGTGCTTGAATAAGAAATGCGTTAAACGTAATAAATCCATGGCAACATTGCGTGAATAGATAGCAACGATATCAAAAAGCAAGTCAATGCGGGGATCGCGTTCCAGAGTTTTGATGAATATGTTCAGGATTGTGGTATAACGCTGAATGATTTCCGGGACCATGACCACTGTGTGCTCGGGTTCCATGGGCTGAGAACGCCAGACGTCTAACAACGCATCGATGACATAGCCATGGTCAGCAATCCAGGATGGTACTAAGTCTACCAGATCACTGAGCATCGATAAGCCAGGCAGAAGCAAGGTCTGATCATTGCTCCTGAGGCATCCAGTCACAATAGAATGAGTCCGTGATATTAGTTCCTGTTCAAGATTTTTTGCTAACTTTGCTTGAAGAATGCTTCGAAGAGTTCGGACATGTCGAGGAAAATGTAGATAGCGCATGAAAAAATCAAGAGCTTCTGCAGGATAGCGATCAAGGTACTTTCCGAGAGGTTCCGAAAATGGACTTTGACCAGAAAAGTGCATCTGAGCTTCGGTCTGCACTATAGAATTTACAAGGGTTTCCAAGAAGATGTTCGCAGCGGAAGGGAGAAGATGAAAGATATTGGCTAGTCGTACTAGTTTTGTGATGCCTTCATTGTCCGCCAAAGGAAGCCTTGATGAGGCTTGTAGCATCTGAGGATCAGCTACTATACGGAAGTGATCCAGAAGTTTGTGCCCAATTTCAACTTTGAAGTAGTTGATCAAAAGTTCCAGCAAACGGGCTAAACCTTCCAACCCGGGAACAGAAAGGCGTTTTGGATCGGCAAGATTCATGAGGATGGGGCGTAACCCAGTTTGAAGAAGCTCTTTGGGAAGTCGGGTCTGATGGGTCAGTACCATACGCAGACCCTCGTGGGCTACTTCTTTCACTTCCTGAGAAGGCGAGTATAACGATTTGAAGTATACACTAGTTACTCTGAAAAATGATAGACACTATGAGCAACGAATTTATGATCATGGTGTGTTACGACACACCTTTGGCGCGTTTGATGCTGTTTGGAGAAAAAATCTGTCATAGGCATTGACGCTGTCAAGAGTTTTATACAGGCCACACGAAGCTTGATGATTTCTATACTGCCTTGACGTGGATTACCACGACCCAGAAGAGCGATATCATCAGCATCTGCCAATGCAAGTGTCTCGTGTAAAAGACGAAGTAGCTCATCGCTTATCTCTGGCAGAGGGGGCTCCAAGCTAACACAATACCGAACAGCGTCTATCATGCCAATCTGAATGGTGAATGGTAAAGCTCGGAGAGGCTTCGTATAGATCGAGGTTAACATGCGCTCTCGATGGGGCATGAGTAACTCGCTAGCGGGCTTTCCGCTAAGCCCAACCAGGATTGCAATACATGTCTGAGCCGCCTGACGAACTACAGGATTGGGACCTGTAAGCTCCGTGAAAAATATGCCTATGAGGTGGGTGAGCTTATTGCGGGCACTCGGAGCCGCGTCGACTGCGACGTCTTGCTCAGCATTGCTCACTCGGAGAACGCGTTGCAGTACATCAACCACATCGTCGATATCACGAGGCAAATCGTACGGCAGGTCCTTCAAAATATGCAGCAAGGTGCGAACAAGGTCAATCTCTCTGTCGTTTATCCATTTTACACCGAGGGTCGGTGTGCATGTCATAATCCTAATTCCGCTACATCCTGCACTTTTGCGAATCCATGAATCGTCGAGACATAGCGCACTAAAGCGACCTGCAATCTGATGCAACGTAGGTATAACGTCTTGAGGGGTAACGTTGGCGTGCGTGCCCATTGCCACCAATTCTCGAATGATTAACGACACAAGCTCTTGAGCTTTCTTTGCTTCCTCTGGGCTTTCGCGTGCCAGAGCATGTGGTAAAGCATCGAGATACGACGATAACAAGGGACTTGGATATCGACGAAGTCCAAGATCTTTCGTATTGTTTCTCCGAACCTCCATAGTGAAAACAGCTCGTGAAAGATTGCGAACGAACTGCTCAGCTTGATCTCCAACTACAGGGAGGTGTACCGCGTCGAAAATAGCCTCCAGCGACCTCACAAATACAGCTGCCTGATCACGGCCATGGGTGCTCTGTAGATATAGATTAGAGTCAACGTGGAAGCAATATGATTAACACTTACATCATATAAAAGGACAGTTAGGCAGCCCTCCAGATAGTTATATGCTTGCAAGTGGTAAGGTGATGCAGCCTTACTTAGAGTACGCGATGCCAATGTGGACATAGAACCAAGTTCAATGTTTTCTATTGTACCTCCAAACGAAATCGGTACTTTTGCTGGTTCAGTATAATGCTGGAATTCCAGCAAAGGTTCTTTATTCAACAAACGGCGGTTCCTCCCCCCCAGTTTGCCAAGGATTCGAATCGTTGTGTGAGCGTGATTGTGGTTAGCAGGGAGTGGCTTGAGATGACTGTGTAATGCCTCCATCAATTCACGCAAGACCGTGCTGAGGGTGGGGTCAAGGAAATCGGGAGTAAGATTATCGATACATAATTCTAGAGTTCTGAGGCCTTGAGAAATGAGTTCTGGGGTACCTCGCAGCGCCAACGCCAATGGATGCATGAGATATGTTAAGTGAGGAAGTAAATGGGTTAAGCGCAATGGAACAGTAAGACATAACTCGACGATCATGTCACGGCTGTATCCTTCGGATGCGAGCAACTGACGATTGAGGCTTTCCAGCATCTCGGGAAGAAGAGGCAAAACTTCCTTGTATAAGAGTTCAAACCTACCACCTCCACCTCCGATAGCTCGAAAGAGTCCTCGAAGAAGGTGGAAATAATTTGTCGGCTTCGTTGCTTTGGCGGCTAGAGGAAAACAGTCCATAATGAGTTTTGCAAGATGCGACGCTAGAATCGGCTCATTCGTTGATGGATACAAGGTGACTGCACCGAATGCCATTTTGAAAAGCCGTATGGTGACTACTGCCGTCTGATCATCATACTCGCCCAACGATGGCAAGCGATCGACGAGGTACCTCAGAACGATAGCTACAAGTGTCGGAGACACTTGCTCTCTACCGAATAGGCCTTGACAAATGTGAAGGAGCGAAGGTCGTTTTTGGGAACATTGGAAAAAGAAGTCGATCTTATGGGTCCAAACCTCCTGGAAAACATGGAGATTTACTTCCAAAAGAACTCCCCCGAACCAGTCCATAGCTTCAGTTGCCTCGCGAGGTTCAGCGTCAAAAAGCGCCATACAGCGAATACAGCTTTCGAACAGTCGGAAGATCAAGACACCGTCTGGAGTAGGCGCATCGCATTTCCTTAATCCAGCAAGGCAGGCACGAAAACCGTGCAGGATAGTGCGGAAAAGAAGGCGAAATTCTAACAAAAATTATATGTTAAACACAGATAACGAGACAAGTATATTCCACTCGCCATTGACAGCATCTTCTGGTTTCTCGGTGGCATACACGGCCCCGGCAACGGGTCTTGCCTTCTGTACCAACGAAAAGTCAATCGAATCACTGTCTCCGTTCTTTGCCTTTTCTACTCTCTCAAAGAGTTCATCCAAAACTGACGTCATGGAGTCTACCTTGTCTACACAAGTCTCAAACATTGCACCAAGAACTCGCGCACTGCCCTGTTTCGTATCCTTCGCTGTTATAACATCTATCAAGTTGAACATCATTTTAGCAAATAGCGTATGGTGATTGCTGGTAAGGTATGGGTTGTGGATGAGACCTGAATATACGTTTGCTATACGCGCGAGCTGAGCAGTAGTGAGTTCGCTTCGGAGATGGTGCACAAGGTCGGCTACTGCGGCATAAGCTGATGGCCTGAGATATAACATTAAGTAAACATATTAAATAGGGGTCGAAGCACATACTGTAAGGTTTCTTTACTCCCAACACCACTACCTAACAGAATTCGGTCGTTGAAGAGCTTATCTAGTTGGTTCAAAAGGGCTTTACGATGAGGCGTACTCATAAGGTGTCGGAGGACGATCATGAGATCCTGTACCATGTTCACTGAGCCACATAGACGCGCAAGGTGGGAAAACATACCCTTCGTGCTGCTATGGCGTTAGCCGGACAATCTTGCAGAATCCGCAACGATGCAAGAATTAAGGTCTCTCCGTATGGATCATATTCATCCCCGAGGCCACGCATAATATACGCCAGATATGATACCATCTATAAACAAGTTACTCGATGTCTTATAAACAACATCGATGAACTTACTTTGATTTGAGCGCTAATGAAATCAACGTATGTGTGATGATTTTTTATGGTTGGCGCCATACCAGCCCAGTATCCTCCCATCGCTTCGTGATCTTCTCTGGCCTTCTTCTGGGCAGGCGATTCGAGAGCGAGCACATCGAAATTTAGGGGAAATGTTGCTTGTATTGCTGGTATGACTATAGGACGATGACTTTGCGAGAATGTCACCACCACCATGCCAACCTCAGCAAGGACCTTGAAACTGCGTATACTAGGTAATACGACGTTCGGGTCGAGCACAGGCGAATCTTCGGAAAGTGTTTCGTCTACAAGGCTCTTGATGTTGCGGAAGACATCTTGCAGTATCCCCATAAACTCTGATACAAGCTCCTCTGTGAGAGCTCTGAATGAGCGCACTAGGTCGATGATGGTTTTGCAGCAAGTGACCCCGTTTTCTTCGTTGTCGTGTCGCAGAAGGTACAACATGCCATTGAATAAGGTAAGGGCTTGAGAGCGTACAGCATCGCTGTATGGGATGCGGTGTAGTATTTCTAGGAGGACGCGGCGGAATTGGTAGTCTAGAGTGTCCTTGTGAAACGAAGCTTCTCCTGAACGCAATATTTCGAGAAGGACAGGAATCATATGGGGCAACACACGAGCAGACTCCGCATCTCGTACAGTGTCTATCATTTCTCGAAGCTCACATGCAACAACATGTTTCGTTTTGAGGTCTGCGAACGAGGACCTGTTGGCGGACGAAGACATACCAATAGGCCACAAGTTGGACTCACCTATACCTGGATCTGCTATACGAGCAGCCCGTATCTCGAGATCTGCAGCTGTCCCAAGCTGCGGGATATTGTCCATAGCTAGAGCTGTAATATTATGTGAAAGTTATGTTTTGGTGGTCTGCGTGCATGTAAACTGAACAGAGAAACTCACTAGGACGGGGCGTGCAACTCTTGCAATGACCTTAAACGCGGTTGACCCAGAAAAGTTGTTTGGCTAAAGTTTGGTGCGTTCCTCACGTGATCTGGCAAAGACTTGTCAATGAAAACTCTGTAAGTGTTAGTTTCCAGTTCATGCCTCCGAGTCGGTGGTGCATAATGCACAGCTCTGAAGGTAATCGCAAGGAACAGTAACCGCACTTGTTTACTCGTTGTTAACGTTCTGAAAGGCTATCTTGGATACATTTTCCAATCAAATAAAACACCCATGGTTAGAGGTTACAGTAAAGACCGTCGGTGATACCGATACGTGATTGGCCACCAGTGCCTTGATGTGCATTGACATGCAGCTGCAGTATGAGGTCGTGTTGATGAGCCACCATTTCCATCCATCATTAGTATTTGGGACCTTGAGGTTTAAAAAAGAATACGAACTTGGACATATCTTCCAAAAGAGTCGATGGGTCTATCTCTGTCTCCACGACCATGCACAGGAATGGCTGCTGCCAGAAGGTCCATTCTCTGTTGTCAGGGGCCACTATAGGCTTGATGGGTAAGATATTTCCTCATAACCTAACCAAAACAAACTTGATGTGTTATGTTCACCTAATTATGCTAGGCAGTGCACGTGGATTCGCCCTATAAGTCTACAATCATTACCGACCACCCAGACTGGAATGTACGTTCTAAAATGCGATCCAAGTGTTGCTGTCGGGCGTTCAGCATTGTTCATCAAGGAGGCTGGCCCTCCATTCATCTTTCTACTTCTCACTTTGAGCTGGGCTTGAGCTTCAGTTTTCTTTTGTCTCTTCACGCCCCCACCGTCATGCCAAGACTAAACCATGCAGCAGTCTCTGTTCTCGCATTACAGGGTGCAACCGTGCCTTCAGTAAGCGAGTTTCTAGATCACCCAGACTTGTGAGTTACTAGTACAGTTTAGAATCCATCATTAGGTATGTTAACTAACTGTGTGTTTCCAAAAGTCGTCAAATAGCTACCTTTTTTCTCGGCTGGGTGTTCATTGCTAGCTTGGGTAGTATCGTATTTTCTCCTACTGTCAAGGTTCTGGCCCAGCAATGTGGTGAATCAATTTTACTTTTGATGATAAAGCCCACTCAAAATACCACCAGTGTCGATGATGAGAACTGCTGTTAGAAAACCACACACAAAAACAAACTAACACACAATCCTCCCAGATTCCACGGAACTTGTTTATGGGCTTTGCCTCCTAGAACAGTGGAGTGGTCTGGTTGTTCGTGGGGTGGTACGTATAAAGATCCTTCAAAGTAAAACCCAGAGGTGTATGAGTGTGGGTTTTGAGGAGGAGGGATAGTTGAATTTATAGAAGATAGGGGCTTAGTGACGAGTATAGATGAGCACTACCTTGCTAATCGTAGCACAAGGTAGGTTTGAGAACGACAATATGACGAGGTTCCCAGTGGTAGCAGGCTCCTGACGCACAAACTGTAGTGCTCAGAAGGACTCTAATTGAAAGGGATGACAATGACTTCAAAAGTGGGAAGTGACGATGACAGCAGTTGACAGTGGTAGCAGTGGGAAGTGTTGTGACCACACTGGATCACAAGCGGCAGAGTAGTGAACTTGAAATTAGAGAAGAAGTCTGGAATCGAGTACTTGTTCTTTTTTTTTTTACAAGGTAAAATACAGGGGTTTATATAGTAAAAGAAAAGTAGGCTATGCACAGTATAGCTGTGCAAAAAGAATGAGAAAGAACATGAAGGAAGGAATGTACGCTGACAAATCCTGCGTAGGTAGTACAGGATAAGATTGTCAAAAAAAAGAAAAGAAAGGGATAGAACAATGAATGCTGTGAGTAATGTCACAGGTTTGTACAGCCATAAAGTAAAGTCCAATAGCAAAAAGAGAGCAGGAAGATCATGATGTCATGGGAAGATGCAGTAAAAAAAGGGCAAGGCAAAACACTATCAGTATCAACACAGTTCCTTTATTGTCAGTCAGACATTCTAAAAAGATATGTGTCCATAAAAATGATTCAAAAATCAAAAATAATTGCACTGTAAATGAATGTTCTGCTGAAAAAAAAGAAACTGGAGCCACCGGTCCACCACCTAGTCCAAATCCGACAGTTCCATGGCCTTACCAATGGACTGGTTGTGTTGGACCACCTGATCAAACGAGGGAGGGAGAGGAGTAGTTCCAATTTGGAACAAGTGAGTCCCAGGCAGCGTGTGGTAGGTGGAGCTGTAGCGAAGACGATGGACAAAAGATAAGTGTACCCAAGTGAATGGGACAGCGATGAACATGGGTGACACAAGGGGATGAACCTTCTCCAGCTCAAAAACTACCCACCCACGCTCCAACCAGGCAAGACGAGCGACCGATGTTTTGATAGTATATGATGGCAGATTGATGTCATGAAGATGGACCTGTTGCCCTATTTGGACTGGCCGCCGGGGATTTGCTGATATCAGCAGTGGCACGTGGTAGTCAACGGATCGGCGACAGAAGCGGATAGGAAGTGGTGACATCAGAAATGGTGGGGGTGCAAATAAGATGAGGAGGAGGAGGGTGGAGGTGACGAAAAAGTGGATTAGAATGGGGATCCAGAAACGACCGTCAGGTGAGAATAAAAAGGAGAGGAAGGGGCCCATGGTGGGGCTAGGCAAAGGAAGGGGAGTAAGGGAAACGACAAAAGCGAGGGTGCAATGCAACGTGTAGCCAGTGGCGACTGTTACGATAACACAATTTCCGGACATCTCCTTTCCTTTTATTCTCCGCTTTAACTTTATATACTTTAAGTGCCACGCGGCATTTCCCTTTCTCGCGCCGCATTGCCTTTCTTTTACTTTTAGACTTAACTCTCTCACGCAGTGGAGCTGGCCATACGGGCTAGGCCCTATGACATCATCAGCCACTGCCTTCATCAGCTGTATAGTACACATGTACAAACAAACCTGTAGTAGTATATATACCCCAATAAATCCAGGAGACTCCTCAGCGAGTCCTCCTGTTGTATACCAACTAACTCACTGCAGCCCAAGGGGTACCCACTCCCCATCTTCCACTACCTTTATAGTGTGTTCCTGTGTGCGCCAGAGTAACTAACTCTTGGTTGTTACATTAGGACTCGCTCTTTCTACTCTCTCGCACGTGTGTGCAGAAGTCCCATCATTTGGGCACCCGGACTCCAGGGTGAAGGAGATTGGTTAGCGGTTAGGAATATCCCACATAGCAGATAGGTGCGCTCCTAGCGACGGCCTTGTAGTGCTTTGGGAGAAGAACCCAAACCTTCGAATACGCGGCCCCCAGCGTTAAGGGGAGTACTTAGCTCAGCAGTCGGTGTGGAACCACTGTTGATTAGATTTAGAATACAAACTTCACTTTCGAATACCTCTGACCAGGCCGGGCACTTGCCTCCGCCAGTCTGGAGAAGGGTTGACAGCTTAACAAGCGGACCACCCCTGACACCGTTGACAGGTTTATTACATTACATTTTTATATACATTTTCAAATACTATA